GGAACCGCACGCTTCGCGCGCAATCCAAAAGACCAGCTTCACACCACAACCCACCAGAGTCACACCAAGAAAGAATCCCTCACGGAAGAAACCAGGCGGCAGGCGCCAGTTGGCTATCTTCGATAGCGTTGCTAATAAGTACCAAAATAAGTGCGAGAGGTCAAGGATTTGTTGGAATCATTGGACACAACAATTGGATAATGCTGAAACGAAAACGGAGGGTACCCTGGTACCTGGTACTTGGATATTCATCTCTTTGTTGACGGAGAATCCTCTAATAAGCTGCTGCCTTTGGCCAGACGTGGAACTATGCCAAAGCCTCAACCATACTAATGGTGCATCACAGAAGCAATAAGAAACGCCAAGTACCGCTGCAGCTGCTGCCCATCAGCCAACGGTCACAGTACGTAAAATCTTGAGTCATGACATTGGCGACAATATGCAATCTCTTAAGATCCCTATTTCGAAAGCTGCAACATTCGGAATTTAGGTATCGCATTAGGATTGCTCCTCACCAACTCAATCCATTGTTGGTCAGCCAAAATCACCTTCAGATGACTATCGGACTTTGGAAGGACTGCAATTCTTTTGACTTGGTTCATTGGCTGCAATTCTTTTGACTTGGTTCATTGGCTGCACCACGGCTTGATACTCGTCCTTGGTCCGAGCCAGCTTCTCTTCCGTCATCAGATCCTTCAGATCTTCAGGGTGGACAGTTACGCTAAACTTGGAACGCAAAAGGATGGGCATATCTTGTGCTATGAATTAATATTTGGGTTCGGGGGATCCTTATTGGTTGGCATCGCTTTCCTGGATGATGAGGGTGTTTTCATTCCTCTTTCATGCGCCATCTTTCAGAAGGAATTGTTCCACATTTTCAGGCGAACATTTCACGCCACATCTTGATATTAAGAAAAGCGGGACATCTTCTCCATTCACAGACGAGACATGTCTTGGATAGATTCTTGGTACGCAATATGATTTGAAGTGTGTTGGGTCGTCACAGATCCAATTTTGGCTGTAAACTGACGAAGTGACGTATGACAATGCTGAAATGGGCACCCAGCCAATATGACGTATCAACGTCTTACTCGAACTTTATACTGGCGACATCAGCCGATAGACCAATTGGCTTTTCAGAGGTTGCCGTTTTCAAACGCAATCTTTTCTCCAAGTGGACCCGTTGGTGCAAGTTACTATGTGAGCCAGCCTCCCCTTCTATCATTCCTGCATTCATCCGTCTTCAAAGTCCCGGCTACGAAAGCTGATGAATCAAATACGTGTGGGAAGACCCTCTTGATCAGAACAATGAGATTGGTAGAAACAAGTCAATGAGCATGTCTTTACTGCATGATTGAAGGACAGTGGGACTCGTTGTTGGCTTGCGATATACCATGTGCGTAGATAAGACCTGGTACTGTATCAGGTTCAGAACTTCTGTAAACGCTATACTGTACGCAGATTTTGAATTCTTAAGCGCGCACACCATATACTGTATGCATACTTCCGACATTCCGACTGCGGTATAGTATATACATATTGTACACATGCTCGTACGCCTGTCAACGATCCGACCGACCCATCAATGACCCATCCACCGCACGATAATGAAGATGCAGTCGACATCATCTTTCGTCATCTATATCATCGACAATGGTTTAACCTTCCAACACTCTACAATCAGCGTCCCGAATCCATCATGACATCAAAACAATCCATCCTACAAAACACCAAAGTCCACGCACCAAACGAGGATTCGAAGGAGTCAATCGTATTAAAAACACGGCAAATTGGCGATCTCCCACCCGTAGCGGTTTTCACTCCACACCTCAACGCAGCACCTCACAATTTCCATTATGAACCTCTTTGAATCAACTAATACAACAACAACAATCATGACCAACTACATCACTACCTTTGTCAATCAAGAAAGCTTGAAAAGCATCAGCTTTCCCAAGTTACCTCGAATGAGTGCCATCACTCAACAACAACAAGAACAACCAGTTCAAGAAACCATCATTACCGGTTTGGTTTGTGCAGTCGCAATCGTGTTACTTCGGTACATGGTACTCGACACTTACCGAACCTATCAGAGACTTTGCAGGCAATGGAACAGGCGACAGCCTCCTGTTTCCATCCTTCGTCGTCCAGAAGGCGGGTCTCGCAAGAAAAACCGAAGTTGGTTTGGTGTGTTCATCAGAAAACCAAATCGTGTCCGTTTCGCCAAAATCTTTCGTCGAACCTTCGTCCCAAACAAGCACGAGCTACAATCTCGCAGGGAATGCTGGGGTCTGATTCAATGGCGCATTCAACTTCACGACGAAGTACTTCCAGAGATAGAGAACACAGTGAGATTCGTTCCACACACTCCTGTGTCCATTCTTCGTCCTTCAAGACAAGATTGGGGATCACCCAAACCAACCTCTTCAATCCGAGTCCATTTCGCCCCTAAGACTCGAAGAAGAAACTTCCTTCCCGACGAGCAAGATCTTCAGTCCCGAAGGCAGCTAGTTCGTCAAATTGACCGCAAGATCAAGAGACGGAATGCCCGGCGCTGGAAGATCGATTTCAAACGTACCGTGCTTGCCACCATTGTCGAAGATCCAGCAGAAGAAGATTTGAGCAACATTGACTCGTCTTTGGATACTGGATTTATTGATGGCAAAGTCGACTCTGAAATCATTGCTATTGCGCTCGAGAACCACCGACAAATGCTTCCAACGGTCCTTCATGACATGCTCTCCAATATTCCTGTACCAATGGATTTGGATGACGACGACAACAACAACAAGCCCTGCATGGAAGAACAAGCACCATTGTCACTTAAGCGAATCGCAACTTCCTGCCTTATTTCATCCAGACCCACCAAGCGTCGCAAAATGAATTCATCCTCTACGGTTCCAACTTGCGCTGCAACATGGGCCAAACGAACCAATGAACTCTTCACTCCTTTGCTACCTGTCATTATCGAAGATCCAGAAGAAGACGGCGACGAGAGCCACATTGAATCGTCTTTGGATGCTGGATTCAACGATGACATCGCCAATGAACCATCGACTCGTCTTGCCAAGGTTGCGCTCGAGAACCACCGACAAATGCTTCCAACGGTCCTTCATGACATGCTCTCCAATATTCCTGTACCAATGGATTTGGATGACGACGACAACAACAACAAGCCCTGCATGGAAGAACAAGCACCATTGTCACTTAAGCGAATCGCAACTTCCTGCCTTATTTCATCCAGACCCACCAAGCGTCGCAAAATGAATTCATCCTCTACGGTTCCAACTTGCGCTGCAACATGGGCCAAACGAACCAATGAACTCTTCACTCCTTTGCTACCTGTCATTATCGAAGATCCAGAAGAAGACGGCGACGAGAGCCACATTGAATCGTCTTTGGATGCTGGATTCAACGATGATATCGCCAATGAACCATCGACTCGTCTTGCCAAAGCTGACGCTATTTGGGTCAACAAGTCCGAGGAGATCTTGGCCGAGAAGGCGAATTTGAACAAGATGACCAAGGCCGAAAGAGCCAAGTGGGCAAACAAGGCAAGGGCCAGAAGAAGCAAGGGCCAGAAGGAGATCGATTTTGAACCAACGCTTCTTGTCATTATTGAAGATCCAATAAAGGAGGAGGAAGAAGACGAAGTCGACGACGTGAACGAGAAGAAGGAATTCAAACCTTCCCTTCATGTCATCATCGAAGATCCAGAGGGAGAAGACTTGAGTACCATCGACGAGTCGCCTTTGGATGCTGCATTGATTAATGACGACTTCGATTCTTTGGAAGATGGTAGCGATGGCGAGATTTTTGCAGCACCAACCGAGCAATCTGACAACGCACGTACTACTGATATTCCTTCTGATGGAATGGGATCTGGATGGACCGAATCTGGAAAGCGCTACAGTCGACGACTACAGCTCAAGCTTTCGCCAGAGAAGAAGGATCCTTCTACTGAAGCTTTGGGATCTGACATGACGAAAAAAGGACGACGATACAGTCGCCGCGTGGTAAATCGAGGAAAAGGTGCCAATTAAAGCACATTCTTGCTACGACTTTGAAAGAGATGAAGTATGATAATAGTGTGCGACAACACACGAACAACCCATCAAAGAGTTTTACCTGGAAATTCACCCCATCAATTGCATTTACTTTCTTAACCATGATCTCACTTTTCTTTTCTTTTCTCTTTTAGGATATTTTGGCGAGTCTACATTTTCGCGTTTATTTCAATGTCACATTTCCGAGGGATCCTTCGGAAGGCTAGTGTTTGCCTTTGTGGTTTCTAGTGGATTGGTCACTCACTAGGCTGCATCGGCGACGCGAAACCAGACGATTTCATGGCTTGCTGAGTTTGGATGCTTCCCTCCAGCCAGTCTTTGTTGAATGATGGATGGGCAGGCCGAGGCTCGTAAGCGCGTCCATGATCAGCAAGACCCCAGATAAGTGGTCCCTTTAGGATTTGGGATTGGCGTACCTACTTCAAGAACAAGATCGTCGATGGGAGATTACTATTTCCAAAGGATTGAAAGGCAAAGCGGAAGCCTCGCTTGGAATATCAGTTTCATGTGATCCATCACCCTGCTCAAATATGGGGAGCAAGCGATATCCGTCAGACATGTGAACAGCCGTTGTTGCCAATGATAATATTTTTTATTGCAACACTCGGTGGTGCATGCAGTATCGCGCTGATGGCACTGGACTGAACATCCCAACAACGGGGCAGCGGCGTCTTACACCATTTTAAACTAATTACTACTATAATTGTAGTAAAGTACCAGATTGGCATGTCTTATTGTCATATATATATATATATATCTATTCAAATTGTAGTCTTTTGCTTATCTTTTACAACGCTGATGGTACTTTAGAATGAACCATAGTGGATGCTTCCGCTTTGTAGCGGTTTTTGTACCATAAAATGTTGCAGTACAATATTTTCGACTTTTCGGTAAATATGGCGTGAAACAACATTCTCCAAGAAACAAATGTTTGAAGTATAACGCGATAAATGTGGCCTTTACTGCCTTTGTCCGTCAAATATATAATATGGTAGTGTACCTTACCGAATCCGGCGTCTCCCGCGCCCTGATACTTTTTTCTTCACACTATTACCCATCACGACACTGAAAACCCATCACCGCAACCACCTTGGAACAACAATCACAAGAGGCTAGAGGCAACAACCAACCGTCAGTATCCCCACTGCGACCCCTATCGACCATTTGCAATCAACATTTTCCTTATCTCTGCTTCCGTTGGAACAAATTTCGGCCACGCGGTCATCCATCACCACTCTCTGCCTTATTCCGACGACAAATGCATCAAAAGATCCAAAAACAGGAGAAGTGACTGAAATGATTTATGGCAAAGTCACGTCGATCTATATGTTACACCGGATAGTACCATCTTTCATCACCTGCTTGTGGCTTTCTGGGTTCCTTTGAGAAGATTTCCAGTCAAATCCGTCAGCTGGCAAATCTGGCTGACTGAAACGATGAATCGGCATCGCTGCGTGGACCCCAGAAGAAGAGAAGATGGAATAACATTATACAACAAGCTTCATTGTGGTATGAGTTACTTTCTTCAGAGCTACGACTGGGGATTTATTCTATATCCTTATCAGGCCACAACCAACCAATGTTGATCAAGCTGCTTCTGTTGGTTAGCGCTTTGGAGCCTACGGTGGGTCCCCCATGCAACGAATAGCAAGATGCGGGCGTTGGTAGACTCTATTGGTATCTACGCTATTCTGGGGCCTTATTGGAACGCTTCATTTGCTTTGGTTGTAGAGATTTTGGGATTTTCGTCTTGGTTTCTGTCGGTTTTCCATCTTTCAGGAGGTCCCCATGGCCGCTCATGGCCACCATGGCGGGGCACAACCACTCAACAATACACCAGTCCCTTCTTTCGATCCTTACGCTTCGAGCAGTGTACGACCTAGTCATAGATTCGGCCTAGATCCACCAGCATACAGTGGCCTAATTGGGCTGAGGCAGAACAACGGTAAGTTCTGCTCCAAAACCAGTATTGGTCGAGCTTTGGACCTGCTTTCTTCAAACTTTTTAATTCCAACTCATATTAGTCATTGGTATAATATATATCATGTCGGAAAGAGATGTTTGGCTCCTGTTTCTTTTTGCCACCTCCTTCGAACAATTCCATTGACTTCGAGGAATTTCCTTGAATCTGATCGGTTCAACAACAAACTTTGCAATTCAGAGTGAACAGAAATCTAGTATAAATACAACCAAAAGATACTGTAGGTCGCAATAACACGATTTGTTATCACAACAAGGTCGTATGGTACAAGATAAGGCACTTGGGTCGTGGGTTTTTTGTTGTAGTCGAAGAAGTCAAACGCCAAGGTGGTGGGCGTGTGTATTTTTACATCATAATAGCATCGCGCATTATCATCATCGCACAATAAATACATGTGATGTGCGGTTTTGTTGTTGTTATTATCATTGCTACTGCATATTTGAAAATTCCTCTCGCTCATACAAGATCTGTCGTTGGTGGTACACGTGTACCGTACGTGCACAAACGCTACTGTACGTAGATTTTGAATTCTTAAGCGCGCACACCATATACTGTATGCATACTTCCGACATTCCGACTGCGGTATAGTATACATATTGTACACATGCTCGTACGCCTGTCAACGATCCGACCGACCCATCAATGACCCATCCACCGCACGATAATGAAGATGCAGTCGACATCATCTTTCGTCATCTATATCATCGACAATGGTTTAACCTTCCAACACTCTACAATCAGCGTCCCGAATCCATCATGACATCAAAACAATCCATCCTACAAAACACCAAAGTCCACGCACCAAACGAGGATTCGAAGGAGTCAATCGTATTAAAAACACGGCAAATTGGCGATCTCCCACCCGTAGCGGTTTTCACTCCACACCTCAACGCAGCACCTCACAATTTCCATTATGAACCTCTTTGAATCAACTAATACAACAACAACAATCATGACCAACTACATCACTACCTTTGTCAATCAAGAAAGCTTGAAAAGCATCAGCTTTCCCAAGTTACCTCGAATGAGTGCCATCACTCAACAACAACAAGAACAACCAGTTCAAGAAACCATCATTACCGGTTTGGTTTGTGCAGTCGCAATCGTGTTACTTCGGTACATGGTACTCGACACTTACCGAACCTATCAGAGACTTTGCAGGCAATGGAACAGGCGACAGCCTCCTGTTTCCATCCTTCGTCGTCCAGAAGGCGGGTCTCGCAAGAAAAACCGAAGTTGGTTTGGTGTGTTCATCAGAAAACCAAATCGTGTCCGTTTCGCCAAAATCTTTCGTCGAACCTTCGTCCCAAACAAGCACGAGCTACAATCTCGCAGGGAATGCTGGGGTCTGATTCAATGGCGCATTCAACTTCACGACGAAGTACTTCCAGAGATAGAGAACACAGTGAGATTCGTTCCACACACTCCTGTGTCCATTCTTCGTCCTTCAAGACAAGATTGGGGATCACCCAAACCAACCTCTTCAATCCGAGTCCATTTCGCCCCTAAGACTCGAAGAAGAAACTTCCTTCCCGACGAGCAAGATCTTCAGTCCCGAAGGCAGCTAGTTCGTCAAATTGACCGCAAGATCAAGAGACGGAATGCCCGGCGCTGGAAGATCGATTTCAAACGTACCGTGCTTGCCACCATTGTCGAAGATCCAGCAGAAGAAGATTTGAGCAACATTGACTCGTCTTTGGATACTGGATTTATTGATGGCAAAGTCGACTCTGAAATCATTGCTATTGCGCTCGAGAACCACCGACAAATGCTTCCAACGGTCCTTCATGACATGCTCTCCAATATTCCTGTACCAATGGATTTGGATGACGACGACAACAACAACAAGCCCTGCATGGAAGAACAAGCACCATTGTCACTTAAGCGAATCGCAACTTCCTGCCTTATTTCATCCAGACCCACCAAGCGTCGCAAAATGAATTCATCCTCTACGGTTCCAACTTGCGCTGCAACATGGGCCAAACGAACCAATGAACTCTTCACTCCTTTGCTACCTGTCATTATCGAAGATCCAGAAGAAGACGGCGACGAGAGCCACATTGAATCGTCTTTGGATGCTGGATTCAACGATGACATCGCCAATGAACCATCGACTCGTCTTGCCAAGGTTGCGCTCGAGAACCACCGACAAATGCTTCCAACGGTCCTTCATGACATGCTCTCCAATATTCCTGTACCAATGGATTTGGATGACGACGACAACAACAACAAGCCCTGCATGGAAGAACAAGCACCATTGTCACTTAAGCGAATCGCAACTTCCTGCCTTATTTCATCCAGACCCACCAAGCGTCGCAAAATGAATTCATCCTCTACGGTTCCAACTTGCGCTGCAACATGGGCCAAACGAACCAATGAACTCTTCACTCCTTTGCTACCTGTCATTATCGAAGATCCAGAAGAAGACGGCGACGAGAGCCACATTGAATCGTCTTTGGATGCTGGATTCAACGATGATATCGCCAATGAACCATCGACTCGTCTTGCCAAAGCTGACGCTATTTGGGTCAACAAGTCCGAGGAGATCTTGGCCGAGAAGGCGAATTTGAACAAGATGACCAAGGCCGAAAGAGCCAAGTGGGCAAACAAGGCAAGGGCCAGAAGAAGCAAGGGCCAGAAGGAGATCGATTTTGAACCAACGCTTCTTGTCATTATTGAAGATCCAATAAAGGAGGAGGAAGAAGACGAAGTCGACGACGTGAACGAGAAGAAGGAATTCAAACCTTCCCTTCATGTCATCATCGAAGATCCAGAGGGAGAAGACTTGAGTACCATCGACGAGTCGCCTTTGGATGCTGCATTGATTAATGACGACTTCGATTCTTTGGAAGATGGTAGCGATGGCGAGATTTTTGCAGCACCAACCGAGCAATCTGACAACGCACGTACTACTGATATTCCTTCTGATGGAATGGGATCTGGATGGACCGAATCTGGAAAGCGCTACAGTCGACGACTACAGCTCAAGCTTTCGCCAGAGAAGAAGGATCCTTCTACTGAAGCTTTGGGATCTGACATGACGAAAAAAGGACGACGATACAGTCGCCGCGTGGTAAATCGAGGAAAAGGTGCCAATTAAAGCACATTCTTGCTACGACTTTGAAAGAGATGAAGTATGATAATAGTGTGCGACAACACACGAACAACCCATCAAAGAGTTTTACCTGGAAATTCACCCCATCAATTGCATTTACTTTCTTAACCATGATCTCACTTTTCTTTTCTTTTCTCTTTTAGGATATTTTGGCGAGTCTACATTTTCGCGTTTATTTCAATGTCACATTTCCGAGGGATCCTTCGGAAGGCTAGTGTTTGCCTTTGTGGTTTCTAGTGGATTGGTCACTCACTAGGCTGCATCGGCGACGCGAAACCAGACGATTTCATGGCTTGCTGAGTTTGGATGCTTCCCTCCAGCCAGTCTTTGTTGAATGATGGATGGGCAGGCCGAGGCTCGTAAGCGCGTCCATGATCAGCAAGACCCCAGATAAGTGGTCCCTTTAGGATTTGGGATTGGCGTACCTACTTCAAGAACAAGATCGTCGATGGGAGATTACTATTTCCAAAGGATTGAAAGGCAAAGCGGAAGCCTCGCTTGGAATATCAGTTTCATGTGATCCATCACCCTGCTCAAATATGGGGAGCAAGCGATATCCGTCAGACATGTGAACAGCCGTTGTTGCCAATGATAATATTTTTTATTGCAACACTCGGTGGTGCATGCAGTATCGCGCTGATGGCACTGGACTGAACATCCCAACAACGGGGCAGCGGCGTCTTACACCATTTTAAACTAATTACTACTATAATTGTAGTAAAGTACCAGATTGGCATGTCTTATTGTCATATATATATATATATATCTATTCAAATTGTAGTCTTTTGCTTATCTTTTACAACGCTGATGGTACTTTAGAATGAACCATAGTGGATGCTTCCGCTTTGTAGCGGTTTTTGTACCATAAAATGTTGCAGTACAATATTTTCGACTTTTCGGTAAATATGGCGTGAAACAACATTCTCCAAGAAACAAATGTTTGAAGTATAACGCGATAAATGTGGCCTTTACTGCCTTTGTCCGTCAAATATATAATATGGTAGTGTACCTTACCGAATCCGGCGTCTCCCGCGCCCTGATACTTTTTTCTTCACACTATTACCCATCACGACACTGAAAACCCATCACCGCAACCACCTTGGAACAACAATCACAAGAGGCTAGAGGCAACAACCAACCGTCAGTATCCCCACTGCGACCCCTATCGACCATTTGCAATCAACATTTTCCTTATCTCTGCTTCCGTTGGAACAAATTTCGGCCACGCGGTCATCCATCACCACTCTCTGCCTTATTCCGACGACAAATGCATCAAAAGATCCAAAAACAGGAGAAGTGACTGAAATGATTTATGGCAAAGTCACGTCGATCTATATGTTACACCGGATAGTACCATCTTTCATCACCTGCTTGTGGCTTTCTGGGTTCCTTTGAGAAGATTTCCAGTCAAATCCGTCAGCTGGCAAATCTGGCTGACTGAAACGATGAATCGGCATCGCTGCGTGGACCCCAGAAGAAGAGAAGATGGAACCACATGATACAGCAAGCTTCATTGTGGTATGAGTTACTTTCTTCAGAGCTACGACTGGGGATTTATTCTATATCCTTATCATGCCACAACCAACCAATGTTGATCAAGCTGCTTCTGTTGGTTAGCGCTTTGGAGCCCACGGTGGGTCCCACATGCAACGAATAGCAAGATGCGGGCGTTGGTAGTCTTTATTGGTATCTACGCTATTCTGGGGCCTTATTGGAACGCTTCATTTGCTTTGGTTGTAGAGATTTTGGGATTTTCATCTTGGTCTCTGTCGGTTTTCCATCTTTCAGGAGGTCCCCATGGCCGCTCATGGCCACCATGGCGGGGCACAACCACTCAACAATACACCAGTCCCTTCTTTCGATCCTTACGCTTCGAGCAGTGTGCGACCTAGTCATAGATTCGGCCTAGATCCACCAGCATACAGTGGCCTAATTGGGCTGAGGCAGAACAACGGTAAGTTCTGCTCCAAAACCAGTATTGGTCGAGCTTTGGACCTGCTTTCTTCAAACTTTTTAATTCCAACTCATATTAGTCATTGGTATAATCTAACGTAGACGAAAGCTCGAGAACGAATCATTGGATTCCTTTCATCATACTGACGACGGTCGAACGACCGTCTCAACATCATTGCTCCGCAACACCAAGTCCGATCAATTTATCGAACTTGTGTGCGAGTATACATCAAGAAATACGTTTATTTCAGCACCAAACTTTGCAATTCAGAGTGAACAGAAATCTAGTATAAATACAACCAAAAGATACTGTAGGTCGCAATAACACGATTTGTAATCACAACAAGGTCGTATGGTACAAGATAAGGCACTTATTGGGTCGAAGAAGTCAAACGCCAAGGTGGTGGGCGTGCGTGTATATTTTTACATATTAATATCATCGCGCATTATCATCTTCGCACAATAAATACATGTGATGTGCGGTTTTGTTGTTGTTATTATCAGTGCTACTGAATGTAATATGTGGTGATGACTCCAACCGCATTATGTCATCGTTGCTCGAGTTTAAAGGATCCCAAACTCGATTTATAGACTCAACGCATATCAGTATCATGTACATACCTCCTAGTAATAACTGAACGAACGGGAGTCAACCACGCAATATATATGCAGGCCACGAATTCAATCATTCACACTTCGATGTTTTGAAGCAACTCGCGGTCATCATCATTATCGCATCCATATGTCAGGATCATCACATACATACTCGTATCGTTGCTGTGCTGATCAATTCTAATACTTATATTCTGATTCAAAACATGATTGCACTCAAAATCATCACCATTGCCAATGATTGTAGTGTCTATGATATCAGCAATGAGAAAGAATTCGATCGTTTGTTGGAATCATTAGACAAAGTATTTGGTGAATACTAAAACGAAACGAAGAGTTCTTGGATATGCCTCACTAGTGAATGGAGGAACCTACAAAAATCCAAATGATGACGATGAAGAAATGATAATCCCCATCAGGAGTGCTTGTCATGATTTGGACGAGACCAAACAAAAGGAGATCCAATTGACCAAAGCAAGCAAATGGATTAGCGACGGGATTGGTTTGAAGAACAGAGGCAAATATGCGGAAGCACTTCCTCTTTTCCAAGAAGCTCTTGAGATTAATTTCAAGATTCTTGGAAATTGCCCCACGGTGGCGGTCTTGGCTATCTGCAATTTGGGCACCTGCTTGTTCCATTTGGAGCAATACGACGAGGCGTTGAGGAACTACCGAAAAGCACTTGATATTCGTCTGGTAATATGCGGAGATCGTCATGCTGACACTGCTTGGTCGTACCAAAATATCGGGATGACATTGAACAGTCAACATAAACAGGACGAAGCATTGACGAATCACCGAAAGGCACTTGGTATTCGTCTGCGTGTATTCGGCAAGTATGATCTTTCAACTGCTCAATCATACGACAATATCGGGCTTGTCTTGCGCGATCAAAAGGAGTATGACAAAGCATTGACGAGCTTCCAAAAGGCACTTGAAACTCGTCTGATACAATGCGGGCACAATAGTATTGGCACTGCCAATTTGTACCAAAATATCGGATTTGTCTTGGGTCATCAAAAGAAACATGACGAAGCAGAGCAGCACTGTCAGAGAGCGCTTGATATTCGTTTGGACTTTTTTGGCGATCGTATTGAAGAAGATACCGCCGAGTCGTACTTCGGAATTGGAATTGTCTATGAGAACCAAGGGAAATATAAGGAAGCTATGGAGGCACTTCGTCAAGCTCTCGACATTCAGTTGGAAGTCCTTGGTAATCGTCATAAAAAGGTTGCCAAAACGTACAAACGCATGGGAACAGTATTGACCGAACAAAGCCAACATGCCAAAGCCACCGCCATGCACCAACGGGCTCTTGAAACTATATTTGGACCATGAACATCATGTTGTAGACGAGAGGAAATGGCAAACAGTTTGGAAACTAGCTCCAAGGCCTAGACTATAGAAGTAGAGTATCCAAAAGGAACTTCTTACTCAAGCCGTCGATCTGTTCTGGTTGGTCGATTGGACAAATTGCATGAATGAAGCATTCGATCTATATATTTTTATTATATATTGACATTATATCATTCACAGGACATGGCAGTATTCACAATTCATATGATTACAATTATCATCTCACTTTTAGCTTCTTTTATCTACAACTCCCGTATATATCGCTTGATAAACCTTATGGAAAGTGAAAATAAGGTGGTCATCCCTGAATTACACATCAGAATGCATCAGATCACTTCTTGTGATTGTGTAGCCGTGATGAGTTCACAACTTCAGTGTAATATAGTATTATACTGCCCTATTTGCTCAATTTGTGATTTGATAGCAAATTCTTTCACGGGGTTGATTGAGGTCCTCAAGCTTGTCGTCAGGAGGGCTGTTGGCGACGACACCATGTGAAAGTAGTAAGCAGCACCATGGGGCGCGTCGCTCGTCGTCTTGGTAGAGGAAACCAAGAAGAACATGCAAAAGCCCTTGTCATGATTGATTCGACAAGCTCTTGATACTTTTATTTCTTCGAGCTTCACTATTCGCGAGAACCTCAAAAGTGTTGCTTCTGCACACCTACGAAACGAAATGGGAAATAGTATAAAGGTTTGGACCAAGAGTACTGAATTCTGGTAAATATACTCTTGGACCCTTGTTGTACCGAAAGAGGAACGTACTTCGATAGTTCTATATCCACAGTTTTTCCAACAAAAAAATAACAAAACACAAAACACGATATACAGCACGCCACTCCGTTGACTATCAATAAACGTGTCTGGAGGCAACCGCAATGACACAGATGTTGATTCAACGCATACATCAATGTCATTTACCAACCATAATAACTGAAGGAACGAATCAATCACGGGAAGCAGGCCACGATTCAGGCACGCAAGCAAGCAACTATCGATTGAATTCAGAATGATTCATTCCTTTCATCATTGCCTTGTCTTTACTTTGCTGATCCAGCCTTTGTCTTCCAACCATGATTACACTCAAGACCATCACCATTGCCAATGATGATGGTGGTACCTATGTTGTCAGCAATGAAAAGGAATTCGATCGTTTGCTGGATTCCTTGAACACAAAGTATTTGCAGAACGTGGACGACAAGCTGCGAGTGCTTGGATATGCATCTCTTATGGACGGAAGAACCTACACGATTGGGGCCAGTAGTGTTGCAAATGAAGAATGCAACAAGAAAAGGCCTGACGAGGCATCGGCAGATAATGCAACGAGAAGAAATAAGAAACAGAAGTCAGCGAATGAAGATGAATCTATTGTCATCAGTACTGACAGTGAACTAGACGAGATCAAAAGCAATGATGCGACTGCACAAGAGCTCGATGAGGGCGAAAAGAAGATTCAATTGAGTAAATCCAGCAAATTTATTTTCGACGGGAATGCTTTGTACCACCAAGGCAAATACGAGGAAGCGTTGAAGCTATACCAAGAGGCTCTTGAAATTCGTTTGGCAGCATTGGGAAGCTCTCATGTTGATACTGCCCGTTCATACAACAGTATCGGACTTGCCTTGAACTATCAAGATAAATATGAAGAAGCATTGACGAACCACCAAAAGGCACTTGATATTCGTTTGGCAGTATTGGGAAGCTCTCATGTTGATACTGCCAGCTCATACAACAATATCGGGAATGTTTTGGAAGATCAAAAGAAGTACGACGAAGCGTTGACGAATCACCAGAAGGCACTTGATATTCGTTTGGCAGCATTGGGAAGCTCTCATGTTGATACTGCCAGCTCATACAACAATATCGGGAATGTTTTGGAAGATCAAAAGAAGTACGACGAAGCGTTGACGAATCACCAGAAGGCACTTGATATTCGTCTGGCAGCATTGGGAAGCTCTCATGTTCATACTGCCGACTCGTACAACAATATCGGGAATGTTTTGGACAATCAAAAGAAGTACGACGAAGCGTTGACGAATCATCAAAAGGCACTTGATATTTACCTAGCAGCATTGGGAAGCTGTCATGTTGATACTGCCGACTTGTACAACAATATCGGGAATGTTTTGGACAATCAAAAGAAGTACAACGAAGCATTGACGAACCATCAAAAGGCACTTGATATTCGTTTGGCAGTATTGGGAAGCTCTCATGTTGATACTGCCAGCTCATACAACAGTATCGGGTGTGTTTTCTGGAATCAAGATAAATATGACGAAGCATTGACGAACCATCAAAAGGCACTTGATATTCGTTTGGCAGTATTGGGAAGCTCTCATATTCATACTGCCAACTCATACAGCAATAGCGGACTTGCGTTGGAAGGGCAAAAGAAATATGACGAAGCATTGACTTACCACCAAAAGGCACTTGATATTCGTTTGGCAGCATTGGGAAACTCTCATGTTGATACTGCTAGCTCATTCCTCAATATCGGGTGTGTCTTTCTGGATCAAAATCGACTTGACGAAGCATTGATGAACTTCCAAAAGGCACTTGATATTCGCCTGGTAGTGTGCGGAAAAGGTCATGTCGCGACTGCTGAATCGTACAACAATATTGGTCGTGCTTTGTTCAGACAATGTAAATATGACGAAGCAGTAAAGATGTATCAACAAGCGCTTGATATTTACGTTGATGCCAATGGCAATCGTCATCAAGTTACTGCTTTGGCATACTTCAACATTGGAATGGCCTATGAGAAGCAAGCGAAATACAAGGAATCAATGAAGATGCTTTGTCAAGCTCTCGAGATTCAATTGCAAGTCCCTGTCGATGGTCAACAGTTAGTTGCAGACACGTATAAATGCATGGGAAGAGTCTTGACCAGCCAAAATCAGGAAGGCAAAGCCCGTGTACCAACAGACTCTTGATTTTGTCATGTGGCAGAATGGTTGAAACTCCATGGCCAACACTAGGGATAGAATATAACGAGAAGAATTTTAAGAAAACATCGCAAAATATGGCCACTCCAACCGCATGTCATCGTTGCTCGAGTTTAAAGGAGCCCGAACTACTTATTACACGATGTATGGATTTAACGCATATCAGTATCATGTACCTCCTAGTAATAACTGAACGAAGGAGAGTCAACCATGCAAAGCAGGCGACGAATCATTCGCGCTTCGATGTTTCGAAGCAACTCGCGGTCCTCATTATTGCATCCATATTTTAGGATAATAGCAGACACTCATATCCTTGGTTTGTTGATCAAATCTACTTCTATTCTGATTAAAAACACGATTAAACTCAAAATCATCACCATTGCCAATGGTTGTGGTTTGTTGGAATCATTGGACACAAAGAAAGTATTTGGTTATATTTTGTATGTATATGGATTCTAAAGTACAGAGTTTGGTATATAACCAATCTACTTTGAAGATTTCTTGGGAAGAAGGACAGCGTGAATGTTGGGAAGAACACCTCCCGAAGCAATCGTGACTCCTCCCAAAAGCTTGTTCAATTCTTCGTCATTCTTGACGGCTAGAGTAATGTGGCGGGGCACAATACGGGACTTCTTGTTGTCACGAGCGGCGTTTCCAGCAAGTTCCAAAATCTCGGCACACAGATATTCCAAGACGGCAGCAAGGTAGACGGGTGCACCAGCTCCCATACGAGTGGCGTATTTGCCCTGTCTCAAATAACGTCCGATACGACCGACGGGGAATTGCAAACCTGCCTTGGCAGACGAAGTGGTCGATTTCTTTTCGCCGCGGCCTCCTTTTCCTTTTCCTGTTTTGAGTACAGCAACGAAGAGGTTGGATATGAGATGTACTGTTCAAGCGACAATTGATAATGTACGAAGTCCTGCTGCGGTAATGGCAATGAAAAACTTACCAGACATGTTGATTGGTGTTATATTATTTAATTAGTTTCGTTGAAATTTGGTTTTGTGAGCTTTGATCGGAAAGGGTTTGTGGCGAATATCCGGGTTATCCCGAGCCAAACAAAACGAAAATAATTGAGATCTAAGGACAGACGTCGCGCTGGGAGACCGAAGGACGAAACTAGCGCGAGGTAACCCGGAGTGACATCAACTTCATCGCAAGCAAAAGGCTCACAAAAACCAAAAGCTTGCAAAGGTACGACTTGATTTCCTTTTCTTCTTCTTCTATTCAACAATTGATTGAATCATAGATACTTTACTTACTCATACGCCCTTCTATAATACTCAATCAACAGCAACTTTCAATTCCAGTCAAAAACTACTACTTTCAAAATGGCCAAGACTCCCTCCAAGAAATCTGTCAAGAAGGCAGCACCCGCCAAGAAGTCCGGAGGATCCAAGAAGAAGCGTGTCGAAACCTATTCTTCTTACATTTACAAGGTCTTGAAGCAAGTCCACCCTGACACCGGAATCTCCAAAAAGGGCATGTCCATCATGAACTCCTTCATTAACGATATTTTCGAGCGCATTGCCACCGAAGCTGGAAAGCTTGCCACCTACAACAAAAAGGCCACTCTTTCGTCTCGTGAAATTCAAACGGCGGTTCGTTTGATGCTTCCTGGAGAACTTGCCAAGCACGCTGTTTCGGAAGGAACCAAGGCTGTTACCAAGTTTTCTTCTTCTTAAGCAGCAAGAAAGCTTGGACGACTGGCCGGAAATGCATGGCACACTTCAAATTTTTATCCTTGGTCGATGTTATTTCTCACAAAGAGTAGCTGTTTTTGGTCGATGATGATGATTATGATGCACGCAATCTATCCTCCCAGTGAGCAAATCGAATCATTCCTTTTTATTGAGTACCAATCAATCATCCATTTATTGGTGCTCTTTGTACGATAGCAAATAACTCGAATGAATAGGTATAGTTTTTTATTAGAAAACGACTAGGTATGATGTACAGGTATAAACTAGTTGGGTTGGCCCTGGAGTTCCAAACCCTTTGCAATCGCCTGTCGCACACTTGCAACCGATATATGTTGCGCACCGTGAGACTTCAAGTAATTATCAAGAGCCTGTTGGTACATGACACGGGCTTTGGCATGTTGGTTTTGTTTGGTCAATACTCGTCCCATCCTTTCATATGCGTCGCCAACATAATCATGATGATTGCCAAGGACTTTCAATTCAATGTCGAGAGCTTGTCGATATGCCTCCATAGCTTTCTTATATTTCACTTGATTCTCATAGACAATTCCAAGGTTGGAGTACGACTGGGCAGTGTCAACATGGCGATTGCCAAGTACTTCCAATCGAATATCAAGTGCCTTTTGGTGATTCGTCAATGCTTCGTCGTATTTCTGTTGATTGACCAAAACGACCCCGACATTGTTGTAAGAATTGGCAGTGTCTTTATGGCGATTGCCAAGTACTTCCAATCGAATATCAAGTGCCTTTTGGTGATTCGTCAACGCTTCGTCGTATTTCTGTTGATTGACCAAAACGACCCCGACATCGTTGTAAGAATTGGCAGTGTCTTTATGGCGATTGCCAAGTACTTCCAATCGAATATCAAGTGCCTTTTGGATATTCGTCAATGCTTCGTCGTATTTCTGTTGATTAACCAAAACGATCCCGACATTGTTGTAAGAATTGGCAGTGTCAACGTGACGATTGCCAAGTACTTCTGACCGAATATCAAGTGCCTTTCGATGATTCGTCAACGCCTCGTCATATCGCCCCATGGCTAACAAGCAGATGCCTAAATAACTAAAAGGCAAAGCCACCTCCATGTGGCGATTTCCAAGAACCTTCAATCGAATCTCAAAAGCCTCTTGGAAAAGAGGAACTGCTTCCGTATAATTGCCTTGGCCGTACAAGATAATCCCGTCATTCATGCATGTGCTGGCTTTACTCAATTCAATCTCCTTTTGACGCGTACCAATAAGACATTCTTCGGTCACCTTATTGTTGTTAGTCTCTCCTGCGTCATCACTGTCACAGCTGATGATGATTGTTCCATCGTCATTCGATTCCTTCTGTTTCTTCTTTTGTTGTGCTTTGTTTTCCTTCGGAATCTTCTGCTTCTTTGTTCTCTGTGTTTTGTCGATAGTCCATACTTGAGCCGGCCTTTTCTTGTTGGCTTCATCATAGTCAATACCGTTCATGATGTTGCTTGGATTTGCTTTGCCTTCTTGTGGCTGATTTAACACTGGGTGACGTGCTGCAGCTATATTTGATGTTTCTCGCTGGTGCGCAACATTAGTAGATACTTCATTTGTAGCAACAGTATTGCTAGAGGCCTTAACCGTGTAGGTTCCTCCATTCACTAGCGATTCAAATCCAAGCACCCTTCGTTTCGTTTCAGCATTTTCTAAGAACTTTGTTTCGAGCGATGCCAACAAACGATCGAATTCTTTGTCATTGCTGATGTCATAGACACCGCCATCGTTGACAATGGTAACTGTTTTGAGTGTCATATTGATGCTTGCAATGCAAAAGGTTTGCGATCTTTCAAACGGCCATCTATTATAAAATAGATTGATTTTTTATAGTCCAATAAAAGTCGTATTATGGCGTTAAAGTAATAGGTGTGTAAAATCGTATTATCTATATAGTTCCGCTATTCAACAGATGTGATTTGTGTCGAATTTTGGGGAGTCATCCCTGTTCAGGGATGACTGACCCCCGATGGGTTAAAATTGTGTGTCACAGTACCGGTACCAGGTACCAGGTACGTGTACCAGGTACAGGACAGCTGCTTTCGCTATTTTGACTCCAATCCGAATTTAGGAGTAACTTCAAAATCAACTTCAACTCGAATTATGCGACTGTCTCAAAAACAAACGTGATCTGAATTGAAACTTGCTTAGACACGCAAATATAGTACCGGTAGATCACGCAAGATCGTGCCTAAAAAGTGAAACTTGCAGCAGACGTGCACGCATGTGGTGCCCGTATGACAGCTTTACAAAAGATCGTACCTGCCTCATCAAAATTGTAGGTACACGTACAGCACGTAGGTGTGTTGTATTTCGCTTGTTCAATTTTCGGTTTTCTCCAATCCGGCGAATGGCCACATGGTATACACAAGGGCCGTTATATTTCTCATGTGTGAGCCAGAAAGAACGATCGCACGCGGAATGTTAATTATGCTTGGAGGAGAGAACAACCGGGATATTCATCTACAATTATTGAAACATCGGGTTCGACGAATGCCGGTTGTCACTTCCACATGACGAAAAGGGCTATAATAATGGTTGTATGAAGGAATGAAGGAGGCGTTTCGTTTTTAGTCTCCTTTTGCGGTCAAGATTGAGCCAAACGCAGCCACCGCGGCTATTTTCTCTGGTGTGAAAGACACAAAATTGCCGTAAGACATGAGTGTGGACGCAATGATCATGGCTCCATCATTACAACTCCACATCCCTATGGAGTTACAAATATATAGCGAAGCAGACCCTGACACTAAGATTACTGATCTGCCCACATTCGAAGAGTCTAGTATTCGCAAGATTTGCAAGCTTGGGAGCGGATGCCACCATGACGTTTACCTTGTTTCAACGCAATCTAGGCAACAACTAGCTCTAAAATGTCTAAGTCAGAGCACAGTTCCGAATCAAGATCTATCTGCTGATCTCACAAATGATTTGATTATGGAAGCACAAATTCTTGCTGGCCTCGACCACGAGAACATTATCAAAGTTCGTGGGGTCTCTTGTAATCCCATTGAAAGCGGGACGGCTGGTTCCAGGTACTTCTTCCTTATGGACGTGCTGTCGGATTCTCTCTTTGATAGAGTCCAACGATGGTCTAAAGATGAGAGCTGTTTCAACGGAATCAAATCGTTCATCTTGGGAAAGCGAACGAGGAAGCTTGACCCCAAAAAGATGATGAGTCGCATGGAAACTGTAGCGATTGGAGTGGCACAGGGAATGGCATATTTGCACAACAAAGGGGTTGTTTTGCAAGATCTCAAGCCGGTAAGTCATCATGCACCCAAACTTTTCTTGGACACGTTTACTATTTTGAACTATCGCTCACAATCGGGCTTTCTTCTTCTACTTCCAGGCAAATATTGGGTTTGATATGGAAACAGGACAAGCCCGTATCTTCGATTTTGGAATGGCGAGACATTCTCTAGACCTATCGATGAACAAGACCGCAGAGATCTGTGGGACACCCCGATACATGGCTCCTGAAATCATGAAGGGCGAGACACCGACAAAAGCATCTGATGTTTACTCCTTTGGGTGCGTCTTATACACCCTTTGTAGTCTCAAGGTGCCCTTCCGGAGTTTTGCAGCAAAAGAGAACGAGCTCGAAGAATTCAAGGCTATGGTGATTGCTGGTGAAAGACCATCCTTAAAATGCATTCCCTGCCCTCTGGTTCGCAGCTTGATTCAAGATTGCTGGGCTCAAGATCCACTTGATCGGCCAACCTTTAACGAGATCGTTGAAGAAAGACTACCTGATATTCGCACTGAGTGTAACAACACCAAACAAAAGAAGTTAATCAAGAGAATCGACTCTGGTTCCTTGAATGATTCCATTCATGTGTCATTCCGAAGTGATTCTGGAATCACCATCTCTGTCAAGAGCTCGTTGTAACCAGACGCATGGTGAATGCTATTGAGCATTGATTGGACCCGTATCATTTTCACAAGGATGCACGCAATATTTTGAATCTCAATTTTCCTTGCAGAGAGAGATATAAACGCACATCTAATAGATACCATTTTGCTACTAACTCATATATAAGATTCTCTTCTTCACGGGATCCATTCGTCAATTCTTGATCATTGATCTTGAAGCATATTGGTAATACTTCACAGGAACGTAGTATCATAAGTTTGGTGCTTTTTAAATGTAGGTATGTCTCGATTGTTTTTGGCACTCGAGCTTACAGTTTCCGGCGATAGCTCGCCGGTGTTGGCCTATCTTCCACAAGAATGCACAAAGAGACACTTGGTTTTGCTTCATATTCTTTAGTCTATTGGTTGATTCTATAAATACATCAAAACACAAAAATATATCTACACTTCAGGCAAAAAGTCGCCCTCGGGTGCTCTTTACCAAACACTTGATCGGAATTGCATTTTCTGGTGTGGTCAGACTACACTGATAGAACAATAGGGATTGAATCACATTTTACCGCCGCTCTTGGTGCAACCAACGAAAGACGTTGGGGATGCTGGGAGGACGCACATTGTCCGGCCAGCCTTTGGGTTCGAGACTTTCAGCATCAATAGTCCTTGAGAACGAGCTCGAAGAATTCAATTCTACGGCGATTGCCGGTGAAAGACCTCCCCTAAAATGCATTCCCTGCCCTCTGGTGGCTCGCAGCTTGATTCAAGATTGCTGGGCTCAAGAAGATCCACTTGACCGGCCAACCTTTAACGAGGTTGTAGAAGAAAAAAGACTTCGCACCGAGTATTTGTTGCTGTTGTTGTTGCTCAACAACCACAACAACACAGACAGGGAGTAGTGGATGAACTGTTTTGAATCTCAATTAATTGCATGCGATGATAAAAGCTTGCGGTTTTGGACTCGTTTGATCCAATTTTCCACGACGCATATATTACAGCTATAGTATACCTCTATTAGAGTAGATATAATACCACCGTAACCGATCTACAATATATACCTACGGTATAACGTATCCCTGAAATCAATAAAGATTGATTGTAATAGTCGATCTAAAATGTTCCTACAGAAGTATAGGTATGGCTGCCGATTTTTTCATATGGATGTCGTTTAGTGCTCTACTACTCTTGTGGTATGAGGAACAAAATCAGGATTGGCACCATCTTTGATTTCTTGCGGCATTACGGACCCAACAGCCCATACTTGGTACTTCCATACATGCGTATTCTGAATGTGCTGATTGATTCATTCTCCATAGAGAGCCATCATGTTGACCAACCTGTAAAGGTCAAAGTTTGAATCCAAAAAAGCATATTTGTTTTGATGCTTTTCACACTCCTTGACTCCTAGTGCTGGCATTGGAGTTTCAATCCATTTGCCATTTTCTTTCGTAGGTATGCAACATGTCTATGGTTCTCACCATGAACTTCCAAGAAAATGTCAAGAGCCAGTTCGTACATTACATTGGCTTTGACGTGTTTATTTAGCTTGGTCAAGACTTCTCCAATCCGTTTATAGGTTGTGGCAACATCTTGATGACGATTGCCAAGGACTTTCATTCGAGTATCGAGGGCTTGACGAAACATTTTGAGCGCTTCCTTATATTTCACTTGCTTCTCATAGACAATTCCAATGATGAAGTATGAATTGGCGGTAAACTCGTGGTGATTTCCGAATACTCCTAAACGAATAGCAAGTACCTTTTGGTGATTCGTCAAAGCTTCATCGTATTTCTGTTGACTGGTCAAGACGCACCCAATATTGTTGTAAGATTGAGCAGTTTGAAGACTACTATCGCCCAAGACTTCCATTCGAATATCAAGTGCCTTTCGGTAGTTCCTAAAAGCTTCATCATATAGTTCTTTCCTGTGAAAGACACACCCGATATTGTTGTAAGATTGAGCAGTTTCAACATGACTACCTCCCAAGACTTCCAGTCGAATATCAAGTGCCTTTCGATAGTACTCCATTGCTTCGTCATGTAATCTTTTCTTGTGGAAGATAACCGCGATGTCCATGTAGGATTGAGCAATGTCAACATGACGATCTCCGTACACTGCTAAACGAATCCCAAGTGCCTTTCGGTAGTTCTTTATTGCTTCGTCGTACTTCTTTTTTTTGCCTAAATTAATCCCAATGTTGTTGTATGATTGAGCAATGTCAGCATTACGAGTTCCGCAGACTGTAAACGAAATACCAAGTGCCTTTTGGTGATTCGTCAATGCTTCGTAATAGTTCTTTTGATCGTAAAATATATCCCCGATATTGTTGTATGATTCGGCCGTATCTTCGTGGCGATTGCCAAGGATTTCCAACCGAATATCAAGCGCCTTTTCATGCATCTTCATTGCTTCGTCAACTCGATTTTGATGGTAAAAGACAAATCCAATGTTGTTGTATGATTCAGCAGTGTCCACATGACGAGCCCCGCATACTGCTAGATGGATTTCAAGTGCCTTTCGGTAGTTCGTCATCGCTTCATCATACTTCTTTTGATTGCATAAACCAATGCCGACATTGTTGTATGATTTAGCAGTGTCAAGATGACGATTTCCGCACACTTCCAATCGAATAGCAAGTGCTTTTTGATGCATCTCCAATGCCTCGTCATATCGTTTTTGATTGTGGAAGAGGACCCCGATACTGTTGTATGATTGAGCAGTGTCAACGTGTCGATTTCCACGAACTGAACGACGAATATCAAGTGCCTTTTCGTAGTTCTTCAATGCTTCGTCAAGCTTGTTTTGACTCTTCAAGACAACCCCGATATTGTGGTACGATTGAGCAGTGTCAGCATGCACACTTCCACATATTTCCAGATGAATTTGAAGAGCCTTTTGGTAGTTCCTCAACGATTCGTCATATCGCTTCATCCTCCACAAGCAGGTACCTAAATATGTGTACGACAAGACCACATTCTGGTGACGGTCTCCAAGAACCTCTAATCGAATCTCAAGAGCCTTTTGGTATAAATTCAGTGTTGCCGCATATTTGCCTTGGTGGTACAAAACATCCCCATCGCCCATGAATTTGTTGGCTTTACTCAATTGGATCTCGTTTTGAGGCTCATCAAGGTGTTGTTCAGTCATCTCATTGTTGGTCATCATCTCTTCTCCTCCATCACCACAGTCACTGCTTACAATGATTTTTCGATCGTCATTCGTTGCCTTCTGTCTCTTCTTTCTCTTTGCTTCGTTGTTTATAGTCGATTCATCAGCAGGCCTTTTCTTATTGGCGTCATCATCATATTCATGACCACCATCATCACCAAGATCACTTTTGATTTGTTTTGTTTTTGGTTCGTCTTCCTGTGGCTGATTCAATAACGTTGAAGGGTGTGCTGCAGCTGCATCTGAAATTCCTTGTTGCGGTGATATAGTGTTGGTGGATACTTCGTTTCTAGCAATGGCATTACTAGAGGCCTTAACCGCGTAATCATCGCCATCGCTCTTGATTTGGTTTGTTTTTGGTGCATCTTCCTGTGGCTGATTCAATAACATTGGGTGACGAGCTGCAGCTGCATGTGATGTTTCCTGCTGGTCCGCGATACTCGAGGATACTACATTGGCAGCAATTATAGTACTAGAGGCCTTAACCGCGTAGGTTCCTCCATCCACTAGTGAGGCATATCCGAGAACCCTTCGTTTCGTTTCCGTATTTACCAAATATTTTGTCTCCAATGATTCCAACAAATCCTTGAGCTCTTCTTTGTTGCTGATATCATAGACACCACCATCATCGGCGATGGTGATGATTTTTAGTGTCATATATTGATGCTTGGAATACTCAATACTGTATCAAAGGTTTGATCTTTCAAATAACAATGACCATCTTTGATTTTTTGTGATTTTACGAGAAAAAAAATTTGGTGTCATTGGTTCATGGACTCGTTTGATTCAGTTTCCCACTTTCTTACTACTTACTACCTTATTGTACCTATGATAGTCTCAATCTATGATTCATTGGAATGATTGACATACCTATCTTATTACTTACTCCCTTACTGTATCAGTGATAGTCTCTAGTAATATCTATAGTGTACATTGTAGTAATTCATAATTCAAAATAAGGCTGCTTCATCTACTCGTCGTGGAGCTCTCTTTCTCCTTGGTTCCCAGGGAAAACCAATCTCATTCAAAAGCTGAATTTGCTCGTTTGTCAGTGTTGCCATCCGGCCTTTCGCATGTATCTTCTTATTCGTTTGTCGCAATAGTATTGTATTCTTCCGTTTGGTCCGTTGGTTGCTCATCCAAGTGTACATACTACTTGGTCTTTCGACTTTGAAATGCCCATGTTGCTGATAAAAGTCCACGAGCTCTTGATATTTCTGGTGCCATTTGATTGCACGAGCACCTCCCAATGCACCACCACCACTGATTTCGGATGGAGACCACTCAAAGTGAATCTCATCCAACAATCGAATTTGTTCCTCGTTCAGTGGCGAAAAATCTCCCTTCCCAGCTCGTCGTTGACGTTGATTGACCATCCAGGTATATAAAGTACTGGGTGCCTTGATGGCTGCTCGTAAATCTCCATGTTCCCGGTAGCATTTGGCAAGCTCTTGGTATTTGTTGTACCAGGCAATCTCATGTGGTCCTCCCGTCGGCGCCCATGAAAATCCAATCGCATTCAGCAACCGAACTTGTTCCGGCGAAAGTGGTGTTTGCTTTCCCGTTCCATATCGTCGTTGTCGTTGAGTGACCATCCATTGATATAGACTACTCCCATATTTCACCTTGAGATGCCCATGCTTGTTGTAAAAGTTGACGAGTACATGGTACTTTGCGTGCCAGACGGCCAACTGCCGGTCTCGTTCGTCTTGTTCTGGATTCCAGGAAAAGTGAATCTGGTCCAGCAATTGAATTTGTCTGCTAGTAAGAGGTGTATATGGCTTGATACCCTGCCGTTTGCGTCGTTGGATAGCCGCCCAATGATGCAAACTACTATTCAATTCCAATGGTGCCTTGTGATGACTATTCCTGGGATGATGATGATGATGATGATGATGCTTTTTATTGTAAAAGTTGGCAAGCTTTTGATAGTTGGCATTCCATTCCGTCTCGAGAAGGTCTTCTCGGGGCGTCCATTGAAAATCAATCTTGTCGAGCAATCGAATTTGTTCCTCACTGAGAGGTGCATGATTGCCCTTGGATTTAACATTGTTGTTGTTGTTGTTTTTGTTGTTGTTCCGACGCTTGCATCTTTGATTGGCCATCCAACGATAGAGAGTGACACTTTTACCACTGGAATCATCATACTTCACCCTTGTATGTCCATGTTTCTCACGGAACTTGACCAGTTGCTGGTACTTTTCATTCCATGCAGTCTGGCGATCCACTCTGCCAGCTGCTGCTGCTGATGATGATGATGTTGATGATAAGTTTAATGATGTCTGTTGCTGGTGGAATGACAAAGTTGATAGTGACGCTGCTGATGCTGATGCTGATGCTATCCTTTTTATTGCGGGATGTTCATGATGGTACTGCGTGTTTTGAAAAGATGTTGCGATTCCAATTAATAATTGAAGGAAAACCACCAAGGGCAATGATAAGAATACTGAAGCTGAAGTCCTCATCGTTATTGTTCCGATTGGTAACTATTGCAACGACGATTCTGGATTGCTACATTCATGCATTTATTTTGTGCTCAAATGGTGATTGTGATGGCCACGATGTGAGTGAGTCATATACCGCAGTATAATATTCAACATCATTCGTCTTCATGAACGAATTTCAGATCTCATGATGATGTTTATTTTATTGATTCATCTACAGTATATCTCGCACGAACGCGTGTGCGCACCAATAAGGAACTATTGATTGATTCCACTGACGTCATCACACGTACTTATATAGTTTTAATGTTCTTGGCAACAAACAAACATGCACGCATCATGAAAAAGGAACAACGTTAACGGCTTCGCATCGTACTGTTTTACCGGGCAAGTGAGCAAATCTCATTCTATGATAGATGATGCGATTCCATGATGCCTACAACAATTTCATCTTGGTTGTTGCGCTGCTAGGACTGATACTTCAGCTTCAGCTTGATGGCGTAAAGGCCTTTGCTCCTAGATCGGAACAATCATTCTTACGACCAACCCTATCTACGACGACAATAAGAACCATTGCGCTGCAACAACAACAACAACAACAACAACAACCAAGGAACCCGTCATCATCATCAGCATTGAATTGCATTTGCATCAATTGCAAATATGTCACTTCCTGCAAGGCCTATCATTTTGTGGAAGAGAAACACCAACAACCTCACATGACCGAAGATCCTACCTTTGAACCTAGAAATGGATCTCCGACCATTCATGTCAATGTCCGAATCATTCGTTCTAGTGATGATGTCAAGTCGGAGTATGAACGAATGTACAAGGAACACGAACATGAAACCAAAAAGGCAGAAGCAGAAGCGGGTGGTGGTGGTGATGACAAGAATGCTCCCTTGCACGGAAGTGCCAAGTATGACCTGTCACCTGTCACCACCTATGAATACGATGTCGTCAAGTGCGAAGACTATGTCGAAGATATGGGATGCTGGGTCCGGAACATGCCTCAAGAAATCAAAGAAGCTAATCCTGATTTTGTTCCAACCTAAAAGGGATGCAGTCATGTGACAGAAGATTATTGCAACGATGATACAATATAGTATCATATGAAAGGATAGGAGGGTTATGGTGTGACTGATGCACCATTCGATAATGAATATAGGCTATAATTGTCTTGAACTCTATTACATGTACAACCATCAAAGAAGGCCTTGTAATTACGTTATGTAGACATCATCGTTATCATTTAAGGCAGCAATATTATAATACTTGCCGCTTAGTTATGTGAAATAGGAAATCCGCGCAAACCTTGAACAGCACCTTGTGCCTTTAACTCTTGTAGCATCTCTACAGGGTTTTGGTTTGTTTGGCGCTTTCTCTCTTGCTTAGTATCGTCAGCTTGCAGCAATGCTCTGGATCTTCGTCGTCGTAGTCGTTCTTCTTCTTCTTCTGTTGATACAAAGGTAGTCGTCCAGTTGGTTTCAATGTGTCGTCCTACTTCCAAGGCTGCAATAACGGCTGCTGAATCCAACCAACCAAGGTAGGCAGGACCCAAATGATCATTTATCAAGCCAGCTCCGGCATTGGGTGATACATTCCAAACGGAAGATGGAATACCTGCATGACCCTGATCCGGATCTCCAGCATGACGGTAATAGGCCCCCACTGGATTACGATTATTATGATTGTTGTTGTTGTCGTCCATAGCAGCAGCATCATCATCATCATCATCAGTACCACAGCGATATTGCATCAAATGACCGGCATGGTAATACTTGACATTGGGAACTCGTGGAACAATATCATTGCAAAAGACCATTCGCCATGTGACCAGGTTGGTCAAAGACTCGGCCAATACCTTGAACGCCAGGTTCCCTTGACGGGGGGCACCGAGGGAGGTAATCTGGGTTTGAATCTCTGGATGCAAGTAGGCATAGTAGGTACCCATCAATTGGGCATTGGCGCCACCCAAACTATGTCCCATGAAATGGACCGTGCTGTTGTAGTAATACACTGATGAGGAATCATCCTCTAAAGAAGTTCGTCGTCCCAACAGTTGGTCGGAATTCAAAAGGTCCACAATGTAGTCATACAGATTATCCGAAAAGACTTCATTGAACCCTTGATGGACCTTGACGGAAATGGTAGCATTTTTTATTCCACCATTGAGCCAATCCAAGGCTTCTACCACAGTCGTGGCTTGGATTTCTTTTCCAGGTGGTCCATACGGGACCTTTGGAATGTTCACATTCGTCGCCCAATCACCATCCGAGGTATCATCCGTTCCTCGAAAGACGACCAGAATCTTACCAGGTTCACCAGTTGTAGTGTTGGTTTCCGACGAAAGAATCATGACTTCGGTAGATCCGACATCCCGAAAGCCATGAAAGGTATAAGCGGGAGGCAACAATTCCAAGGCATCTGCTTCGGAAGCAATCTGGTAGGCCAATCGACCAGCCAACAAGACGGTTTCACGAGCCAAATCAAGGGACAAGACCTTTTCATCTGCAAAAGGATTCCGTGGCAATGGTGGGCTTGGAAGCACAATGGGATCGAGCGGATTCTTAATGTTGTTGTCGTTGCCATCCGTATTATTATTATCCGTATTAATACCATCAATAATACCATCAGTTGCATTCTTGTTATTATTCGCCGTTGCATTAGTAGTAGTATTGATATTATTATTGTCGACACCGCCGCCATCAATGTCAACAACCACTTCTTGCGCAATACAGCTCGTGGGGAGGGAAGTGAAGGAGATCACTAATAACAGCAAAAGCTTCATCATCATGGTGCGAAGGGAATTCATAGTGTACTATTATGTGCGAGACAACCATGTGCACATAAAAACAACTATGCCGTATCGTATGTGCGGCGAAAATATAAAAAAAGCGCGATAGATGACATCCGAAGAACAACCGGATGCGCTCAAAAGATACCGGCTGTGCTGTTTCGACTGAAGCGACTTTCAAAAAAACGTCTTGCCGGTCGGTGGTGTAATACGATGATGTGCGCTGATTCAAACATCAATATAATCCAACATGATGTGATGCCCCTCATCTGTATATATTATATCTTGTGAGCTCAGTACGGCGGACTCCAAGATCTCAGAAATAGCCAAGGATGAGGAGAAGAAGCAAGTCCTAAGCAGACGAGGAGGACTGAGTAGACTAGTAATTACAAATATTTTACGTTCTTTGGAGCACCTCGAATGAAAGCCTTGATCGCTTTAAGTTCGATATAAAAAAGAGAGATGAACGAGGATTGGATAACAATGTCACATATGCACGGCAACACCGAATGCTAAGATTATTGATCAAATATCTTCCACGTGTAATGCAATGTCTGCCATACGCTCGTGTCAGTTTTCTGTGATGGGAGATATGCGACATCCGTACAATCATCAAAATTCTTGGATGAGGTATTATTCCTATCTTGGATTCTTTGTCGTCGTACTATTTGGACCAGGCACGGCATTCCAACAGAAACTCCCTTCTTCGGTAGAACCCCGAACGCATGGAAGCAGGGTTCAGCGACCTGCGACATGCTTGTGGCAAACAACAGTCGACCGCCACCAAACAGCTTGGAATGACAAATACGAGGAGCTCGTCCACTTTTACAAACAAAATGGGCATCTGAAGGTGGAATATAAAAGCAGTCTGTATAATTGGATAATAAATCAACGAACCAGACGTGCAGGAAAGAAAAACCAAGCGGCGCTCACTGATGAACAAATCAGACTATTAGATGACATCGACTTTCATTGGGCTCCAGTCAAAAGTGATTGGCAGACCAAGTACGAGGAGTTATCCAACTTCTACAAAAACCACGGGCATACGAATGTGGAGTATAAAAGCAGTTTATACAATTGGATAATGCACCAACGAAACAAACGAGAAACAGACGGAATCCATGCAACTCTCAGTGAGGAGCAAATCCGATTGCTGGACAAAATTGATTTTCCATGGACACCAAGAAGGCATAGGCTTCAGACGGCATGGAATGCAAAGTATCAGGAACTTACCGACTTCTACGAGGAACATGGGCACGTGAGGATGAAACGTGGAACTAGTTTGTATTGGTGGACTGTCGTCCAACGTAGAAAGCGTGCGGGCATCCAGCAGTATGTACCCCTCACGATGGAACAAATCCGACTGTTGGACAAGATCAACTTTACCTGGAACCCAAAGGAGGACAAACAAGAACGCTTACGGGCCATGTGGCAAGCAAAGTACCGACATCTTGCTGAATTTTACAATAAGCATGGCCATCTGAAGGTGAAATATGGAAGCGGCCTCTATACTTGGATGGCCAATCAAAGACAGAGGCGAGTTGGAAAGGGAAACCTCGCCACGCTCACTGACGAACAGGTCCGGCTGCTAGATGAGGTTGGGTTCTCATGGGCTCCGACAGGAGGTCCTCATGAGACTGCCTGGCACACCAAATACCGAGAATTGGCCAATTTTTACAAACAACATGGGCATACGAATGTTACGGCACCAGGTAGTCTGTATACTTGGACGGTCAATCAACGTCGACGGCAAATTGGAAAGGGAGACTGCGTACCACTGAATGACGAACAAATTCGATTGTTGGATGATATCGGGTTTCCGTGGGCTCAAAAAGCATGACTTTTGAAGGATCTAGAAAGCACGATCTGAATTCCACCAGAAGAAGAATCTGCTGGCATCTTGGTTGGAACTGCAGCTCCGGTTGCTGTTCAATGTAGTGCCCTCTTGGGAAGCTACTGCCGCCCATAAACAAGAAACGCCTAGTGTCTGAGGAAGCCGAAAAACCCACCTACCCAAGAGAATCCAAGCCTTGAAACAGACAGCAAACTTTACCCTAGTAGACTGAAAATATTCTAATTTGTTGCTCTACAGACATACCATAGCAGACTAGGACTCAGTGTGTGTTCTTGACATCATGTTACATATGTGCTTCTCTTTTCAGAGACGTAATCTACTTTGACTTATTTCTTCCATATCTGACGGCCAGCTCAACTATTTTTCTTTTAGATCTGATTCCTTTGCCGCATGATATCCATCTATCATGTGAGTGCCGATTTTATATGTGAGCGATGATTTTGTATGTGAGTGAGTGAGTGTGACGACAACAACACGCAATGTGCGTAAGGTTATGTTGGCGATGGTTGGATAAGAAACACACGACAAATGCTACCTGCCAAACACACAACGGAATAATGACAAAAATGTACATATGAGTCACATGCAGTGAAAGGGAGCAAGACTTGCATCCATGTCCTAAATCAATACCAGTGGCGTTAAGTATCGGCATTTTAACGGTTATTTGACGCCATATTGTTTCTCCATTGACCTCATTTATTTTTCGCCTCATATTCCAAATTTGCCGTATTCAAACAAAACAAAAAGATGGTACAATCATTTATCCTACTACTTCTTTTCCTTGCGCTTGCCCATGGCGACCATAGATCAGGACAACGCTGGGCAAGAACTGCTCGATCTTTCAAATTGGGCGTAATCAAAAGTGTGACCAACAGTGGGCCAAATGATTGGCTTGGAAATTGGGATTGGGCCATCGATTCCTGGAGTCAATCCAAAGTATTGGATCTTGTAACGGTTCGAGGCGCAACTGACTATCAGACACGGCTTGATTGTCCCGCGAGGGAAGGCTACATTCGCGTTTGCAACAACGACTATGGCCGAACGAGTTGGCGAGGAATGGCTCGATGGAGTTTTCAACTCTACGATGGGAAACCTGGTCTAATTTATCAGTGTACCGTTAGACTAAATGATCGAACGGATACCGATTATGAAAGAAAGTGGTTGGGCCATGAGATTGGACACTGCTTGGTAAGTAATTTTTTTTGCACATCTAAAAGCCGTTCATATGTGTGAGAAGTATTGGAAACTGATTGTTTTTTTCTTTCATCGATTGATTCATCCTCAATCCAGGGACTAGACCATACCAGTACCAGTGGCCAGTCGGATAATAGCGTCATGGATTATTCGGTAGCACCCACAAGCATTGGTCCCAGTCCAAAAGACCTTGCCGTCTTGGAAAGTGTGTATTCGGATATCGATTGGTTTGATTCGGCAGCCCGTCTGGATCCACTGACGTGCCCGCCCTCCAAGTTGGCCCAAGTCGCAGCCGCCTGTTCTTGCAACGGACCGTCCCCTGGATTTGCATGGTTCAATGAACAAGAATATCTCACATGTGTGGGTTTCATTGTCGAGGATACTGGTTGCAACAAACAAGACGTAGTTGACCTTGCCAAATGCATCCCATTTGATCTTCCAACAGAAGATGATTCACCACCACCACCACCCACCAGCCAACCACCGACCATAAGTCCAACCAGGAGACCGACACCGGTCCCCACCAGGGCTCCCATCACAATCGAGCCATCCGAAGTGCCATCCGACAAACCAATCATTCGCCAGCCAGGAGAAAGATCTCCGTCTACTGGCAATGGCAATGATCCCACGTCCGAACCCAGTGACTTTCCCACACGCAGGCCATCCCCATTACCGACTGACGTTCCTACTGCCAACCCCACTTCCAAGAGTAGCGACTCTTGTTCTCCCATCTTGTTGTCCCGACTGGCCCAAGAGTGCGATTGTTTTGGTCCACGGAACCAAGTACAAGTCCCTTGGGCAGTCGAGGATGAATATCTGCAATGCGTCGACTTTGCCGCAAAAAATACACCCTGCCCCGTCCAAGCCTTGATTGATTTTGCTGGTTGCTTGCCTTTTCCAAACCCAACACCAACACCGACGTTGACACCGACCATTCCAGGCAGCGCCGAGAGACTATCGACCTCATCTCCTTCGGTGAATGTCGATGATGTGCTGATCTCGCCACCAACGGTTGTGATTGACGTCACTCCTGTCATTAATACCAATCCTCCAACAAATCCTCCAACCCGAGGACCCATATTTCCTCCCACGACCCAAGCACCAACAACGCTTTCTCCCACCACCCAATCTCCCACCACCAAGAATAATATTAATCCAGCTGCCGAGTGCAGCAGTGCCGAAGTGGCCCGAGTCTCCTCGGAATGCAATTGCAGTGGCCGCCAGAACCAAAAGCCTTGGAAGCATCAACGTGACTATGAGCGTTGCGTCAAAAAGGCCTTGGAGCAGAGTCCAGCAGCATGCACCTTGGAATCCTTTCTGGATGCCACTCGTTGTGTGATATTTCCTGAACGAAATGGCGGCGGTGACGATTCCAACAAGAAAAAGAAGAAGAGGACCAAGAAGAACTTGGTTTCTGCTCCCACCGCCCCCAATGGCGGCAATAGCAGCAGCAACAATAACAGCAATCCAGCAGGTCCTGTTTGCAGTCAATACAGCAATGAAAATGGCTGCAAGACTGGAAAGTGCAAATGGTCCAAGAAAGAGAATCAATGTCAAAGCAAGAACAGTCGTCGTCACCGGCAGTTGTTTTACAAAGACGATCAATATCAATATCATTCCAATATGATCCCAAAGGAAGAAACCAAAGAGCAACATACACTTCGTGCTTCCTTTGGTCAAGTGTACAACAGTGTTACCATTGATGAAAGCGACAAATGCCATTATGATCGGGAATCCTTTGGGGTACCTCCCGAAGCCACCTTGGTGATTTCAACTCCGAACTCTTGCCGGTATGCCATATTGCAATCTGGCGGAACGAAGGTCGATGTGATCGAAGTCTTGTTGTAGAGAGTAGAGGTGATAAAGTGCTATAATGTCGTCATGACATATGATACATATTCTTTCAAATGTAATACATCCATTGGACACATACATGATTGGTTCTCGCTTGATAGGAGATTGTCAACGATGATGATGATCATATGCTAGATGAAAAAGAAGTGGTATCTCCTCTCATAGTAGCCTGCCGGTATTCTTTTCGTGACACACTTGCTGAAAGATACTTCAGCGTATCCTATCTTGGCCACCATGTGAACAGCAATGCTTCTTATGATCCCATCAAAAAGAGAGTACGAGTGACAGGAACCAAAAATATCCAATCATTTTTTATTCTACGAGTAAAAACTAAAACGGATCCTGTTCTTCCACCAAACCTCCGTTTCTCGGAGTTCTGATCGGTGTTGCATCGCATGGCCAGCATGCGTTGTGGACCAATCAGATACGACCAATGCGTGCAAAGTGCAAGTCACACGCGTGACGTCGGTATTCGGGTCACTCCGCGAAGTCGGTATTCGGGTCGCTGAAAAAAATGCGGAACAAACAAGATACCTCAACCGTTGTGATTGATTCACACACACAAAAAACATTTTTCGTGAAAGTCATACAGTCAGTACCAATACAATACAATACCATAACAAAACAAAACAACAATAACAATCACAATGAAGCAATTTTCGTTCCTAGCAGCCCTTTTCATCACTCTCTGCTGTGCCTCAATGACGGAAGCCCGAGTTCAACGAGCTACCCGCCCATCAGCAAGACGTAAGTTTCCGTCGAGTGACTGAATTGAAAATTGAGAACCCTGTGCCTGTACTTAGTCGGAGTCATCATCCTCTCACTTCTGTGATGTTTCTCGCTCTCTCGCGCTCTCTCTCTCTCTCTCTTTCCAACGATAGTCTGGAGTCAACCATTTATCCGTCCCCAATTCTTCAATGTCCGACAAGTTCTGGAAAAAACCAACGGTGACTTGTATTCTCATGATGACCACCATCAGGACATGAAAGAGCAGCATCGTCATCATCAACAAAAGTCTATTGAAAGCATTCGTCAGCCTCAAAAGCATCACGATGACAACGCTTGTAAATTCGTGTCGAGACAAGAAATCATTGCCCAACCATTTTTGGATTGCATTGCCTAAGATTAACGACAGACAGTCATTATTATTCATCGGTGGACGATGGTGCATCATATCCGATCCGAAGATCGAATGCAATGTAACTACAATAAGTGTACAATAAAAAAACATAGACAACAACGATACAGGTAACATATCGTTTTTTGCTGATATGGATAGCAATATGTTGATGAACACCATCGGTACATCTTGATTTGATTCATTCATCCAAACGATGCGATGAACCATAATCCAAAGTTCATGCATTATCGTAATAACGGTATATGCGTACTGTACTTTGTCATATTGCGGAATGCGTCCGTTTCATTACTCGATTCGCATTCAGCTTGCTTCGGTCTTTTGTCTCTTTGGTGCAGTCGTAGGACTCGGGACATCTTCGTTGTCAACTTTCCCAAGACGCTCAAAGATCTCGGGGTGATCCCATACAGTATAACAAGGAACAAAACACAACTGAGGCACTTGGACCTGTATCAGTCGGCTTATCTTTAGTTCAGCAGTGAACCACGGTGGAGAATGCGAGGCCACAATGCCAGAATGCCACAAAGATACAACGGTTTGCGGACTCCACTTATTCAATACCCTGTCGACCCCCTCGATTTACATTCATGGAATGGCCCACTTCAGTTCCGTCGCAGTGGCAACTAATTCAAAGCTATTCCATACTCTTGGTTGTTTTAGACTTATTTTAATCGGCTTAGTCTTATTCTATTTGCTTTTGCGGGTAGGGTACCAATATACGAACTATATACTGTCCCTTTAAAAGTTAAAAGCAAAACCAATTCATTCATTATAAAACATGTTATTGTTATCGTGGTAGCATCTCCTCGAGTAAAAGACTCAATGCTTCTGCAAACGACATGTCGGATTCATCGTCATAGCCTCCATGAGGAAGATGCATCGGGAGCTCGTTCTGATACAGCTCGACCAATTCTTGGGGCAACAAGAAGGATTTCTGATAGGCAATGATGGGAGGAATTGTTCCCGATAGTTTCCACTCGGAATCGGGAGGACTCTTGAAATAATTCTTGTAGCCTCCCTCCTTGTCAATGGGCAGTATCAGTATATCACAGGCCATCACAAAGGCATAAAACTTGCGATCGTCATTCAATTGTTTGCATTTGATTTCCGTCTTGTTTTTGTATTGGGCCATTAACGGTGGCATGTGTCCCCTTCCCAACATTCGTATCCGAATCTTTGGCCAAAACTTGGCATTGGTTGAATTCTGAAAAAAGGGAGTAAAGAAATCCCATTTGCGTCGACCAATCGAACCAATGGTGCAAATCTCCAATTTCTTATTCTGGGTGTGCATAGTAGGCTTATTGGGCGCTTTCACCATACGAGGCAAGGCTGAAGGAACAAAGTATCGTTCGTGGTGCGGAGACATGTAGATGGCATTTGGGAGGCCCCTGGTCCACTTGCACAAGCCGTGATGAATGCAAATGTGAGGAGCATCTTTACTAGAAGTATCGAGCAACCAAGACTGGGTAATCTCATTGCATGGACAACTGGCTTGAATGGTAATATCCCAATTTTCTTGAACCACAAACTTGGTTTGTACCGCTTGACCAAAGGATCGTTGAATGCCAGTGGCATGGTCCACAATGGACGTGTTGGAAACCCGTTGATTGAAATCGGCGAGCCAGGATTTGGGCCTCACACTCCCATCCGACTTGACATCAAATTCAAAATTTAGGTTGCGCGGATTGCAGGTAATGCTATTATTAGTATCAGTAGTAGTAGTAGTGGTAGTATTGCCTGGCAATAAATTGGGTTGGAGATATTCGTAGGGCATGAGTTTGGCCACGGATTCAATGACTTCGTAATGACTATATAGATATAGATATAGACGTATTTCAAAAGAGGGAGATGAGCGATGTGAGCTGCGAGGGATGAGATTGTTGGTTCATATCGTGGGCATCATGAAACTTACGCCAAGAGCATATTGGACACTCGAATTTGGCATGCTGGCAATAGATCATTATGATTTATAGAAATGTTGGTGCTGCTGGGCTGTAAGGTTGCTGCAACTGAAGTAGTCTTGAATGAAACTGTCGATTCTTCTACTTGTTCGTCTGACTTTTTCCAATTAGGAGGGGAGGTGTCATTAGACTCGGATGTTGTCACTGTTGCATTCCTTGAATCGTCTTTAAGAGAGATATTGAGGACAAGGTTGTTAATGGCCTTGTATTCCACATTATTATTGTTGTAGCTGAAACCTACTGACGACTTTTGAATGCCTTGGAGTTGCTTTAGCAGCAAAACAAGAGTGACCAAGACAACAAACACGCGACGATAGGAAGTGCTGGCTGGAGCCAAAGGTGCAATATCATCCATTATTCATCATGCATCGGTTTTATCAATTGATGAACTATAATTGGATAATTGGTATATGTATGATGGACAGTTGATGATGATGCTGCTGCTACTGATGATGATATATATAATGCGATGCGATGTGTGTGATGACAACATCGTAATAAAAGAAAATTAAACCACGAATTATCCCCCGCCTCCCCCCTCCCCCCAATATGGCAGGAATTTGGGAACGCATGCATGAATGAATCTGCGGTGACAGAACAAAAATTTCAAAAGGGAACCTATTTTAAAAAAGATTTGAGGGGCTTGAAAATATTGAACAGATACTTTGCCCCACCCTTGAGGAAAATTCCAAGTTTCTCCAGCAGGAGCAACTGTTAGAGGGCGTCCAAACAAGAGTATAACGGTAGTTGGCATGCAGGTTATTCATTTTGTTTTGACTCAATCGACTTGAATTTGCTTTGAGGAAATGGATCCACGTGTATTATACTGTATATTCTTGGACACAAGGAGGGGAAGTCACCAATCATTACTACTCGTTTGTCCGCCATTATCGATAATGATGACGTGATGTAAGCATGCGCATTTTCAATCTCATGTTGCATTATCTGCTCGTTAGAGTGAATTATAGCTATTGGTTGGTCTACCGGTACTGTCACCACATCTTGATGAAAACTCTTCGTGACTCAAGAGTCATGTGGAAGATAGATGACGCACTATACACTTGGATGTACCGACTGTACGAACAAGCAAATAAATACTTCCACCACGATACTGCATGGTTGCAGTAAAGTAGTAGCTATATTCATACATGTCACCCGGTGGTCAATGCAGCTTGCCGGCAATGCTCGCATTTGTCTTGATTTCTTCGAACTCGTCGAAGTATATACTCACTCTCTCGATGGACCCATCATTCATTCTACTAGCTTTCATCGCAGTCGCTTCATTTCATCGCACTTGTTCATTTCATTTCCAGCAATTCATCTAATAAAGAGCTCAAGGCCTCTGCAAATCCATTCGGTTCCAGATCATCAAATCCTCGATGAGGAACATGTAAAGGAAGTTCCTTGCGGTAGAGCTCTAAAATCTCATTGGGCACCAAAAAGGGTCTTTCAAAGGCAATAATGGGAGGAATGGTTCCCGACAATTTCCAGGTCGAATCGGGTGGACTCTTGAAATAATTCACGTAATTCTTGCCCTTGATCCTGGCAATCGGCAGCAAAATCACTCCGCAGGCACGTTCGGCCGCATAGAATTTCCGATCGTCCCCAATTTGATTGGGTTGAAATTTTGTTTTGTTCTTGTAGGGCCGTAGCGGATAGGGCATGCCACCCTTGCCCAACATGCGGAATCGAATCTTGTCGTAATATTGTTCATAGTTGGTACTAGTGGTGCTGTTTGAATCGTCATCATCATTGTTTTCAAAAAAGGGTGTCACCAACCGCCAATTCCGCCGCCATATGGATCCAATGGTACACAAGTCAATCCGATCGTCTCGTTTGTCTTGTTCGGCAGGATCCAAATCAAAAATGGGCAAGGAGGATGGTACAAAGTATCGTTCAAAGTGTGGTGACATTTGAATGCTATTGGGTATCGAATCCGTCCAATTGCACTTTCCATGATGGATGCAAACATTGTGATTGTCGTGATTGTTGTTGTTGTTGTTCGTTATTAGCCAATCGCGCGTGGCAGCATCGCATCCACAAGTGACTTGAATCACAACATCCCAATTGGTTCGATTATTGGAGCGTCCCAAATAGGCCGGACCAAGGGTTCTTGTCACGTTCAGGTTGTCTGTGATACTAGTCCCGGCCACCCGGTCATTCATATCGGCCAACCAAGACTTGGCGCGTACCTTTCCACTGGCCTTGGCATCGAATTCAAAATTCAAATGATATGGATTGCATTGCGCATTCTTGGTCTTGTGGTTGTTGTTATCGTTGTTGTTGGTAGTAGTCACCAAATTGAGATATTCGTAGGGTATCTGTTTGGCAATGGATTCCATGACTTCGTAATGACTATATGCATTATATATTTTAATATACATACATATATGTATTACAAAAATAAATGTGAGTGAAGACGAAAACAATGATATCCGAATTGCCAAAATTCAATAGTGAGCAATCATATAATAATATATATATATATATATATAAGACTTACACTTCCACCATGTTATAAACTCGAATTTGACACGCTGGGTACTTTTCATAATATTCCGGTGGTTCCTTTGGTAGTTTTGTTGTCGGCCGAGGAGAAGCATCGTCGTTTATCATTGTCTCGATTGTTGTTGTTGTTGTTGTTGTTGTTGTTGTTTTTGCCTCTGCTGAGGTCCGATTCGCATGCAATGGCAACAATAATGACTTTGTCGACGAGTTCTCCTCCTTCTTTTGTCGAGTAATGCTCATGTTGGCAGTAGTCGTTTCCAACACTCTTTCTACTGCTTTTTCATTGCGAAAAGAGGACAACAAAAGCAAAATGCCGAGGATTATGACAAACTTGGCGTTGCGACTGAGCGTAGTACTACTACTACTAGTACTAGTAGTAAGGCGATTCTCCGTGTCATTTGTTGTTGTTGCTGTTGTTGTTGTTGTTGTATTCTCCTCCATCATGATGATGACTATAATGAAGAACTACTCGTATATTCGAATGGGTAAGAGCCTAAAAGTCGTAGGCACAGTATCATTTGCAATTGTCATTCCTCATGGTCATTTTACTAAAAATGTGTTGTGGAATGTTTTGCATGGGGATGATATACCGGTATTATGGTACCGGTACCGGTATGCATGCAGTATAGTTAGATTGGGACGATACGTTGGACTTCATTACAGTCGAAAGGGTCAAAGCTTCTTATTTGATGTCATTGGAATCGGAATTCGAAAGCTGGCATCGCTGACGTGACTTCCTCTCTTTTATTGAAGAGAGGCTCACGTCCGGATCCCATAATTCTGGAAAGGCTTACGTCATGGGAATTCCGATCCCTATATTTTGGAAAGTTCAACGGCCCAATGAAATACAGTATGTTGGATCCGCCGGCCGGGTGCAAGAACATTCGAATCCTAAAAATAAGTTTGGTGGGTTTGCATCTTCCACGCGACTCACTCCAATCGGTATCTTCAACAAAACAAGACACACGCATACCAGTACGGTACCGTTACCCATCAGAATCCTAACATACGGTATCCAAAGACATCACAATCATTACCACCTAACTTGAACCACAGAACAAAACGAATACCAATCATGATGAATTCCAAGCTTCTTTCTCTTTTGGTCGTTGTCCTTGTTGCCACATTGGCATCAGCTCGAAGATCTTCTCCATCATCTGGTGTTCGAGGTAAATAAGCATTATCCGAAAGGTTGCGGGATTACTCCTTGGATTCATTCATTCATTCATTCGTGTTCTCATTCATTTCATTTCATTCCATCTTCCATCGATCAATATTTCAGCCTTTTGGGGTCGCCACCACCGAGTCTCCATTCCCAAATTGTTTGACAATCGTCAAGTCATCAACAACAATTACAATTACAACAGTATTATGGAATCCAAGATGGTCGCTTTCACGACATCCTCCTCCTCATCATCATCGACAGCAGACGAAGATGACCATGTGGGCCAACCAATCAAAAAGCTTCACACTCAAGAGGAATTGGTCTATCTTTCCTTTCATGGATTCTAAAAAGAAGAACGAGGTCCACATGAAAAAGGGCAAAACCAACCACGTCTAAAGAAAGGAAAAAGTGGACCGTCCTTGGAGCTACTACTACTATTACAGAAGTGGTCGATACATATACACAACACGCAAGAACAAATCCCGACGACTGCTGCTTTACTGGTCCACATTCATATTGACGAGCGATGGTTTATACTACCTACATCCACTGCTCTGCATCAAAATCATCATCATCATGAAGGGAACAACATGCTCGCTAGCTGGCTATGGAATGAATCTCAATACTGTACATTATATAAATTAATACATTATTATTGTTTTATAATACCTTGTATGTGGAACAAAAAACATAATTTTGCAGTATACTACAGCACACACAGAGTATAATGTCAATCATTGGAGCAATTTCGAATCATCTTCATCGGGAGTCCAGATCATTGAAGAAACTTCCATGGCAATGTCTTCCAAGAAGAGTGTAAGACGTCACCAAAACAAAATCTCGTCTGGACTATCATGTGTGATAGTAGTTATGATGGTTATGATGGGTGGTGGTGGTGGTGGGTTATTCTATATTGATTGATGATCATTATGATCATGGTGAGCACATTGGTAGATTCAATGTTTTGGGTAGGATCATGTGTTGTCTGTCCTCAAGGTACTTGTTCCATTCAGGCCAGTGGTCCTTGCGAGCATAGTTCAGCGGTGTGTGTCCTCGCTTATCAGGAAGCAATAGTAGATCAGGACACTTGTTCAAAATGAGATCTACGAGTTCACAATTCACTGTGGGGGTCCAAAAGGCATCGTGCAACGGGCTTCGGCCCATATCATCTCGAATATTCAATGGAACCCCCGCTTCGTACACCAAGAGTTTCACAACAGGCGATAGACTCTTGCGGCAGGCCAAATGCAGCAACGATTCGCCAAATCGATTGGAACATTTGAGTGGTCGGTTGGATTTGTAAAAGCTTCGAAGAGTTTCCAAATCGGAATCTCGGATCGCACGCAAAACTTCCTGATCGTAAGCTTCGAGTTCCGCTTCTGTAATGACATCATCGAAAAAGGTGTTGGCTTTTTCAACGGCGATGGCAGTAGTACCATCGACTCCTTGCCTCCGTAGCATGGAAAGCAAAGAAATCTGAGGATCGACAGTGCTATCATTGGTGGCTTGACTATTACTTCTACCCACAATACGAACCGCTCGCCGATGGTGAGTATGAGCACCGGCGGAAGCTGCTCCTGCTGGATTGACTTCGGATAGCTTTCGTTTCTTGACCAACGAGGGGCCTTGCTCAGGATAAATGCTAGGGAGGTCGCTCACTTGCATGGTATTATGATTGTTTTGCATGATATTTGTTTTGTTTTGTTTTGTTGCTGTTGCGTTTTGTTTTGTTTTGTTTTGTTTTGTTTTGTTTTGTTTTGTTTTGTTTTGTTGTGTTGTGTTGTGTTGTGTTGTGTTGTGTTGTGTTGTGTTGCGTTGTTGCTGTTATTGTGCGAACAATCCTCAGCTTTCAAAGATGATGAAATTGATTGAGAAAGGTTCGAGGTTTGCGTTCTATACACACAACTTGTGCAAGATGGAATTGATGTTTTTTTCATAAATTACGTGGCGCAAAAACCAGCTCTTTGACGTGGTGGATTATTTAGCCACAAATTCGTTTTGATCGGTGGTTCGACACGCTATCTTCAACCAATTTCGGTTAAGAAAACTGGTTGATTTCTCCGTATTCTCTGGAGAACATCCAAAATATAGGTCTTTCATTGGCCATTGATTAATTCGTACATTATTCTCCATCATTTCAAGTGTGCGTTTGTTGGTCGCAAAAGCGCAAAGAGCTATTCTCTGAGTGCGTGTCACAAAATCCACGATCGTGGTGCGAGTGTCAAACAAATCCAAAACCGTAACGCTTGCATGGTATTATAATAAAAAATATATATTGAATATATGCAGCTGCTCACATACGTTGCATGCATACTAACGTCTTCGTTTTATCATTGATTGGTGCAAAGCATGTGCCGTCAGAATCTTTTTCACTCCGACAAAGATCTTCAATCATCGTCGTCCGCAATCCTGACGAATAAACAAAAAGTACTGTAAACATCATTATCTGCACTTCCCCCTCACCAGCCAGACGACGACGTGCACAAGAACAGGTTGCAAAAATATGGCGCTAATTCATGTCTACCAATTATCGATAGTAATGATGAAGGGCCCATTTCAGCTCGAGCTGGCTACGATCTAGAACAGTATGGCTAGAGTGCATAGAACGAATGGATCTCCTTCGTTTCAAAAAACCACTCAGATTCAGGAACTGAACAAAAGTGACTTTGTAGTACGCACGAGGATTGATTCTATTCTCTCCTCTGCCAGTCTTTTTGATTCTAAAAGATTGATTGCTGGAAGTGCTTAGCTCGTCAGCTCCAAATCCAATTCCAATGTTTGTGACTGAGCCCTGCTCCTTTAAAATTTCTAGTTTCATTGATCCATTCTGTGGGTATCATCCCTGCTTGACCTGCAGCAATTGTCGATCGGCGAATCAAAGAAAAGGCTGGGACTGAATACCGACAATCTACCAAGCCGCTTTGATTGACCAGAAAGCTTTTTAGACAGCTATTCCTCAGAAATGCAGCGACGTTTCAGTGACAGAAAGTGCTGTGCCGCTCGTTGCTCCAAAACCATTGAATCATGTTCGATTGCAGCAACGAGCCTTAAAAGAAATATTAAGACCACCGTGGCCCGTCCAGAGAAATGCCAAAACCGTGGCCCTTCCAGAGAAATGAGACCGAAAGTATAGCAAATCCCTCAACTGTGGCGTTTGCAGTACATCAAGTCCTCGCCAAGTGATATCCATCGCATCTTTTGAATGGATAGGCATGCTAGCGTCTGCTGAGCCGCTGTGTCGAATGATCGATATGGTGGTCGGCGTCCTATTCCTTTGCTTCCATCCATTTTACTGGTAAATCTCTTCAATCAATGTTCTGAACCAATGAAAGTAATGAATGCAATTCTTCCACCAATTTGGGATCTTTGTCATTCTCCAAAATCCGTTGCCGATATACTTTTCGAATGCGAGCCATGGTCGAGAGTTTGGCTGTTCGGGCTGACCCATTGACGGAAATGACAGACGCCACCAGAGTTGGTCGTCGATCAAGTTGTGCCAAGGCTCGTTTGGTACTCGATCCAGTCATGCTGTCGTCTTTAGTCGTAGTTGCCGCAATGGCAGCCACATCGTCTGCAATGTTTCGAGTCAACATAGTAATGCTACAGCGAACCATATTGCAAAACTCTCTGGGTACTCGAAGTAGGACCAATCGAGTGGTGGAATTGACAAAGCGTACTTATAACGAAAAGAATTAGGCACATGATCAATCAAGCATTAGAAGGCCAATATCAATGATTTAATGCAACCCAACATAAGTTTATTTGCTTGTCATCAAAGCAAAGCAGCAAACGCACCTTGAGTCTCCATAGCCGCCCCATCGGCTGCTACTCCAAAGCAAGAGGAAATGGATTGACGAATCATCAACGCGAATTCCTTCTTGGACGGAAATGACGTATTTTTGTTGTCATGTTGCTTACTGAAATCCACTTGAACTAAGATCCATCTTGCCTTATGTCTCACCATGATGAAAACACTACTTCTGAGATGCCTTGCAAGTTGCTAATGTGTTTTATGTTGTAGGTTGTAGGTTGTTGTTCATCATACTGTACATAATCTTCTGTTTCAAAACATCACGCGTTATTATTGGATGGCTTCTCGCGTCTGTATGGTGTACGAGAACCACGTGTATTCGTGTGAGTCATTGCAGCTGGGCCTGAGCAAGATTACTGAGGTTGCGCAAGCAAGAAAGAAGCTTTCGTTGACACTGCATGAAACTTATGGAACTCGCATCCTGAGAGTTCCTTTCGAACCCCGACTTCAGTTTTTACTTATTGTTGCGCCAGATCAGTTCCAAAACATCACCATATACTGTATCCAACTCTTGGAGGAACCTCCTCGGCATTCCTGTGGGACTTCACGAAACAGAACCATCATCATGTCACAAAACCAAAACAAGCGACATTTTCAAACTTGCACACAAATAAAAACAATGAACAAGATCTCTCAATCAGTGGTCAAGTCCACTCGCCGTGGCAGCTTTCAAGAACTCAAGAAGGCATCTCGAAAGGCAGTTGCCTTTGACCAAAGCGTCCTAGTCTTCGAGGTCGATCATAGCGTCACCGAAGAGGAACGCAATGATATGTTCTACACCGATGAAGATATGAGATCCTTCAAGACAGAGATCTGGAGATTTCAAGAACTCGCTGAGAATAGCTTTTCCCAGCAAATGATGTCTTCGCCAACAGCATCTGCTGCTGATGCCGACACTTGGTGCCCTGCCTGTTATTCAGGCCTAGAAGGATTCCTAAATCCCGAGCACAAGATGAAGCACCGACTCCAGGGTGTCTTGTCAGTTCTGATGGAACAAGATAGACAATACAAGGAACAAGGCCTCTTCACCCCAGTCGATTTTGAATCCATGTCTCATTCTTACCACATGGCATCCAAAGAGAGCCAGGAGGAAGCTCACCAAAGAGCATTGACTCACCGCAAGGTTGTAAGCATGGCTGCTTAAGTTTTGCCGTTGGGGCGATTGTGGGCCCCATAGAGTCTGAAACAAATCACACAATTTTGATAGACAATAATAGAGCAATACAAACAGAATATATAATAAAATGATACAATTTAAATGACTAGTCCTAGCTATTTCAAAATACCAGTAGAAGACAGGAGATTTGTCTGTAGCGAGCTGCAGTGTTTCAATCGACAATCGGCATTTGTTTTTCAAAACCTTTGGGGATTGCTAAATGGCGTCAGTTTGTTCTGAAATAGCCTAATAAGTGTTTGTTGCTGATTGTCAATAGATGTTCCAGCGTGGGTTGAGCGGTCATTCGATGGCTGTTGTTCGAAGGCTTTTGATATTGTACCGGTATTGTTTCGTGCAAGTGGAGCGGATTGAGTGTCCAATGCACTGACAATATTTTTCATTCCGTTTTCGCTCGATCCTTGTCGACAATCATAAATATTATAAAATGAAAGCCATACTACTGTCAATGTTTCCTCTTACATATATCCACATTCACTCAGAGCGAGTGTCCATACATTCTCATATATATACCATCACTGACTCATGACTCGCTCCTGTGATACTCAGTCCTTACTATTGATCTGCAACCACAACGGTGTATCCAAAGGAATCGATGATACTCAAAAGACTCTTGTGACACAGGTTTGGCTTCTTATCGGTTGACAGCATATTTCCTCTTTGCTGACCAAACAAGATACGAGGCTGCGCAGGCGTTTGCTGACCAGCCAAGAGGCAGGCGTTTTACTCCACCAACACACCGCGCGGTATTTTCATTCTGCTAAATTCTGCCGTAGAATGCGTATACTGTACGTGTACCTGAAAGTGCACGTGTATTATCTCCACAACATTTAGCCATCACGCACCACGTGCGACCCTTTCTGTCGCAGACCGACACTTTTACCCCGCCCAAAAAATACATTTAGCCACGACTAGCGACCAGCTCACATAATTCTTGTCTTAGTCATACGGCGCACTCAAGTTTTGATACGATTAGTTGACTCTCACAACTTTTAGAATTCAGAAATCTCATCACTCCTTCACTCACTCAATATGATTCATCAACAACAATCAAATCTACTTTCATCTCATGTCTCTCTCTCAGAATCCACCAAGAGCACCATGAGAACTACAAGGAAATCGAAAAGAAGATCGAACACAACAAAGAAGGTCTCCTTCAGTAGTAACGTTCTTGTCTGTGAAGACGACAGCTTTTCCCAAGCAGAGCGAAACCAGATGCATTATACCAGAGAAGATTTCAGCTCTTTCACTGGAGCGGTCCTACAGTACATCGACAGTGTTCGCCGGATTGAGCATCAGTCTTCACAACCATACTCCTCGACTCTTCTTTCCACGGGACTAGAAGGTTTCCTTCACCCCGAGCACAAGATGAAACATCGACTACAGGGTGTTCTTGCTGTTCTGATGGAACAAGATAGACAATATATGGAACAAGGCCTCTTCACTCCAGTTGACTTTGATTCCATGTCTCATGTTTACCACATTGCATGCCAAGAGAGTCAACAAGAAGCCCATCAAAGAGCACTCTTGACAGAGCAAAAGCTGAAAAGCGAGGCTTTCTTTGCTCCCAAGTCTCAAGTTTACAACTTTACACCTCAAGAGAGTCAAGAAGAAGTTAACCAAAGATCCCTGGTTCAACGCAGGGTGGTCAGCATGGCTGCCTAAGTTTTCATGCTTGGAAGCCAGACTAGTGGCTATATACTGCTGTGGCCTGTGGGATGATCGCACAATTTTGATAGAAAATACTATGCTAATACAAAGGAATATAATACAATAATACCAAAAGACACCATTCATGACTATGTAGTAGAAGCCTTGATTGTTTCCTGATTTCATAATACAGCCAAGTATGCCACCTTATGGTGTCATTACGTGGCTTACAAATTCTAAACAGCACAGGCAGTTTCGCAGCTTTCAGGAAGTATACATCACTATTACTCCTATACTATTTTTCATTCCTGAAGGACCCCCCTATCTTTACCAACATTATTTACAATGGTAAAGTGTTATCATGGAACAGTGACAATGATGGCAACAAAACAGTGCTCGAGGACGAGGAGAAGAATGGTCTGCGATCAGACGGATGATCGAGACGCATCTGTACTCCAAGCCAATCGCACTGTTTTTTGTCTTTCGCACAGTATTCGGTCGCTTGGCAGCCACACATCGAGGACACTACTTCAAAAGTTGTTGTGTTCGTTTTGATGTTGACACGAATTTTCGCTCAAATGACGTTGGATGACAAGGATTCGTTCTGAACGCGTGAAAACATCGAAGCGTTTCGATTAGCACGTCAGCCCCAAGAATGAACATAATTCCCCAGAGTTCTACCGTGAAGGCCAATAAAGCTTCAGTACTTAGTTTTGTGGAAATTCTACAATCCCCCAACTTCAAATCAAATTTGAAGAAAACCAAAACAACTCATTCACTTCAGAAGCGGTCTCGACCCCGGGTCTGGAGTTCTATTCCTTTGAAATTCGAAGAAGAATCATCGAAGGGATGAATCAGTCATCCACCCATCATCTCATAAATTCATAATCCAACAAATTCAAATTCAAATCAACATGATTCATGATCAACAATCGAAGCTTCTTTCAACACAAAATTCTCTTTCGGAATCCTTCAAGAGCACCATCTGCACCAAGGAATCCAAATCACCAAGATCGAGCAAGAAAAGGAGGGTTTCCTTCAACCGCGACGTACTAGTCTGTAAAGACGACAGCTATTCCCAAGAAGAACGAAAGCAAATGTACTACACAAGAGAAGAAATGCGATCCTTCATTGGAGCGATCCGACGATACCTACAAAGAGTTCAACGGATCGAGAGTCGGTCGTCTCGAACATACTCCTCTCCTCTCATGGCCACAGGCCTAGAAGGTTTTCTTCACCCCGAACACAAGAAGAAGCACCGGCTCCAAGGAGTCCTCGCAGTTCTGATGGAACAAGAGAGACAATACAAGGAGCAAGGTCTTTTCACTCCAGTGGACTTTGATTCCATGTCTCACTCTTACCACCTGGCATCGCAAGAGAGTCAAGATGAAGCCCACCAAAGAGCATTGACGCAGCACAAGGTGGTAAGCATGGCTGCCTAATTTTTTCAAGCTAAAGACCCAGCTGGAGCCACGATTATTGGGCTCAATGAGCCTGTTGTTGCTTGCTGATTACGCAATTTTGATAGAAAATAATTTAGGGAAATGCAATTGATGATACCATATATATAATACTACATGCCTTTTTCACGCATGCTCTGGACTCTTCTAAATTTTGTCGCTTAGGAGATGAGATGACGGAGCTATAGTACTGATTTGAAAAGCTCATGCCAGCCCTGGGTAAATAGGTGGAACATTCGTTGTTGCTTTCTCTGCTGTTGGCCTTCTCTCGTAACATCCTCGATTGGGTGGATCGTCTACTGCAAAAGACCTTGTATCCTTAATGCGCTCCATTTTGCTAACTGTATCAATTCTGCATTCTCAGCCAATCGTAGTGGACCAGACGTCTCCCTGAAAAGACTTGGAGTCGTTTCGATAGATGACGTTTGATGACGAAGGATTGATTCGTCTTGCCAGCACATTTTACAATCCGACAAGGAATTCGACTTTTGATGCGAAATAATTCAATTAATGACCAAGACTACCTACCATAGGTTTATTTAGGAAAGATTCTTCTAACCAACGAATACCTATCTGGTAGGTGTAATATAGCTCTGGTGACTATGTGACCACTTTTAATAAGCACAAGAACGAGCTCCAGTCCAATCGCATCCTCACAAATTCCGAATTCAGTTTTTCGAAAGCCAATTCAGACATGATTCAATACCAACACCCCAAGCTACTTTCAACTCAAGAATCTTTATCAGATTCAACCACGAGCACCATAAGCACTAAGCAATTTAAGCCAACACACAGATCGAAGAAGAGAAGGAGGGTTCTTTCCTTCAACCGCAACGTTCTAGTCTATGAAGACGACAGTCATTCCCAAGCAGAGCGAAACCAAATGCACTATACACGAGAAGAAATACAGTCCTTCGCTGGAGCAACCCTGCAATGCATCGACAGTATTCGACGGCTTGAAAGTCAGTCGTCACAAACAAACTCCTCGCCAATAATGGTTACAGGCCTTGAAGGTTTTCTTCATCCCGAGCACAAGAAGAAGCACCGACTTCAAGGAGTCCTCGCGGTTTTGATGGAACAAGAAAGGCAGTACAAGGAGCAAGGTCTCTTCACCCCGGTCGACTTTGATTCCATGTCTCACTCTTACCACATGGCGTCACAAGAGAGTCACGAAGAAGCCCACCAAAGAGCACTGGCCCAACACAAGGTGGTAAGCATGGCTGCCTAATTATCATATCAAAGATTCAGTTAGAGGCATTCTTGTTGCTTTCAATGACGAGACAGCGATCAGAGCAACGTAATGATTATTTCCGGATGACACAATTTCGATAGAAGATAAAAGTAGGATTGATTTCAGTGATGATACCATATAACTATTTCAATGCCGTTCTTGTTGCAAAAACATTATACTACGGAGTGAATCATCATGGACGTTGTATTGATTTGTCCCTCACAAGTACAGACTGGTGGGAACGTCTACTTCAAAAGACTTCGTTTCGATGGATTCATTCGTTTCGCTTCCAGCATGGGCGAGTACGATTAATACTGTACCACTCGTTTGGTGGCGATTTGCCATACCTACCGGTAGTTTATTGGAAGTGCAAATAAGACCCAAGACCGAAAATGTGTCTGATCCGCCGGAGGTAGAATATTTTTATCCGGACGATTTTCTTTTCGATGGAAGTTTTTCAATAAACAATAAACACATTTATCCGAAACCCTTTTCAGACTACCTATCCAGAAAGACTCACTCGTCTGGACCCTCAGCAACTCGTCTGTCTGTCGTCCAATTTAAACGGGGGGAAGCACTTTTCTCTAGTCTTCCCCCATTATGTTTTGCAGTCAAATTTAGGGGCCCCAAGTTCTACTTTTGGGTCGAATCGAAACACGACAAACCAGTTCGAAACACGACAACAGATTCCGAAACGCGTAATCGAAGATTACCCGGCGCCGCCTCCACTCCTGGGCTTGAATCGCATGATGTAGTCTTTGTCTGGAGAGATCGCGCACGTATGCTACCATGGAAACTGTGGCAAAAGCCCGATGCTACATACGAGAAGCGAGTAGGTTTGGCACAGTAGCGAGGTACTAAGTTAGTGACTGGTTTGCACCGAGGTCGAATCATAGGATTCGAAAAGGACAATCAATAGGATTGACAGACAAACCCGGACCAAATGGGGTACCGAGCTATGGTGCAAATGAGAGAGAGGGTGGTGAGGGCGGGAAAAGCAAAAAGAGCTGACGGTCTTGACCGAGCAGCTAAACTCCTTCTATCGCCTCCATCATCCCACAAGCTCCCATTGCGAACAATGTCTTCTCCAAATCTTCCGTCCTCTTCGTCGACACTCTTCGCTCCGTCCGCCAACCGTGTACTATCCTATTGATTGTCCTTTTCGAATCCTATGATTCGACCTCGGTGCAAACCAGTCACTAACCTAGTACCTCGCTACTGTGCCAAACCTACTCGCTTCTCGTATGTAGCATCGGGCTTTTGCCACAGTTTCCATGGTAGCATACGTGCGCGATCTCTCCAGACAAAGACTACATCATGCGATTCAAGCCCAGGAGTGGAGGCGGCGCCGGGTAATCTTCGATTATAGATCGGCAAGACGGGAGACGTATGGGCGTTTCTAGCTCTTCCTTAGTCTCAATTTCCGTCGTGTCGATTACGGCGCGTCGCTTCAGTGAAGTACACGGTTGGCGGACGGAGCGAAGAGTGTCGACGAAGAGGACGGAATGATTTGGAGAAGACATTGTTCGCAATGGGAGCTTGTGGGATGATGGAGGCGATAGAAGGAGTTTAGCTGCTCGGTCAAGACCGTCAGCTCTTTTTTGCTTTTCCCGCCCTCACCACCCTCTCTCTCATTTGCACCATAGCTCGGTACCCCATTTGGTCCGGGTTTGTCTGTCAATCCTATTGATTGTCCTTTTCGAATCCTATGATTCAACCTCGGTGCAAACCAGTCACTAACCTAGTACCTCGCTACTGTGCCAAACCTACTCGCTTCTCGTATGTAGCATCGGGCTTTTGCCACAGTTTCCATGGTAGCATACGTGCGCGATCTCTCCAGACAAAGACTACATCATGCGATTCAAGCCCAGGAGTGGAGGCGGCGCCGGGTAATCTTCGATTACAAGATTTTTCGAAAGACGACAAGATTTTTTGAAAGACGACAAGAAATTTCGAAAGACGACAAGATTTTTTGAAAGACGACCAGCACCCCCGATTGACAAGATTTTTCGAAAGACGACAAGATTTTTCGAAAGACGACAAGAAATTTCGAAAGACGACAAACCAATTCGAAAGACGACAAACTCGAATGAAACACGACAAATCAATTTGAAACACGACAAAATATTTTTCGGAAAACCTTAATGCCCCCTTTTAAACAACTCCCCCTAAAGAATCATGTATCCGCTCCCCGTAAATTCAATACGCAAAATCCCCCTTAAAACGACGAAGGACGGACGAGTTGCGGAGGGTCCTGGCCAATGAATGACACAAATAGCGGTACATGTATCGCTTTTGTAATTTTTCGAGAATAAATATGCCACAAGAACGAACCCCTTTTCCCTCAAATTCCGAGTTCACCATTTCAAAATTCAAATCAGCATGATTCATCATGAACAATCAAAGCCGCTTTCAACGCAAGATGCTCAGTTGGCATCCACTAGGAACCTCATCTGCAAAAAGGAATCCAATCCAACAACGAGCAGGAGAAGGAAGGTTGCCTTCAACCCCAACGTTCTAGTCTATGAAGATGACAGCTTTTCCCAAGCAGAGCGAAATAAAATGCACTATACAAGGGAAGATTTCATATCTTTCACTGGAGCAATCCTGTAATACATCGACGGCGTTCACCAGATTGAGAGTGTGTCGTCAAACGCGTACTCCTCGCCCATCATGGTCACGCCGGGCCTAGAAGGTTTTCTTCACCAGGTCCACAAGATGAAGCACCGGCTCCAAGGGATCCTCGCAGTTCTGATGGAACAAGAAAGGCAATACAAGGAACAAGGCTTATTCACCCCAATAGATTTTGATTCCATGTCTCATTCTTACCACCTGGCATCGCAAAAGAGTCAAGAAGAAGCCCACCAAAGAGCATTGACTCAGCACAAGGTGGTAAGCATGGCTGCCTAAACTTTTCAAGCTAAAGACTCGCTGATCTGAAAAACATTGCCAGTCAGTCGGTCTGTCGATCAGAGCTGTTTGCTGATAACACAATTTTGATAGAAAATAGTGTAAAACAGAATAATACTAGATTTTGCTGCTTATGAAATGACGGTGCTAACACTTTCTGAAGCTCATGCCAAGCCTGGGTAAAAATGTTGTAGAAAAATTAGACTCATGTTGTATTTCTCCTGATTTTCGATTGGTTGGAACGTTTACTGCAAAAGACCTGGTGTGCATGTATTCGTTTGAGTAGTGCTTCGCCCATCACATTTCGCTGACGACTCACTCCAACCATCAGATCAGAATTCTCAGACAATTGCAGTGGATCAGACGTCTACTGGAAAAGACTTCGTACCTGGTACCGGTATTATTCCTTTGGCTTCGTTTCGTTGACAGAATACGGGTACACTTTCTAGTCTGGTACATGACGTGTGATGATGAGAGCGACGTTTTTCATCCATGCCATATATTGCATGTCGATCCTAAAACTAGAATTCGACGAAAAGTTCGTTTGATGCGAAGTTTTGGACAGGACTATTTATCCGAAAAAGGAGGAAAGCTTTATTACCTTTCTACAACGCCTCCATGATCTATCATACTACAGCACCGTACCTTCCGGTACCTACGACTTCACAGCACATTCTTAGAAAGATTTGTCTGATCAGCGAGTGACACGCATGCAGTAGGCCTTGCTTTGGTAATTTTTTCTAAGTACTGTACGTATCTCATGATTGACGCCGCAATGTATTTTGGAATACGAGCACACGATCAAAAAGCACAAAACGAACTCCATTCCCTATCTCACAATTTCCGAATTCAGCATTTCGAAACGCAACTAAAAAATGATTCACTATCAACATGCCAAGCTACTTTCAGCACAACTGTCTCTGTCAGATTCGACCAAGAGCACCATGAGTACAAAGGCATGCAACACAACAAAACGATCAAACAAGAGAAGGAGAGTTTCCTTTAACCGCGACGTTCTAGTCTGTGAGGACGACAGCTATTCCCAAGAAGAGCGAAACCAAATGCACTACACAAGAGATGAAATGCGATCCTTCGCTGGAGCGATCCTACAATACATCGAGAGTATTCGCTGCGTTGAGAGTCAATCGTCTATAACAGACTCCTCCTCGCCTTTCACGGCCACAGGCCTAGAAGGATTCCTTCACCCTGAGCACAAGAAGAAGCACCGACTCCAAGGTGTCTTGTCGGTTCTAATGGAACAAGAGAGACAATACAAGGAACAGGGTCTCTTCACTCCAGTCGATTTCGATTCCATGTCTCACTCGTACCACATGGCATCGCAAGAGAGTCAAGAAGAAGCTCACCAAAGAGCATTGACACAGCACACGGTGGTAAGCATGGCTGCCTAACTTTCAAGCCCAGGCTTCAGGTAACTGGAGCCAATGTGGGTGCTAATGGTCTGTTGATCAATGCAACAATGGTTGTTCACAGATGACACAATTTTGATAGAAAATGATGATAGTAATAGAAATAGTCATACGATTGATTTCCACACCATAATATAATTTATTGCTCAATGCCGTTTTTGCTGCAGAACTGCCATGCTTCAGAGAGAGGGAGAGAGAGAGAGTGCTGTGGACGAATAGTTGCACTGTTAAAAATTCATTTGTCATAATCGACTGATTGGAACGCTTAGTGCAAAAGAAGCTCCTTTGACTTCGCTTCGCAAGTACACGTTTCACTCGGCTCCTACGACGTTGGATGACAACGAAAAGTTTTTTTCATCAAATGCATAGTGCACGTCAGCCCCACGACTGAAAATGTGTCTGATCCGAAACTCTTTTCGTAGTACTTTTCAGTAAGATCCAAAACTACTTGGACGCGATGCTTCTGCCCAACAATAACTGACAGCAGGTTCCGCCGCGGTAATTTTGTCTAATAAATCTGAATTTTCCTGGTTGAATGCGCGTGACCACTAAACACAACCAACGAGCCTCACAAATTCCGACTTTCGCAACACAAATCAAACATGATTCACTACCAACACCCCAGTCTACTTTCTACACAAGAATCTCTCTCAGATTCCACCAAGAGTACCATAAAGACCAAGGATTTCAAACCAACAACCACAAGATCGCAGAAAAGGAAGGTTTCCTTCCACCGCAACGTGCTAGTCTGTGAAGACAACAACTACTCCCAAGAAGAACGAAACCGAATGCACTATACAACAGAGGAAATGGAATCCTTCGTTGAAGAGATCCAGCTATTCTTAATAAGCATTCGTGAGACGGAGCGTAGGTCGCCATCTAAAACATACTCCTCGGCTGTCTTGTCGACGGGCCTCGAAGGTTTTCTTCACCCCGAGCACAAGCAACAACATAGACTCCAAGGAGTTCTCTCCGTCCTCCTGGAACAAGACCGCCAGTACCGCGAGGTCGAATGCTCGACACCTGCTGATGTGGAATCCATCTCGCAATTGTATCATGCTGTCTGCCAAGAGAGTAAGGAAGAGGCATATCAACGAGCACTGGTGTGTCACTCGAGCTCATATGGCGCTTGCATGACAAAATGGACAAATGGAAATGCTACACCACCATCATCACGAACGAGGCAATAGAGCCTAGATACGCACTCTATTTGTGTAAAAGATACAAAGAAAACGTCAATAATAGAATAATAATATTTTCAACAAGAAGAAGCTAAAACTACAGTATATGATATGTCGTACAGCTCCATGGCCCCTTTAGTATGAACTACCAGTATAGATCGCGAAAGAGAGCACAACTGCCGACCATATTCCATAGGGTGCCCGACTGCATTGTAGATATCATTGACCTACAGCAATCTCAAATTGAACTCGTTTTATTAGGCTGGAGACCAGCATACTATGGTCCATCCAGGACAGCCCCGCCCATTGTAATACAAACGATTGTTATGAATGAGTAATCACTTGATCATGGTATAGGTCCTTCCTGTTGCAATATCATCCTTGCCGACATGTTGCAAACGCTCCAGTTGTTTTTGTATTTAGCCTTGGGCGGTTACTCTCTTTGCGTTGCATACCAAGCCTATTATGTACCCGCCTTGTCACTGACGCACGTACCAGGTACCGGTAGGATTTGTACAGCATTGCAACCTTTCGACCTCTTTGATTGTATGCGCACGTCCAGCACCCCCGATCGACAAAGTGCTTGGTGCTGTCAGCGAGAGTTCTCACCGCCGTTTGGACACGCCGTTCTGGATTTTGCTCAGTTGTCGGAGGAGTGAGAGTCGGGGACCATATTTAATAAAATAATATCGTACTTATTTTCTGATCCAAAACAACTTAGACGCACCATTTCGATGTTTCTGATCAAATAGTGACTACAGGTTCCGCCGCGGTATTAGTAATCTTGTCTAAATATTTTTATTAAAAAATCTGAACATTTTTGTTTGAATGTGTGACCACTTATGACCACAACCAACGAGAGGGTCTCACAAATTCTGACTTTCGAAACCCAAATCAAACATGATTCACTACCAACACCCCAGTCTACTTTCTACACAAGAATCTCTCTCAGATTCCACCAGGAGTACCATAAAGACCAAGGATTTCAAACCAACAACCACAAGATCGCAGAAAAGGAAGGTTTCCTTCCACCGCAACGTGCTAGTCTGTGAAGACAACAACTACTCCCAAGAAGAACGAAACCGAATGCACTATACAACAGAGGAAATGGAATCCTTCGTTGAAGAGATCCAGCTATTCTTAATAAGCATTCGTGAGACGGAGCGTAGGTCGCCATCTAAAACATACTCCTCGGCTGTCTTGTCGACGGGCCTCGAAGGTTTTCTTCACCCCGAGCACAAGCAACAACATAGACTCCAAGGAGTGCTCTCCGTCCTCCTGGAACAAGACCGCCAGTACCGCGAGGTCGAATGCTCGACTCCTGCTGATGTGGAATCCATCTCGCAATTGTATCATGCTGCCTGTCAAGAGAGTAAGGAAGAGGCCTATCAACGAGCAATTGCGCGACTAAAGGGACAATGGCGCCTGCACGACTAAAGGGAAACAAGAAACTGCTACCTACACCACCACAAACAGTAGCAACATCAGCAACAAGACAATGGAGCCTAGATACGCGCTCTAGTTGTGTAAAAGAAAGATACAAAGCAAATGACAACAATAGAAAATAAAAGTAATAAATAATGAGGAGCGAAAACGATAGGCTATAGTCTTTTTATATTTGTTGATCTACCGTACAGCTCCATGGCCCCTTTAGTATGCACTACCGGTATAAATCGAGAAATTGAGCACAACTGACTATATTCCATAGGGCACTTGACTGCATCATCGTGCAAATCATTAACCTCGTCGCATGCATTTTTCTCTTGGACTGTTGAAGCGATAGTAGCATTATCTTATTATTCTAACGATCGTTTTGAAGCATCATCAGTTGTATTCGGTAGAACTGAATCATTCTCAGTTGCAATCGGTAGAACCGCAGTGAAGGCAATGGTCAGTGCTTCATGGTATTGCCGTATGATATTCAGTTCCTTTTCTGGAATATACGGCGTGGCTGTTGCAATATCATCCTCGTCGACACGTTGCAAATATTCCAGTTGCTTTTGTACCCAAGCCTTGGGCGGACACTGTTCTTTGCACCAAGCCTTGTACCCGCCTTGTCCATCCTGATCGACGTAGAGAATCATGTTGTCGTCCAAGTAAAAGGTTTGTGGATATTGTTCCACATATCCAAAATCTCGAAGCATTTCAGGTGTACCCCAAGGGACATGCCCACAGTCAGGACAGTGGTAGTACGAGTAAAACAACTCATCCCCCTTGTCCAAATCTTGAAGAGCGTAGACACCAAATCCATTTCGATCGTAAATGGACGGCCTCGTAATCGAGTTAATTTTCCCTTCGTGTGAGTTGAGCATATCATAAATTGGAATGAGGGCTTTATCGTACCCACGTTGAATGGCCATGGCGACAAAGAATGGATTCAGATATTCATTCTCCTCGTCACGAGGATTCAAACATTTTGTCTCATAGTACCTGTCAATCCACTTTGTCATGCGACTCGGATTGACAAAACCATTATCATCCACCATGAACAAGTCCCCTTGTACTCTCAATAATAGATGCTGACCAGATGGGCTCCACATAGCAGGAATCTGACCAAAGGATTGTTCCTTGACATAATTGATATACGGCAAGTACTCTGAGGAGTTTCCTTTGTCGTATTCCTCCTTTAGGAGCCATGCCAATTCACAGACACTGGATTCATATCCCAGTCCATGTTTCGTTTCCTTGCTGAGCTGAAGTTTTATCGAACCTGGAATCTTTATCAGCGTTTCATTGACCCCGACGGGACCATTGACAAAGGCACCAAAAAATGATGTGGGATCACTGGGATCAAATCGCCGTATCTCCACGTTGGGATGAAAGTATCCTCCTTTGGATATGCTCCATTCTACTAATTCTTCCACCAATCTTCCCATGACATCCTCTTCTTCCTTTTTTTTGAAAGTAGGAAATTGGATTTGAGTAAAGCCTGATATGTGCATGGCGGCTTGACCCATGGCATTATGTTCCAGATCCACGTTGGTGGTCGTCAACGCCAAATTATAGATTAAGAACATGTTTGTGGCCAACATGATTATCAGAATAACACTGGATATGCTTCGAAAGCTACTTCGTTCCTTCATTTTAAAAGAGCAATGTTATAGGGGAGAATGATGATGGTATTATATACCTGAAAACCACAGGTGAAATGAAAATAAAAGGCGATGATGTGATGATGATTCATGAGGTTTTTGTCGAAGGTTTAGTCAGCTGAGTCCAACATTGTTGGAGTGATGCTTGTGTTTCTGGTCTGGCCATCGTCTCACTTATGGATTTTGGCTATGTCGGGTCACTTTCACGTCAGCATCGATCGTGCCAAATTAAAAAACATCAAAAAGCGAAGGCAACTGTTATTCAATTTTGCGGGAGCATAAGAATTATCGTGACGGTATCTTTCAGCAAAGAGTATAGTAACCGTCCCATAATATATATATGCAGCCAGTGTATTATCATCCGATTCCAACTGAGACATCATGATAGAAACAGATAATGAAGCTGTAAGCGACGGGGCAATGAATGAAGAATCCGGCAGCAAAGGGATACGTCGTCATGAATCATCATCACGACGGCAGAAAGAATCGGCAGCAGCTGAAAGCAATCACGACAATCTCTCCTCAGAAGAGCTACAGGAAGAATCAAAGCAAGACGAAGATATCAGAACTGAGCAACTATTGCAACGCAGACATGGTCGAAGCAAACGACGAGTGAAGGATGATACTATTAGACCATCATCAGCATCAGCATCAGCATCAGCATCATCAACACCAACAGTAGATCCTCGAGAAACCAATCAAAGCCAATCGTCCAAACGACGGCACAATAAGAGCCATCGTCAACGCCGAGAAAACAGTCGAGGAATTTCAGAACGCTCCAGATCGAAGCGCCGCCACAAGAGTACCCGAGCGCTGACAGAAGAAAGTACCATTGAAGATAATGATGCTCAGACGACACAGGACAATTCTTCGGATGATACTCGTCCCCTTGACATCTTGAGCGACATTCGAAACTATGGAGCCTGGGAAGACGAAGAAGAAGCGAATAAGACAGGGAAAAAGAAGAAAAAGGAAAAGAAGCAAGGGGGTGATGACGACAGTGATGATCCTTCACAAGGATTCTTGACCAAGAAACGGGTATGGATTCTTATTATTTGCTTGGTCATGATCATTGGAGGTGGGCTAGCCTACCTCTTTTTGAATCATTCTCCTAATACAGCCACTGCGGAAGACTTGGAGGCCTCAGAGAAGACAACTCCTACACTTGCTTTAGTCACCGAAGAATTGGAAGTTAGTCCGTCGGCGACCCCAGACATGTTCTTATTTCCAAGTTCGAGTCCGAGCCAAGCACTGATATACGATCCGCCATCACAGGAAGATTGTCTGGCAATTAGTAATGGAGAACTAATACTCGGACAAGAAGAATTGCCGATTGAAACTCTGTACATTGACATGGATGTCACCTTGAGTTCTGCCAACAGTGGCATGGGAATGACAGATGTCACAAGAAATCGTGGTGGAAAATCTCTACATGGAGGACCTTTCCGTGTCACCCACAGTCGCACCATCGCAGACTCCTAGTATGACGCCCACGTTGTCTCCATCCATTCCACCTTCCCAATTGCCTACCAATCAACCTTCAAAGAAGCCAACCCAATCCCCATCCAATCTAACCACTCCGTCTCCTACCAGCCCACCATCCCTACTCCCGACAGCAAATCCAACTCGGCCACCCACTCGCAATCCAACGCCTCCTCCTACGGAGAGCTCGGTGCAAACTAGTGCACTAACCAGTCCACAGGAAATTGTCAGTTCCAATGGAATTCTATCCACTTCGTTGAACATTATCGAACGATCCGTTACGATTCCAAACAGCAATATTCGAATCAATGGACGACTGTTGGGTGGTCAGTTTCCAGGCCCGACCTTGCGGCTTCGGGCTGGAGATACCCTCCAGATTGACTTTTCCAACGATCTTTCCGACCAAGGGTTGTCCTACGTGCACAATCGATACTCGGTAAGTATATTACTTGATTTTTAACAAAAAGCAAGCTTCACTTCCAAGGCTCGACTCTAACCAACAACAACAACAACAAAACAGGGAATGGACGATTCCAATCTGCATTTTCATGGGCTCTTTGTCAGTGGTGAATTGCCATCGGACGATGTGACCATGGTAAGTTGATTTTCTAGTGTCTGTCTTGTATGTGTGGATGGATGGATGAAGAAGAGAACAAAGTCTGGTTTCCTAATATACTCTTCTTCTCTAGCATGTTTCTCCTGGGGAATCCTACCCTTATTCTACGGTTCTGCCACCCGATCATATGGGAGGTACCTTTTGGATGCATCCCCATCGTCATGGAGCCACAGCTCTTCAAGTTGGTGGCGGAGCCAATTCTGCCATTATCATCGAGGATGAAGATGGAACACTGCCCTCGGAGGTGGAAAATGCAAGAGAAGTCCTTTTCATTGCCCACTACTTCAACGTCGAAGAGTTAGAACGGGTCGCTCGAATTGCGGGGGACAGAGTGTTTTCAATCCGTGGCAACTCGGACAATGAATTTGTGACCGTGAATGGACAACTGAATCCGACCATTGAAGTAGATGCTGGTGAATGGTTCCGCTTGAGGGTAATCTGGGTCAACTTTCTCGAAGGTGACTTGGATCTTCGAATAAGGAACTGTGAAATGCAGCTTCTTGCCAAAGACGGGGTCTATATTCGAGATTATCCGCGACAAATCTTTGAGGCGCAAGTTCCATCAGGAGGCAGAGCCGATATCGTGAGTGAACTATTTGAACCGCCCGCCACTAATTCCAATTGACTGCAGGCTCACATTAATACTTCTTTCGACTCCCCAACCAGATGGTCCGATGTCCCGACCCTTCGACGACGTATGAAATTGCGGGAATTGAAGGTGGCTTTGCCACCATTCGAACGTCGAGTACAGATGTGAACAGCGCATCCCTTCAGTCTTGGAGCCCCAGCTACCCGGATTACCTAACTGATTTGCGAAATACGGCTGCTAGTAGTGGCTGCAGCTGCGGTACATCTCTTCGGGGAACATCGGTGAACGGACGATCATACCCATCCTCGGAGTCTTACCTTCATCAATCCTACATTGGAGCGGTTGTGCAGCGAAATGTTGAAGCGGTCCAGCACCCCTATCATCAGCATGTGTATCCGTTTCAGCTGGTAAGCGGAAGTTCCAATAGTTACTATGCCATTGGAGATTGGCACGATGTGGTGAAGGGTAGATTCAGCGTCCGGTATTCAACTGATCGATATTCTGGAAAGCTAATGATTCACTGCCACCGTCTTGTCCACGAAGACCGAGGCATGATGGCGATGGAGCAAGTCCTTGAATCTGGAAGCTGCATTTGTAACTATAGCTGAGCAACAAGTTTCAACCTTTTTACATGTGCAGGAATTGTAATATAGTTTATTGTCACCTTCCAGCATTTCGAAATGGCAAACTCAAAAGTCTCACGATTCATTCGCGTGCCACATTGTTAGCCGATGGATCCATTTTAGGCAGAATCGAGAGGGCAACATTACACGACCTTCGCATTTACAGATGCAATGGCACTGTACACGCATTTGGTAAATCCATCATTATTACCATATGCAGATAACAGGGCGTTTTTTATTGGGCGCTTTCGAAGACAGATTTCCCGAATATCTAATTATTGAATTACCGTTCTATCAGCCACAAAATTTTATGCTTCTATGATAGGGACAGCGATGAAGTGCTATGCCTTTCGTGTTCAACTCAATTATAAATGTAGGACGTTCATTGGACTTATTGCATTATCTTGTCCAATCACATTGTTGTGATCACTGCATGAAGGTACAGTAATATTTGAAATAAATTTGCCAATCGTGCGTGTTTTCAAATCACGCGGGTGAGCTGGAAGTGAAAAAATCTGTTCTTGGTTGTATTCTTGGATTCCTTCTCATTTTCCCTCATAAAAATTCCAAAACCACAAAACCAATACACCGACATGCAAACCACTCTCAAGACTAAAATCTTTGAACACAACAATGCCTTCTATACCACAGACTTCAGTGAAAGTAGCGACTATTACGATGAGGCTTCCTCACGAAGCCTAGCATCCCAAGATCCTACTACCACCAGCACTGTGCCCCCCACCACTTCCCCTTTTCGGATCGGGGACTTTATTACCTCCCCCATTTCACCTGGTCGAAACATTGACCGGATGATGATGCAACAAACCAAGATTACCAAGTATGACAATCGGCGCACCTTGCTGCAAAGGTTCAAATCCATCTCAAGAAAAAGAAAGGTGAACATGAGCAAAGATGAAGAACCTTTGCTTGTTGCTTTGCCCCTTGAAGACAACCACAGTGTCGTTCCGGACGAGAAAGGAGGACAGGCTACTCCTGGTGGTAGTAGCCAGCAAGAACAACAAGAAGATGAAGAAAAGCCTTTGTCTGTTCTTGCCTTGCCCCTTGAGGAGGAGGACAATAACCACAGAATCGTGCCCCTGGAGAAACCACCAGCACCAGCAGCATCACCAGCCACTCCTTGGGAAAAGTACTCCAAGAAAAACTACTTTCGTGGAGTCTTCTCAAGCTAAAAGAGGAATACGAATGATATCAATCGTAAGGCCATCTTCAAAAGAGTGCTTCATATGAAAAGAATCATAGAGATAGAATAAACAAGATATAGATGTATAAAGATTTAGAGACCAAGAAATAGAAGAGATTATATAGTTAGTACTCTCGTACCGGTACCAGCAGTGATCTTTTGAAGGGACATTTCTGCCGGTGGGGATTGTTCTTGGGTCTTTTCTTCATCACGTGTTCGGTATGAGCACGGCACAGAAGACCTCGTCGCGTACAGTGTACGTGTACAGTAACTTTCCTGCGTGTACTGCACGCTCTGCGCACTTGTTCAAGTGCGGCGTATTTCCTTCACATTTTCCATCAACGCCATATATATTGCGCGAAACGAAGCCCACGATCGAATCAATCAATCAATCAATAGCAATCGCATATATATCTAGTAGAGTACGATTACCAGAGGTAAAAGAATCTGTCCGGACAAGAGAGCACGATTGCTGAAATGATCGGCCACAAAGCACAAAAGACACTGGCAAGAGAAACTAACAAAACAAAAGCATCATGAAAATTTCTCCCCGACGACAAATGCGAAAAGTGGTCACGAGAAGCAAGAGTGGCCGGAGACTGAATATAGATTCAATGATTCTGGAAAAGACAGGTGCCTACAACGCTTCAAGTAAATCGTCACTGATCCGAGAATCACGATCATTCAGTTCAAAGAGTGATGGAAGTGCCGAGCACAGCAGGTCCTCGGAAAGAAGTGAACGATCAGAGGAGGCAGACAAAAATGTGTCATCTTCGTAGTTTCACATTGAAATCGAGAGGAACTTGAACGAATGAATCATCGAATGATATATAAACTTGGGTAGGGGCAATCATCGAATAACATAAAGCTGGGAAGGGGCATTGTACTATCTTGATACATTATATCATTGCTGTACAAAAATAGCCATTAGTTTAGTCGATACTTGGTTGTGCGTTCCCCATCCAATCGATTTTGCAAGATGGCCACTTGCATCTTAGGACATCTTCCAAACTCCCGCTGTCTACCATCATGGGTATTGAACTTTGGCCACTCGCCAGTGAAACGCTAGCCCCAATTGCTTCGTCGGCACTTAGCCGAGTAACACGAAAGCAACGCAGATTGCCTCCCCTCAGACCATTGTAATGGTACATTTGAAACGTCTTGCCATATTCTTCCTTCCTTTGAGCTGCCGGTGCAGGGGCAGGAGCTGGTGGAAGTACCACTGGTTCGCCATTCCACTCTGCTTGTAACCGCCTTGCCAATTCTTCGTCTGATAACTGTTCTGGTGCAGCAGCTGGAGTCGTCACCATTGCCGTTTGTGATGCGGCCCCATTGTCCGCATCATCCGACAATACCGCTTCCAAGGATGCTCCCGTCAGCAGCCGGCTCGTTCTCTTCCACAAATCTTCCCATAGAATAATTCCAGCTCCATGGACTTCCATGGTCGCAGCTAGAGTCTGCACATTATGATCGGCAATGTTCAAATCCAAAGACTTGAGAAATTGACCGAGCTGTTGGGACTGAATGAATCCATTCTCTTCGGCTCCGCCTTCCATGCGCTTGAATGCACGTCGAACTTTTTCCAACAAGACATCACTCGAAGACTCCTGTAGGCAAGCAGCGTCGCCAAACATGACAGTGAAATGAGAGGTACTACCCACCACCCATATTGGGTACTTTGGTGTCTTGTAGTAACCTCCAACTTCTAGATACCTCATGGCCTCCAAAGCAGACAGATACCCAATGTCAGGTTTTAGCTGAATCCCACGGCAAATCAATTCCCCAGATGGACGAAGGGTGTGATCAAACACATTGGAGACTGCCTGGCCCGTCAGCAGCAAATTGATCAGTTCTTGACTGCAGTGACCAAAGCTTGACGTCAATTTGGCAGTCGTATCATCCATATCCCCTTGCACATTTGGAATTCCTCGAGAGAAGGCTAGACTTGCCACAAAGAGTAGGATGCCACCGTCGCGTTGAAACCACTCGATCAAGTTGGTTTCCAACAAGAATTTTGCGGTCCGTCGGGCCAATTCTTTGATCGTTTGTTTCTCTTCTTCGTCCGCCTTTTCCATTTCTTCCTTGGCGGCAGCGGCCGAAGTCGATGATAGTTTCGGTCGCTTGTTGGCAGTAGTTTCAATGGGCAAGGATACAGTATAGGTCACAATCGTTTCCGACAAACCAATACCCTTATCGGCCGACCATGGATCCAAATCTGCCCAGTCCAAGTCATGGTCCATTGTCGCTTTTGGCATGGCCAGCGTGACTTTGGGTTCTTTGGCATAGTGCTCGGGCGATGAAACTTGCGATTCGCCTTGGTCATTTCCTTTTTCGTCATTGGTGGTGTGGTCATCCGCCAGTGTGGCCGATGCTTTCATACTTGCCCGAGCCAAGACCATGCCCATAGCCAATGCTAGACCCTGCCGTAACAAGGTGGGTGACAAATCTGGCTTGTTCTTTACCAATCGATTGCTGAGAGTGGCGGGAAAGTCAATGGAATAGAGCTGTGCCGCATTGGAGTCGACTTTCCGTGGTCCAAAGAGCAGCAATCGAAGGAATTCAGCTTGGAGTGACGCCAGGACACCACAGGGACCTCCGTGTACTTGAGTCAGTCCCCAGGAGTTGTTGGTGAGCATTGCAGCTAGCAAGGAATCCTTGGCTTCTGGAAGAGGAGAATCGTCCACCTTGAATTTGATTCCTTGTTTCAACCATCTTTGCTGATCATTTCTCGTGGTCACGGATGGATCCCACATGATGCAATGAAAATCGAGAATGTTACAGGGCTGCACGGTGGTTTCCATGACATCTTTCACATCCTGACTCCATCGATCTTCGTCGGTTAGTACAGGTTGGAAGGGAGATTTCTTGGTTGGTGAATTAATGTCCATTGGGACGACACTGCTTTGACTGTTGCTGTCGGAAGGACTGATACTTCCAGTGGTGGCGCTGCCGCTGCTCACTCCCGCCATGCTCAGCTTGAGAGCTGCCGCCAATTGTTCATGTTCGTCTAATTCCACAACCCTGCTATGCATTTGCTGTTGTTGCTGTTGTGATGATCGCGATGATTCAGCCAAGGACATTGCCAAGGCCGCTTGCAACGCCTGATCCTCATCTTCGTAGTCCGCTTCGCCTGCGGTGATGGTCATTGGGTGGTCATCAAACGAAATGGCAGCAGTTTTCTTTTGCTGATCAGTAGTGGTGTCGTCTGGAATCGCAGCTGGTTTGGAGTCCTCATCGTCAATTGGCACAGGTGCTGCCTTATTTGGTTTCATTGCAGTGTGCGATGACGATGTTGTATGCGATGCTCTTGGTGGAGTTGGAGGCCTTGGTGTCGTAGGGAAGGCTGACTGCTCGACAGGTGCTGGTTTCTTATCGAATCGTTCCAGTGCTGCAAGCCTACGATTCCTCACTTCCTGTGCCGTTAGTGGAGCTGATGCTGAACCACCATTGTCACTACTAGTGCCACCTCCACCTAAGGACTGTCCTCCACTTTTGCTGTCTTGCATGTTATTCATTCCTTCACACGCTTTCACCGATAGATTTAAATAACTCGTCTCTTTCAGGGTCTCATATGAGAAGTCTGAACAGAAAAGGTGATGATGATGGTGATTGTAATAATCTGATCAACCTTTTATAATTTCAAGTGTGTCCGGAATGCCTTGGCATAATTTCTATTTTGAAATTTACGGTGGAATGGAAGGCATCGCGCGAGCTGCACGATGCATTTGAAACTCCGGACTGCCAGAATGCCTCACTCCTTTTCTCATTTTCTCCATATCACTCTGAGTCGATGGTGTAAAAATATGACGAATGAGTGAGTCAGTCATCATCATCATAATCTCATCATCGTCAGGACGGCGGTATATCGCTTCCTCAGCAAGAATTCACATATCCTTGCATTATCATCCGTGTGGAGAGAATGGTTGCCATTGTCTCATCAATCGTCGCTGCTGCATTTTTGACGTCACGCTGTTATTACGATCATGCAAACACTAACAGTAGTTGTTCCAACAAGCACAGCACTTCCGCGCTTCATCAGCACCTCCATGATCAGGAGCAGGAGCAAAACAATAATGGCAAAGAATCATCACCGACCAATCATCCAATCATTCTGTCTAGTATCATGGAATTGCCACTGTTTCCATTGCGGAAATCGGTGCGTGTCCCATCCGATTCCCTGACTCTCAATCTCTACGAAGAACGGTATCTGGCCATGTCCGAATCAATATTGCACAACACCGACAAGTTGTTTGGAACCATATATTCCTCCGATAAGCCACAAATTGTCAAACAAGGAAAAGGCGTCATTGTTCCACTCTTGGAAGAAGGTGATGTCGGTGTCATTTGCCTGGTGAAGGACGACGACTGGAAGGACGAACTGGTGCCGACGCGGGATCCTTTGTACCAACGAAGGAGAATCCAACTCAATGCGGTAGCCGTCGCTCGCTTTCAAATTCTGGAAATCATAAATGATGGCATTGGTCAACAACAACCCTCGTTCATACAAGCCAAAGTAGCATTGCTACAAGATGATGAAAATCTAACACGCAAGGATGATCGTGCCACCAACGAGGATGACGAGGATGACAGCAAGGATAGTATGGAACGCGAGATGTGGAAACGAGTATTGGCAAAGGAAAGAGAAATCGGAGCAACTAGTGCACTTGTGGACCAGGTTGCATCTTTATTACTGTCACCTGATATTGATGATGCCACTAAAAGAGTCCAATCGTCGTGTTGCTGTTGTTCGGAGAACGACCAAATACGATGCGAAGCATTTTCCTTTGCGGCGGCAAAACTTCTTTTGGGTGCATCACGACCGCAGCAGATACAAGAATTACTGCAAATGACAAGCACACAAGAACGGTTGAAGCGAACCTTGGAATGGTCATAATGATCATGATCATGAACATGGTGCTACGATGATGATCGTGCTGGCATTTGGTCTTGTTGGCAAAAGCATCATCATTCCACAATCTTGAAAACCGGCTACAAGCTTCTATAGCAAGCAGCTTTGGATATTATCTGAAACTGAGAATAGCAGCAGCAGCAGAAGCAAATATGAGACAAAAGCGGCAACAAGAACCAAAAAAATGTACAACAAAACATGCTTGACATTGGCATTTGATAGAGGAAATACCGATCAGCATCTCGTCAATTTTAATGTTTGTAGGACAGCGACAGTCCACACGTGGATGGAGGTGTGACTGTTATTAAATCCTACAATGACCATCATTTCATTCTCATCATGGCCTCGATGAGAACCATAAGAATCAATATAATCTAACGTACCTCGTTTGGAGACTATCAAAGTCTGAATGAATCTATTTGACACCCTGGTGACAGCTGTCATCCGTGATCCTACCTTGACACTCTGGTATGGCGCGTAGTGTAGTTTATCCATGGAATGTCGAAGATTGATTCAATTTGCTGGCAAGCTATTTGATGGATGTCCAATGGAAGTCAATTTGCTCACCTGTAAGGGGTTGTGTTCTCATCCAATTATAAAGACGGGCTGTATACTCCACCTTCAGATGCCTATATTTCTTGTAAGAGTGCATAGCACACACCAGACGAAGCGATGCTCCGTTCTGAGAACGAAAATCAATCTCATCCAGCAATCTCATTTGCTCCCTCGTATGTTGCGGTCGATTAATCTTCCCCAAAAGCTTTTCTCGTTGGTTATTTACCCAGTGGTAGAGCTTATGTTTATACCCCACATTTGTATGTCCGTGCGTTTTGTAGAAGCTCGCTAGCTCCTGGTACTTGGTATGCCATTTCCTATCATGAGACGATGTTCCATCCCAAGGAAAGTCGATCTCATCCAACAATCGTATTTGCTCCTCTGTATGTGGCAATCGATTGCAACTTTCCCGTACGCTTTTCTCGTTGATTTTTTAACCAGGTGTAGAGCTTGTGTTTAGTCCCCACATGTGCATCCCCGTGCGTTTCATAGAAGCTCGCTAACTCGTTGTACTTAGAATGCCAATCACGTTCGAATGGATTCCAAGAAAAGTCAATCTCGTCGAATAATCGTAGTTGTTCCTCGGTAAGTGGCAACTGTTTATTCCTTCCTTTATGCCTCAGCCGTTGGTTTCTCATCCAACTTTGCAAATAATTGCTTTTACTATCCACGTTCAGATGCCCATGCTTCTTGTAAAAGTCGGCAAGCTCTTCGTATTTGTCATTCCATGCTGTCTGACGGCGGCCTACCTTTGTTTGCCACAAGCATGTTGTAGGTCGCTGACCCCTACTGCTTTCATCTTCTGTTCGGAAGAATAGTGCTGGTGCCGAAGGAGCGAGTAGTACTATTGGTGGTTGGTGAAACGCTGAGACTAAATAGTCAAAGTTGGAGGAACACTAATAGCAGAGACAACAAATATGAAAGTCTCATACGCGAATATGCATGATTTATATTGTGTTATCTGTCGGAAGAGGTCTTTTCTATCATGAATGTTACCGCACTCTCATCCATATAGAGCCATTTCCTGGTAATATTCATCGATACTGTATGTGAAAAACGGATGGATGTGCGATATTGTCTGTACACGTGTACGAATACCGTCCGGTAGCTGCTGACACGTGTAACTTGAATTCGTAAAGTTGGCCTTATTCAAGCATTCCGAATTCCATGTTTCATTTAGTTTGTTCCAGCAAAATGAAAATGCTTTGGGTCAAAACGATCGCCCCGACTTTTACTTTAAAAAATAATTGATAGTGTACCTGGTACCGTAGATACTATCGATAACTCATACAGCTAAAACACGGCACGAACTCCACGCACAATGGCAAGAACTCATGAAGAACCAGCCATGATGATCACCATCCTGCTGAATGAATCCGGCTAAGTGAATCATCCACGCAGGCGGAGGAGGAGGAGAAGCGAAACCTACTCCAGCATCTTACTGTCTTTGTTTCATACAGTAGTCACAAGTTCCGATGCAGACACAGTGCCTAGAAGATGCATTTTATGATACTGTATATATTATAAAATAACTTTCAAAATACAGCTGCAACATCAAGGAAAAAGAGTAACTGAGTCTGTCCTCCTTTTTTGAAACCGCAGTCCCGATGTCCGTCAGACAAAATGCTGCGTCTGAAATAGTAAAATACTTAACAAAAGTAGTATCCGAAGACATCCATGTCCCTATCTAATCCCTAAGTACGTGCTGGCCTGCTTTTTCGCCGACTTGGTTTTTAACTTCCGAAAAAACTATTGACTGCGGCCTCAAATAACATATTATAAAAAAGATAAAAAATATGGAGGAATCAGACAAACGTCGCATTCAGTTACTTCATGGCGGGATGGCAACTGTCTTTGGAAATAACCTAAAGCATCTCAATGATTGCCGCGAGAAACTAAAGGACAAATTCAACGAAAGCGAACACAAGGAAGCCCTTTTGTCCATAAGTGCCACCATCAAGTCGGAGGATGATAATAACACTAATAATAATGCTACGGATGAGAATGATGATGGTAGTAATGGTGGTGACCAAAGCAAGCCTGTTTCTCTTCCTCAGCAAGAACGAACTGATGGAACAACCGTGAGAACCTTTGATTGTCTGTATGATGCGGCAGAAAAAGTGCACGGAAAGTTTAAAACTGTGATTCAACGAATGGCCAAAGAAAATGTCGAACGAGACCCTGCCTTTGAAATCAAGTATGTCGACCTGAAGGATCGTTCCAGAGCTGAGAGCAAAGCCATTGTAAAGTACGCCAAGAGAATTCCGGGGCCTGCATGTTCCTGGATATACGATTTGATTCGGTGCAGCATCATATGCTACAATCCTGAGCAAATAATATACTGCATCGATTGGTTACAAACGAATTACAAGGTCGTCCGTGTGAAGAATCGATTTCAGCATCCCAATCACAACGGATACCGAGATGTCTTGGTGTACATTCAAGTGCCGGATGAAACTTATACATTCTGCCATATATGTGAGGTCCAATTGCATATCATATTCCTCTGGGAACTCTCCAATCACTTGGATTCCTACATTTCCCATCAGTATTTTCGGAACCTATTCGTCGATCACAATCGAAGTCATCATGTCGATGACGCTGTGAACAAGTGCATTGAGGATATGAATATCATTTTTACGGGATATACGGGAGATGAGGAGGAACCAATCGACCACGACCATTTGACCGTCATGTCGTCCAAATGCGACGACGTTCTTAGACTTTCGACGGCAGCACAAGCTTTGGCAGAATACTTTGGAGAGTTTGGTCTGGCAATCCAATTGCTTGAGCGTGCTGTATTGGCACAAACCGGTCCAGAACATGCATTGGAAAGCGCTACCACTTGGGAAAAGATTGCCTACTTGAAACTGTGTCAGGGTGAAATGCAAGAATCGTTGGATCGGTACCATTGCGCTTTGGACATTCAGAACGAATCCCTTGGAGAAAATCATCCACATGTGTGTATTACATTGGATCATATTGCTAGCATTCTGGCAGAGCAGGAAAAATTGGATGAGGCACTGCAATATTTTCAACTCGCGTTGGATATCCAGTCGCTGACCTTGGGGGAGGACCATCCAGACACAGCAACGTCCATGATGAACATGTCCAGCATTCTTCACGAAGAAGGTTATCTGAACCAAGCGTTGCAAAAGGCCCAAAAGGCTTTGAAAAGTTTCAAGCTATATTTGCGACAGGACCACCATTACATTATCGACACCTTGCTCATCCTGGCCAGTGTCCGCTACAGCCAAGACCAAATGGAAGAGTCCATCGACTTGTGCAAAGAAGCTCTCGAAATGGCCAAACGATCCAAGGGAGAAACCGACGTTACCGTGGCGGAAATATTGTACAAAATGGCCATGGCGGAACGAGAATCGGACCATCGACAGCAGGCGTTAGAGCTCTTTGAGAATGCATTGGCGATATACCAGATGAATCACGATGCCCGCAATCCAAAATGTATTTCCACCAAACGTCAAGTCCAGCGTTTGCAGTATGCCATTGCCAAAGACGAACAAGAAGAAGTGGCAACGGATGCTTGGGGTCCAAAAAAGAACAAGAAGAAGAAAAAGAAGCGGAATGGGGAATCCTCTAGATGTATCATATCCTAATCAATATATGTATATACATATATATATATATAGAATGTAAATCATCTGTTTGGCTGCTCTTGAAATGCGTGTTATTATTGTATGCTCTTGATCATGGACAAACAATACGATGCGGTGGACTGCAAGAATGACCTGAAGCAAATTTCTGGCTATGGTGCCCCTGGAGTGCCCATTGCTCCCAGTAGGTCATTTTCAGACAGCAATCTTTCTTAGACTACCGTATACAAGTCGAATTGTGCCCCATCCCCCCCCCATCGGGGGTCTCGGCATACGTTGTGGAATCCATGACACGATTGCGGAAAGGTAAATCGCAATGGTCTGCCACTGAAAGGTACTATAGTGTGGTACTACTTTGCGCATCATTCTGAGATTGATACCAAGGTCAGACGGATAACTCCAGCGAATTGCAGAAAGACGCTATGCGACCGGTCAAAGAAAGGTCTCACATCTGTCTAGCAATGGAGCGAGCGAAAGACCAATGACACTCGTAACTATAAGCTTCTTCAATTCTCGATCTGAGCCAGCTCTTTCTTGCTGTCCTCCTCTTCCTGTTCGACTTGCTCACTTTCCAATTCAGAATCCTTCATGCTGTCCGACAAACAGTATTCCGTCGTCGTCGTAGCATTCGTGAGCGGAGGCTTGTAGGTAACTTCTGGGTATTTCTCTTCAAAGTCAGTCTTGGGAATTTCCTCAATGGTGACGGTTCCATCACCAAGCCCACCTTTCACGACCAAATATCGAGCTCCTGGTCGCAGCCTGAAACGAAAGAAAGGGGGGAAAAAAGGCGAAATGATGATGAGACACGCGATGATCTGAATTTGATCCACCTATATACTGCATCAATATATAATAATGACAAAAAACGGATATCATTCAACCAAACAACCCATTCCAATACATTCCATCATGAATGAATGAATGATTGACTAAATGAATGGCTGAATGACAAACAGACTACAGTACTCACCGATCCGTCTTGTTCATAAACTTGTCAGGTTGTTCCTTGAGCAGACGATCCGTCACGGCCTGTGCTCGAGTGGCCGCCAAACCACCCGCTGCCAATGCTGCCGAATCGATCACCACACCGTTGACGACCATTCCACTGACCAAGGGAGCCAATGCTGCAGAGGGTCCCATGAGCATGCCCGCAGATACCGCCGTCACCATGCACCCCGTGACAAAGGCAGCCGGGATGGCCGTGACTTTGATGAGATTTTTGCGACTGTCTTTGGCAGTAGGCAGACACTTTTCATTGCCAATTACGGCATGGACTTTGTATGGCAAAAGGATACGACCACCAGTCTGCCTTTTGGTCATGGAAACAGCTTGTCCTGGCTCCAAGACTTGTCGATTGTAGAGGATGCCTCGTTCTTGAAAGACCACGATCGTATGATTCGAAGCATTTAGAATGGTTGGTGAATGCTCCGGAACAAAATCAGACAGCTCATTAGTTTCAATAGACTGTAGTTCCTGCTTTTCCTTGGATTTAGATTTGAGTAATGAGCTAATCATTCTATTGCATTGCATCGAATGGAACAGAAATGACGAAGCTCCTGAAGCTACAGTATGGACTATGTCGTTGACGATACGCAGTATGACGAAAATGTGGCATTTTTGAAAAATAAAATTTGAAAATGTCCTGTTCGACACTATGGAAGTACTTGTTCCATAAAGCATTATATATTTATTATCATCATCGACATCAAGCAACTCATAACAACAACTTCAGGATCAACGCAAGATCTATATATATATATATATACCACTAGAATAGAATCACAATGCCTACAGTCGTTCGAATCCTTCTCACTGGTGCCTCAGGTTATCTCGGTCAGCACCTATTGAATCATTTCGTGCAATCGCCACCCATAACAGACTCAGATGTGATGTATCAGATTACGGCATTGTATCACAAGGCAGAACACTTTTCCAAAGCCACTGAGGCTATCACAGCAAAACATATCATGATCGTCCCGAAACAGTGTAACTTAGTGGACTACAACGAAGGCGATGCCTTTGATGTCTGCATTCATACGGCTGCCATTGCCAACATCCGAGTCTGTCAAAACGATCCAGCTTTTGCCGAAGCCATCAATGTCCCTACCAAGTTCTTTGAAGCGACCAAGAATATCCCAATGATTGCCCTTTCCACTGATCAAGTTTACAATGGCAAACAAACGGTGGATCCAAACGATGCATCTACCTTTTATCAAGAAGCCACGGCCAAACCAGATCCATTGAATGTATATGCCCAAACCAAGCTCAAGATGGAGGAAACTCTCAAGGCCATGCGACCTACAGCCAATACCTATGTTTTGAGATCGAGTATCATTTTGGGTCCCAAGGCTCCGATAGCACCAGAAGATGCCCATGATACCTTTTTGCATTTTTGTGCCACTCGAAACAACCAGGAAACGGATCTCTGGGTCAACGAATACCGAACCGTGGTCAGTGTCCGACATGCCTGCCATATCATTCACTGGATGGTCCAACAGAACATGCCAGACCGGACGTGTGCAAAAGGAGAATTCCACATTTTCAACTTGGGGGGGAACCTACGAGTGAATCGTTTGGATATGGCCAAGGCGGTCTTTGAACACTTTGGTTTTGAATCCAATGGCATTTTGAAAGCGGCCGATCAAACCTCCCCGACAGTCCCATTGGATATCAGTATGGATTGCAGTAGCCTAGCCAAGTTTACAGGAATTGTCCATGAGCCAGCTACACTGCAAGGACTGATGGAATTGGTCTTTCCAAAATAAGTCGAATTGAAATATGAAATCCTGATTATTCATCATATCCTAGTAACTTGTAGCATTATTATTATTAGTCTTATTATTATAAATCATTATATGCATGGACAATCACATCACTGTTCGACGAGTTCCGTCATTTTTTCTTGGACCTTGTCCAAGGCAACTGTAGGAAGCTCAGAAGTCTTGGCAGCAGCCTTATTATTGTAGCTTCCCTTCTTTTCGACTCTGTCTACCTTTCGAAGAGACGAACTTCGCCTGGTCACTTCGTCGGGCAAGGCTGTCATGGGAGGTTTGGCTTTGTGTTCGACGGCGCCTATGTCTACCTTTTTCAATGATGCGAGAGAAGGCATTGTCGACTGGACAGAAGATGGCTCGAAATTCTTGGTCTTTTCCACAGTTTCAATGTCCACCTTACGAAGTGTCGAGCTGCGTCTCTTGACTTCATCTGGTACTTCTGTAAGAGCAGGCCTGACTTTGTGCTCAATTGCGGTTCGATCTACCTTTTTCAATGCGATAGAAGGCATTATTGCCGACTGAGAAGAGAATGACTGAAAATGCTTGGTCTTTTCAACCGTTTCAATGTCCACCTTGCGAAGCGCAGAACTGCGTCTCTTGACTTCCTCTGGCACTTCGGTAGGAGAAGGTTTGACTTTGTTCTCCATTGCCGCTCGATCTACCTTTTTCAATGCGACTGCTGGCATTAAAGTTGTGGGCGACGATGGCTCGAAATGCTTGGTCTTTTCCACCGTACCAATGTCAACCTTGCGAAGCATCGAGCTGCGTTTCTTGACTTCATCATCTGGTACTTCCATGGAAGGAATCTTGAGTTGTTTGTCTTCCATTGCCGCTCGATCCATCTTTTTCAATGCAACGGATGGCATTGCAGTTGTGGGCGACGATGGCTCGAAATGCTTGGTCCTTTCCACCGTACCAATGTCAACCTTGCGAAGCATCGAGCTGCGTTTCTTGACTTCATCATCTGGTACTTCCATGGAGGGAATCTTGAGTTGTTTGTCTTCCATTGCCGCTCGATCCATCTTTTTCAATGCAACGGATGGCATTGAAGTTGTGGGCGACGATGGCTCGAAATGCTTGGTCTTTTCCACCGTACCAATGTCAACCTTGCGAAGTGTGGAACTCCTCTTGGTCATTTCTTCTGGTAGGGCTGATGGAGCCGGCTTCGACTTGTGTTCAACACCAGCCATGTCGACTTTTTTCAAAGTGGCAGCTGACAAACTTGGTTGCTGGCTCGGTGCCTTGCTGGATGGATTAAAAGGCTGACGAATATCAATCTTTTTGAGCGACATGCGTTTGGATGTCATTTCCTTGGGGATTTCCGTAGGCGCAGGTCTTTCCTTGTGCTCCACCGAGTAAATGTCCACCTTTTTCAAGGTAGTTGGCGGGATGGCTTTTGTTTGCGAGCCAAGTGTTGAAGCAGACTTCTTGGTCTTCTCGACCTTGTCAATATCAACTTTGCGCAAAGACTGAGTACGGGTGAACATTTCTTGAGGGAGCTGAGCAGGCGTTGGCTTGGCCCTGTTTTCGACCAATGTCATGTCCACCTTTTTCAATCCAGTCGTCGTGTAGGTCGCACCAGATATTTTTTGATTGGGAGTGCTACAGCGCTTGACGGATGTAGCACCCACCTTCTTTAGCGATACTGCTTCGATCTTGTTGTTGTTGGTCTTGTCGGATTCAGTTGCATTTTTGTTCTTGTACTTGTTCTCGACCTTGCTGACGTCCACCTTACTGAGTCTCTGTTTGGTCTGCGTAAATTCATCGGGAAGAGCCGATTGTGATTGCTTATTGGAAGCATCTTTTGGTGCCTCCACCACCACCTTTCGTAAGGACTCTCTCTTGTATAGAGTACCAGGGCCAACTGAGGAAGGTGTTGCCATCACTTTCCTTTCAGCAACAGGTCTTGTAGCTACCTTGGCCATTTCTTTCTTGTCAACAGTCTGCTTTGTGGAAGAAGGTTCCAATGGTGGGTTCTGATTCAAATCCTGCTGAGGCTTCTCGTCTTCAGGAGTAGTAGGCTTCTTTGGAGTCTCATCGCTGGTAGTTGGTATGCTTTCCTCTGTGACATCTCCGTTTTCATGACTTGTTTCGTTCGATGTCTCTGTTTCAATTGGCAAAGTCTCCGCATCTTCAGTCGTGGACGCACCTTCGGTGTCGTCATTCGCTTGGCCATCACTTCCTTGTTCTTCAGATTCCGCTTCTTGTTCTTGGTCCTGTGGATTTGGCATGATCATCCTAGGTTCCTCCACCTTATCGGCAACTGGATCGTGTTCTACTTCATTTGGAGCTTCTGCCATGTTTTGTGGGGAGGACGAGGACATCTCCTTGATCGTTTGGTCTGATCAGGTCCACAAAAAAAGATACAGTTTGAGAACTCGTAGTCGTTGCGGAGTTGGCGAGGCTCAAAAAATAAAAAATGTCAAGACTGACGATGATGTGATGGTTCGCTTTGTTAGTCGGATAAGTCGAAGCGTGGACAGGCTTAGTTTTATTTTATTTTTGAATGAGTTTTGGACAAATGTCATCCACACATCCACACATCACATACTTTACTGTAACCTCTGGAGGTTGTTTTTGGCATGAACTCCCACGAATAAGTCCACCATTCGGGATTTATAATCATCTAAATAGCCTTTATTGAAGAACCACCATTGTCGTCACACCATCAGGAACAGCAGTAACATGACGAATGAGTGGCAAGTTGGATCCATTGCCCGCGTCAAACGACCTTCTCACCCAAAAGCATTTGGTAAGGCCATGATTGCCATGATGGATAGCAGCAACGATGCAGTCAGCATCCTGTGGGAACCGGCATCACCTCAACCACTAATAACGACAGATTCTTCTGCTTCGGCCAATCGCTTTTTGGTGGCACCGAGGATATCCACCAAGAGTGGTCAAAAGAGTAGCAATAATGATAACGACGATGACGAAGACGAGACAACCGTGCCTCTGAACGAGCTTCTTCCCTTGATGGAGTTTGAAACTAGTAGTCCAGAAACAAGCAATGACATTGGTGTGCTGAAAGAACACGGGGATGCACTGTTACGAGCGGGCGATGCTTCTGCAGCAGTTGCCTACTATGAGGCAGCCTTGTCTCGTTCGTGCCAAGACGTCATGAGGTCTCCGTCCATTGGCAGCTCGATTATTCTCAAGACCAAAGGTGGATACCTCAAGGTTGCCGAAATTGACTGTGTGGAAAAAGGTGACATTGCGGGTTCCTTTTCTTTGGATGTGGCTTTTGTGGAATCGGGAGAGGAAATGGAAGTTTCGAATTCAACCGTAGTCCTTGGCATATTGATGAAGGATGGAGAAGCACGACTACAAGAGCGCATACTATTGAATCTTTCCAGATGTCTTCACCAACTGGCGGATATTGATGAGCCCAAACATCGATCAGCCTATCTGAAGGGTGCCATATTGGCTTGTAGTCTGGCAATGGTATTGGCGGAATTCCATGGCGGTGCCGAGGATGATAACGAGGCCATTGCAAAGAGCAAAGGAACATTACAAAGTGCCTTGCATCTTCGAGCCAAAGCATACATTCTTCTTTCCAAATGGCCTCATGCCAAGCAAGACGCCAAACGGCTGATACAGCAGGGCAAAGAACAACAGGGCACGAGTCTGCTTGACAATATTGAGAAACGAAAGCAAGTACAGGTGAAACGAGACAAAAAGTTGGCGAAAGCAGTTGCCAAGTTGGTTCAAAATGTGACAGCTGATGGCGAGAGGGCGTCGTCTTTGGATGGCGAATCAAGGTCTGATGGGGTGAGTGCTGAGAACAATAAGAAACCTCCTCAAGTCGAGGATCTCCAAGCAGCAAACGAAAACGCAGGGGACATGAGCGCCTCTCCCACGAAACGTGCTTCCAGCAACCAACATTCTCTTACCTTTTTGCTTGCAATTGCAATCGTTGGTGTAGCGGTCTCTTTTCTAGCTCACAAGGCTTTGAGCGGGTAAAGCCATTGGCTTTGGGGTTGCATCTTGGGTGTCAATGTGAATTACGCCTTCATTCGTATCGTGACCAACTCGGCTAATCGTTCAGAATGAAGATCCTGCTTCTTTGATTTTTTAATCACTGCAAATGGAACAAATTCTGGGTACACAAAAGATGAGACAGAACAAAGTCTGGTCGTATGGAATCACAGAAACAGACTCGCTATTTTGAATTTTACTTCGCGCGAACTGGAAGTTTACTAACTGGGGTAATACGGCTTGACCAGGTGATGAATTCTGCGCGCGAAGTTTGGCACAACTTCCGATGCCTTGTTTGGACGTTCACAATATCATTATATAAAATATCAGGATGCGAATCTGCTGATTTTATGTAACTTTTATCTAAACAAGACTCCCCCCATGCTCGTATTTATTGCATGTCTGAGATGCAAGGAAGCTCTTAGATTCACAATATGAACTGCAGAACCAAAACGAAAATTATGACCCGTGACAATCAGTCCTGATTATTGTTGACCCTAAGAAGATAATGTCCTTTGAAGTAGCTGTTACATAACTTCGGCAGTGGAATGCGGCACTAGCGACACCATATTTTAATACAGTTCTGTTGTTTTCGATTGTTTGCCCGCAAACAACACTGTGGGTTATTCATAAATTCCAAGGGACAAATAATACAATCACTCATCATCATACACCATCAACATTCAAAACATGAGCCGGAATCCGTTGTCTTGGGTGCTGGAAAATCTAGATGTGGGAAAGATAGGGAAAGAAGAGAGAGTATTTGTGATTGTGGATGACAGAGCCAAATCTCCTTCCAAAGCTTTGCTTCGAAGAATGAGCAAGGAGCGTGGTCAGACCATCAAAGACGCCATGAGGCATGCTGATCACTGCTCCTGCGATGAAACTGTGGAATCCATGGAGCTTTCGCCACTCATGTCACCATCGTTATCACCGAAGCCAGTCTCAGACTTTCAGTTATTGCCCAAAGCCGCTGCTTCACCAAAATCTGTCATCCTGCAAACATCTTTGGATGATTAGGCGAAACGGAATGGTCTGGGGTATAGACATTTTCTTGAGCAAAGGGTGGCTTGCATCCCTCATTTTTTTCATTTTTCCAATTTTCAACAAAAAGAAAAGAGTCCACCATTTCCTATTCTGGGACTCTCATTTGGATACGTTTTAGATATAGACACAATAAGTTTTCAATAAGTTTTGCTTTCGTCTTGTGCGATATCTATGATACAGCAATAGTAGCACCACCTGACCTAGCCATCACTGACTGATGATCAAAGCTGCAAATTGCTGGATGCCTCGTCTCCAATCAAGAGTCTTTGGACGGTCTATCCACTTCAATTTTTTTTTTCTGGGAGCAATTCTGATTCTGATCATAGCCACCGCACAATGCGCGATCAACCAAGGAAGTCTCACTGATGCGCTGTTATGGAATAAATTAGTAGACTGAAGGATCAGCAGAGTTACCGAATGAACAAACATTTCATCCTAATTGGAGTGTCAGGGAAGGCTTACTGATGCGCTTCAATAGACTGAAATATCATTATAATCGCTACAGATGTACTGCAGTATGTCAAAACTCAGTACACACCCTAATTGGACTTTCAGGGAAGGCATCATCATCTTGAGAGTTGATCTGAAACTTGAATTGAGTTGATCTGAAACTTGAATTGTCTAAAATTCCAATTAGCCTATTATAAATGATGGTACGCAATAAGTCGCTTAGCTGCTTCCACTTTCAAGCTTTGAAGCCATCGTTCCTTGATCCATGTTCAATACTTGCTGAACGTATGGATTCTTGTCCATTCGTTTCGTGTTGATCCAATCCAACTTGGATCTAGCCTTCAGATGAGTTTTTCGTAGTACCTGATCGTTCATGGAAAGGATTCGGTCCACTTGGGCTCTAGTCGTGGGATTGCTGTCATAATAGATGGAAATGTACCGTCCCTTTTCAAAATAGCGTTGACCGGTGATGAGGTCTGGGTTCTTTGCCTGCACTCGGTGAGGAAATTGACGAATTCCGTGATTCTGAATACTTCGCACAATTCCTCCATTCTCAACGACCTTGTGTGATATTTGCTTCATCATTGCGGAAAGCGCCTGGAAGTCTGTAATCAGGTATGGAAATAGAGAAACATTGTGGTTAGCACGCATGATCGATACGCAGCGTCAAAGCAGCCTCCTCTACACGAATTCAACTTACGTGTCGAATGCTTTGTGGAAAGAACTAATTCATAGAAGACCATTTTCAGGTATTGTGCTGCTGTTTAGTATGGGAATGTTCAGAAAGATGATAAGGTCTTGTGTGATCAGGGCGCTTTGAATGCGATCAGACGTCGTGTCACTGTGTTACTGTTGTGGCTCACATCATCACCATCATGGTTGCATCCTAAGAAATTAGGCGCGGACGCAGTACGGACCGCACAAAAATGATCGCTTCCACTATCCAATTATGTCTGTTCGCACGTAGAAAATGTACCACGGGCTCCGCAAAAAAAATTGGACATACGAGTAATTGGAAAAACAAAATGCCCATTTCAATGGTCAAACTTGTGAGGAGTACAGTGTTGGAAACACTCCTTCGATTATCTTCTCAATGCTTTCCATACATCACCCAATACATCCTTAGTAGTCTACTTTTTTTTTGGCCATAACTAATGTTGGTCAAATCCAGTTGTAAATATCATGCGACAGAAATTTTGTTAGAAAAAAAACAACGTCCAAGATGGGCTCCTAGACTAGTTATCACTACGCTTATACTAAATAAATAGCTTAATTTCTGACACCCGAACACCAAACCCCGCCGTAATACATCTCAGTTTTCATGTGCACACACGCAAAGTAGTAAGCAAAGCTGCCCGGGGATAAGAAGACGGGCCACTTCGCAGACAAAGATCTATTCTTCTGATTGTATATCCATATTGGGCGCAAACTCGAGAAATCCTTCCAACTGACCGGACAAAGTTGCTACCAAGAAAACAGACACGATCATGGAAGGAACAATGAACACCAATGCGGGAATCCCCGAAGTGGATATCATCGGTGCAAACTCGCAAGCAAAGCATCCAAGGAAATATCCACCCAAAGAAGCCGCAAACAATGATGCCCCTTTCACCTTTTCTTCGTCTTTGAGGATATCTTGCTTCACTTGCTCCAAATCGAATCGCCGCGTAAGCATGGCGAGAAGGGATGGAAAGACGGCATCTCCCAGCCCCAGAGAGCCTCCTAGACGATTATCATTTCCTATTCGTATCGTTAAAAGACCCGGTTGAAAACTGGTAGACGTCAACTTTTGAACTGCCACTGATCCCATGGCGGAGCCAGCAGCATTCGGCGACGAGACAAGAAGATTGGAAGAGTCAGTTGCCAAGCTTGTTGCCACAGTCGATGCCACCAAACTGGAAGTCGCGTCCATAGTATTTGAAAGATCAATACTCGTAACCAGATCTGTTGCTGTGGCAGCTGGTACCAAAAAGACGGAAGTAGCGTCATAAATGGTCAGCAAAGAAAGTGCCCCAAGCACCACCGTCAAGCGATCCAATTGAATGGCACGAGCTACCAATATAGCCAAGGCCATGTTGACAAAGTTCTGTGCTGGCCAGGCTTTCCACAAGAAAGCAGCAAGAGCAATGCTGATTGCACTGGCCCACTCAATAATGACCAGAGGCTCCAACCCAGCATCATCTTCACCTTTCCCATTCACATCTGCTACAGTCATTTCATTACTGTATTTTTCTGATAACGTTCCATTAGACAATATTTCATAAATTAATCGCCGTACCTCGGATCGCGTAAATAGGGTCAATAGGCCAAAGTTCCACAACTCGCTCAACTTGGGAATAATTTTCGACAAGAGTTCTTCTTGCTCTTTCAGAAATCCACTAAATAGATCCAGACTATTTTCGTCACTCAAATCACCGTCACCACCAGTCCAAAGCGGTAGCAATATTACGGATGTCGCCAAGGACAAGGTGATTAGGACTGGCAACAATAGTGCTTGAGTTTCCCCAGTTAGTTGATCCAAGGAGGTGTCCACTCCACTTTGTCGTAGGGCTTCAATCATGGCCGGCTTTTCCTCAGCAGTCTTGTCAGCAACGACGTCCTCCATTCGATTAGGCTCCAAAGATTGGGCATCCACAGTCTCTAGATTGGCAGTCTTGCTCTCCAATGATGGTCGATACAGCAGCTCTTCTGTCAAGTCGACAATCCGCTGTCCCAAAAAGGATGAATCAGTCGCCCCTCGGAGCCCTGCCAAGGCCACAATCGTTCCCGATAAGGCATACAAGTAGACTCGGTTACCGACAAATAACGAACCAATCACTGCCCATTGTTCGGTCGAATTGGGTGGCAGGGACTTGGCCGTTTGCAACAAAAATGGAAAGATACCACTGAGAATGGGCAAAGTCAGCATGGCCAATGAAGGAATGTTCCAGTTGTCGTCGAGGCCATTGTCGTCATCCTTCGAAAGTAGCATTGGGGTGGATTCTTTCACGGCTTCGTCATCCTCAGTATCGCTTTCTGGTTGGGAGTTGGCATTCAGTGTTGCTGATCTAACATCATTTTTTCTGCTCGATGTATGGGACAGGTCAGGGGAAGTGATCTTTTTCAATGGACGACGAGTGGGAGATGATAGCCTAGTCACGTCTGATGAGAAGGAGAGATTTCTTCGTCTAGCTAATAGAGTTGGCTGAAATGCTGACACAACAGTGTTACAAGAGCAATCACCACCAAAGGATGCGAAAAGAAATCCTGTAATAACCACTGCAAAAGTAGCAAACAAGCGAGGCTCGTGGTGACCTTTTCTGGATCGTTTTCTGTTTTTGTTTAGCCTTGCCATATTAGTCTTAGCAAGTCTGCATCGGCGATGTTTCAGTCTTGAAACTATGATAACAGTGCTATGTATACCGGTACCAGGTATGATGTAGGATGATGATGTAGGATGATGATGTGATGGAATATCTATTACTGTAGCGTAGGTATGTGATATGATGACGCGCGCAGCTATTATTCATTCACATGAGGGAATGACGGTTTACGTAGGTCCACTTAGTCAACTTGCACTATCAGCGCGTGGTGCGGTGACGCACGATACACAGTACGGTATGGAGGGCGACGGCAGCTTGACCCATTCCAGAGTAGCATTCTTCTGCAAGAACTCATCCATGTGTGTGATGACGACAGGGAAAATAAACCTCTGTCAGAATTTCCTTGAGTTTTTTCTTGCTTTCAAATCAAGTAAGTCACTGTGCACGCTACCAGTGTAAAAGTCGCTGTGCGGGGCACTGCTGTTGCCATCTCCTGATTTTCGTTTTCCTGCTGGTGGCGTCGTCCCATGCGGTAAATAAGCAACATGCATATGTGCCATGATGAACCTACAGTACAGGAGTTATACCTCTCACTCCATGCCAAAGCAGGTGGCTACTTGGACGAGCGGCAGGTTGTCTGTCATCCTTTTAACGAAACAGTACAAATGCTTCACATCCAGCCAACCTGTTCCATCTCAATCAAACCAATCAAAGACTAATACAGTACCACTTGGCAATTGCTTCACTGTCAAGCAAGACTGACTCTTGCGTCAAGGAGCGGTCCGTCTGTCATGACCAATTTCAAATTTGATTAGGTGCTTGTGATGATCACAAACGGTAACCGATTTTTACTTTCATTAAATACCTAATATTATCCAGGAAGAAAACGACACCTTTGAACGGGACCCTTTTTAACATTCATTACCTGTAAAAAAACTTAATGGGGTAAAAAACCTGGGACATTTTAGATGATATAAATAAGAAGGAATAGCAGCTGGATATTTTTTTAAAAACTTAACTTCAAATTGAACTTCTTCTCAACAGAAATTGATATAATTTTCCTTTCTTCTCACGAAGCATTTCCTCCTTACTTGCTCACAAAAAATTGCCATGAAGCCTTCCTCCAGCAACCCACAAAACCTTCCTCAACGACTTTCCGGCCCTCATGTTCCACTGCAACTGCAACTCCCCACTCACCTTGCGAGACGCATGGCTTCAGCTACAACAGTCGATGAACGGCGAGTTTCCATTCTTGCCGAAGCGCTTCGAATAGTGGATAGTACTGCCAGCCCCTCTGAGGAGAACGTTTCGGACAAGAAGAGCTATCATCGACGTCAATAAAGCAGTCAACCCTCTGACTGTACGTACGATCAGTAATCATCCATCATCCGCAGTCCCTATTATACCTTTCATGAAGAAAAGGATGGTCGTGACAGCAGCTGATGATGGTGCTGATGCGTGTGTCACGACAGGGCCGGTTGTTCTGATTAAACCCGATATGCTAACGACCATGGCTAGAATCATAAGTGTAATGTAAAAACTATTGCACCAAAAAGGACATAATGCTTTTTTAAGTCTGCAAGCAAACATAGTATGCTACTGTATACCTATTAGAAAAGTACGAAACCTCTGCCTGCTGTAAGACGGGAGGGTTCAAGAGCCAAGCTCTCAAGAGACATATAAGGACAACTGAAATTTTTTGAAGCAAAACAACATTTTGGACACCCCTTTTCCGTCACAACGAGTTCAGAGATGCGTTTGAAGCTTGTTGCGTTCTGGCACAATGTTGCATCCTAGGGGAGATTCCACTCTACGAATAGCTAGGTAGCCCCACCGAATTCTAATTAAGGCGCCCATGTGTACCTATGTACGACTCCTAGTTAATTAGAATCTACAATCTATCTATTCCAAAACATATCTGCAGCTCTTGTGCTCCTGGCAGGAGTTGCTTGCCGAAGGCCTTGTTGAAATACGAAACTGGATTATGTTCCATGTACTGATCCAGGAATCCCAGGTCTGTTGCACTCTTCTACTAATTCCTTGTAGATTCCCAACAGTCATCTTCCAATTTATCTAGCAGATACTCTGAATATTCTGGATGCAAGGAAATGATTGCAGAGCTGTCGTTGCCGTGAACCCAAAGCTTATTGTCGTCATCAACTTTAATAGCACCTTTCTTCACATCTTCAACTAAGATCCTTCGCGCCTTTGGCTAGTTCTCCTCGTCGCAGCAATTTGCGTACTGTTGTTTCACATCAAAATTTGTTTACTGTAGTTTCAGATTTGGATATTTATATTTTTGCCTACTTTCAGATCGACATTGTATACTTTCAAATTTCAATATTTATTTTGCCTACTTTCAGATCGACCTTGTATAGTTTCAAATTTCAATAATTATTTTGCCTACTTTCAGATCGACCTTGTATAGTTTCAAATTTCCTTGCCTACTTTCGGATTGACTTTGCCTACTTTCGACTCCTTTTGCATAGTTTCGATTCGACCCCAAAGTAAAACCAGGGTCCCCTGAACTGGATTATGGGGGAACGAAAAAGGTAAAATATCCCCCAGAGTGACGGATGATGAGCAGACGCAGAGTGTCGGGGGGTCCAGGCTCATTGTGTCATTCCTGTATTATTGTGCTATATTTACGGGAACTATATTTGGAAACTTCAAGTGAAGAACAATCTTACACTGCAGGACCCTTTTTCGAAAGACGCATCGCTGATCGTTTTCCCACTCTTCTCAAAAAGCATTTCATTTTTTTCTTCCCTTTCTTCTCACAAAACGTTTCTCCGCTGCTTCACAAACTTATTACCATGAAGACTTCCAGCAGCAACGCACAAAGCCTTCCTCAAGGACCTTCCGGTTCCCGTCTTCAACTGCAGCTCCCCAGTCACCTTGCGAGGCGCATGGTTTCAGCTACAACAGACGATGAACGGCGAGTTGTCATCCTTGGCGAAGCCCTCCGAATAGTGGATAGCCCCTCTACTAAGAACAATTCAGCCGAGGGGGGCTACCCTCGACGTCAATAAGCCAATCCAACCTCTGATTTTATGGACGCTCAGCAATCATACACCATCTGAAGTCCCTCTTATACCTTTCATGATACAACAACAATATGATCATGATGATAGTGGTATCCCCAATCCAAACCCTAACGACCGTAGCTAGAATCCTAAGAGTAAAAGCACCTGTTACAAAATTACGATATTGTTGGGACCTCAAGAACTACCTATGATATACTCTTGATACGATAGAGTATTTTCTTCAATCAAAACCAGTCGAATATTCACATCACTAAATAACTACTGAATGTTTTTTAAATATCAGCAGAAGGTTTTATCATACCATAGGAGACATCATCCGCGAGTTCATGGTGACCTTGAAGAGCTTGTCTACACCTTTCTTAGCATCCTCAAAGAACACTACAACGTCAGATTACCAGCAGTAAGATACAGGAGTCACAATAGAATCTGAAAAGTTGCAGGGCTGTGAGTCAGTCAGTCATGGTTTTATTGACGAATCAAGAAGTGATGATCACAAACGATGCCGGATACCGGTATCTCGCCGATTTTTTATTGAAAGTTTTGATAAGACCATCACGACCAGCCAAGATTGAAGTTAAAAGTTTCTTTTGGGACCCTTTTAAAAACATACGATATTTTTCTAATAAGTAAATGGTACCACTATATAATACTGTATATATATATAGGTGTCCTTTTTCGAAAAATGTCATAAGCAAATAGCACCACTTTGAACTTCGAGAACCCTGTTTGGAAAGACGCATCGTAACGAATAGCTAAGTAACCCCACCGAATTCTAACTAAGGCGCCCATGTGTACCTATGTACGACTCCTAGTTAATTAGAATCTACAATCTATCTATTCCAAAACATATCTGCAGCTCTTGTGCTCCTGGCAGGAGTTGCTTGCCGAAGGCCTTGTTGAAATACGAAACTGGATTATGTTCCATGTACTGATCCAGGAATCCCAGGTCTGTTGCACTCTTCTACTAATTCCTTGTAGATTCCCAACAGTCATCTTCCAATTTATCTAGCAGATACTCTGAATATTCTGGATGCAAGGAAATGATTGCAGAGCTGTCGTTGCCGTGAACCCAAAGCTTATTGTCGTCATCAACTTTAATAGCACCTTTCTTCACATCTTCAACTAAGATCCTTCGCGCCTTTGGCTAGTTCTCCTCGTCGCAGCAATTTGCGTACTGTTGTTTCACATCAAAATTTGTTTACTGTAGTTTCAGATTTGGATATTTATATTTTTGCCTACTTTCAGATCGACATTGTATACTTTCAAATTTCAATATTTATTTTGCCTACTTTCAGATCGACCTTGTATAGTTTCAAATTTCAATAATTATTTTGCCTACTTTCAGATCGACCTTGTATAGTTTCAAATTTCCTTGCCTACTTTCGGATTGACTTTGCCTACTTTCGACTCCTTTTGCATAGTTTCGATTCGACCCCAAAGTAAAACCAGGGTCCCCTGAACTGGATTATGGGGGAACGAAAAAGGTAAAATATCCCCCAGAGTGACGGATGATGAGCAGACGCAGAGTGTCGGGGGGTCCAGGCTCATTGTGTCATTCCTGTATTATTGTGCTATATTTACGGGAACTATATTTGGAAACTTCAAGTGAAGAACAATCTTACACTGCAGGACCCTTTTTCGAAAGACGCATCGCTGATCGTTTTCCCACTCTTCTCAAAAAGCATTTCATTTTTTTCTTCCCTTTCTTCTCACAAAACGTTTCTCCGCTGCTTCACAAACTTATTACCATGAAGACTTCCAGCAGCAACGCACAAAGCCTTCCTCAAGGACCTTCCGGTTCCCGTCTTCAACTGCAGCTCCCCAGTCACCTTGCGAGGCGCATGGTTTCAGCTACAACAGACGATGAACGGCGAGTTGTCATCCTTGGCGAAGCCCTCCGAATAGTGGATAGCCCCTCTACTAAGAACAATTCAGCCGAGGGGGGCTACCCTCGACGTCAATAAGCCAATCCAACCTCTGATTTTATGGACGCTCAGCAATCATACACCATCTGAAGTCCCTCTTATACCTTTCATGATACAACAACAATATGATCATGATGATAGTGGTATCCCCAATCCAAACCCTAACGACCGTAGCTAGAATCCTAAGAGTAAAAGCACCTGTTACAAAATTACGATATTGTTGGGACCTCAAGAACTACCTATGATATACTCTTGATACGATAGAGTATTTTCTTCAATCAAAACCAGTCGAATATTCACATCACTAAATAACTACTGAATGTTTTTTAAATATCAGCAGAAGGTTTTATCATACCATAGGAGACATCATCCGCGAGTTCATGGTGACCTTGAAGAGCTTGTCTACACCTTTCTTAGCATCCTCAAAGAACACTACAACGTCAGATTACCAGCAGTAAGATACAGGAGTCACAATAGAATCTGAAAAGTTGCAGGGCTGTGAGTCAGTCAGTCATGGTTTTATTGACGAATCAAGAAGTGATGATCACAAACGATGCCGGATACCGGTATCTCGCCGATTTTTTATTGAAAGTTTTGATAAGACCATCACGACCAGCCAAGATTGAAGTTAAAAGTTTCTTTTGGGACCCTTTTAAAAACATACGATATTTTTCTAATAAGTAAATGGTACCACTATATAATACTGTATATATATATAGGTGTCCTTTTTCGAAAAATGTCATAAGCAAATAGCACCACTTTGAACTTCGAGAACCCTGTTTGGAAAGACGCATCGTTACTGTACAAAGCATTTCATAATTTTCCTTTCTTCTCACGATACAACTGACGAAGCATTTCATCTGTCAATCACCATGAAGTCTTCCAGCAACCCACAAAACCTTCCTCAAAGACCTTCCGGTCCTCGTGTTTCACTGCAACTCCCCACTCACCTTACGAGGCGCATGGTTTCAGCTAAAACAGTCGATGAACGACGAGTTTTCATTCTTGCCGAAGCCCTCCGAATAGTGGATAGCCCCTCTCCTACTAAGAACGTTTCAGACAAGAGGAGCTACCCTCGCCTCCAATAAATCATTCCAACCTCTGAGTTTACGGACGCTCAGATCAGCCATCATTCACAGTCTACTATACCTTTCATGAAGAAAAGGATGGTGACAACTGATGATGATGTCGATCTGTCTGATTGTAACAAGAAGAAGAACACACCACACACGGTTCTGATTCAATCCGATGTGCTAACGACCATAGCTAGAATCGTAAGAATAATTCAAAATTACTGAACCAAAAAGGAGTTGATGCTTTCTTGTATCTGAAAGCAAGAGACTCAACATTACTATCCTGTGGCTTTTACAGAAGTACGACTTTGTTGGGACTCGCCTCTACAACGCGGCGGAGGGGGTACAATATTCTTATCCTACCCCGTACATATATTCCCCTCCCCTTTCTTGAATTCTCAATCAAACTAGTCGAATATTACAGTTTCCGTCAAAATAAAAAACAGAACAGCAAATAAATAAAAGAATAGCATATGCTCGTAGGAAAGACATCATCCTACAGTATACGTTGCCCTTGACGAGCTTGTCCACACCTTGCTTAGCAGCGTCAATTCCATAAAATCAGATATTTAGATTACCAGCAAGATTCACGAGTCACAATAAGCTGAAAAGTTAGGACTAAATCTAAGAAATATCATGATGGAAGAAGACCCTGATCAAAGCTCTTCAGCAGCTGACGATATTGTCACTAGTGCTGCTAGTGGTGACACGGCTGATATCCTTGCAGAGCTGGATGACCTTGCCATTTCATCCAATACAGCGGAAAAGTCGAAGCCTTCAACAGGCGATTCAGCGCCACAACCTAAGACTTCCTCAAGCCCTGCCGGCGCCGCTTCTCCAGCACCATCAACCTCAAATACTTCTTCTAGCAATGCTTGGAGTTGGAATATTCTTCCTGAAGGCTTGACCAGTAGTATTACCGGAGCAGCAGCTGATGTGGAGGCGGTCATGGATGGCGAGAATGCCGACTTGGGTGCCACCAAGGCGGATATTCAGGAAATGGAATCTGCCATTGCCTCGGCCGAGGAGGTCGTGTCCTCTGCCATGTTTTCCGCCTTTTCGTCCATGACAGAGACCTTGGTTGGACCGACAACTAGCATGGCTGGAAAGAAGAAGAAATTAAAGAAAAAGGGTGGCATTCCTGTTGATGATTCTGATTTGGATGCATTGACAACAGGACAAAGCCGAGATTCAGAAGACGTTGCAAAGAAGTCTGACAACAGCGCTGCCGGTGTATCAGTGCAGAAGAGTGGCAAACCAGTAGATATGGACGGAACTGCTGCCGGAGCGTCAACTGCAGGATGGGCATCGTGGACGGATGCACTAGCAACCGATACCAGTGAGTTGGCCACCTCCATTTTACCAAATTTTCCGGCTCCACCACCACTGGACGCGGATGGGAATGAAATTCCGCAGCCAAAGGAAGAAAAAGAAACTTCCGATACTGTGGCATCCTCCTCCTTATGGTCAGCTTTCAGCGCGGTTTCTGACACATTCATGCAGACCGCATCAAACGATTCTACTGGAAACTCAAAGTCTGGTTCGGGTGCCCAATCTTCCAATATGTTTATGCAACTGTACACTTCCAAGGTGAACCAGGCTGCCGAATGGATTGAAGATCTGGAAAACGAAGAAAATTCCAAGGATCCGTACAAACACTTGAAGCAGCATCTGAAGGACTTCCTCAAGGATCGCCCGACTGGCACATACGAAGGTTGGATTCAAAAATGGGTGCAAGAACAGGGATGGGGAGAAGACGAAGATGAAGGAACAAATGGCGACGTAAATGAGGGTGATGCCGAGGAAAGCACTGCCCCCGTTTTTATTGATCCATCCTACTACAAGGAAGAGAGTATTCACCGCAACTTTTGGAACGAAAAAAATTATGCGGATGGGATTGAAGTGGAAGATGAAAATGCTCCACGAAAGTATGTCAAGGCCCGAGCTTCATCGGGTGGGAAGCGCATGTCCCAGTAGAAGCAAATAAAGTGACTTTCATGAGCACATAGATTTTAATAAGTAAATACTGTATAGCTACTAGCATAGCAATAACTAATATTGCATTAAATTACCCTTCCAAATAGACTATCCAATAAGAGGTCTATAGAGTTTGTCGTGTCGGTGGAAGATCGCATCACAGATTCCTTTTGTCGTTTCCCGGCACCGGTATCCTTCAATCATTTAACTTTTTGATGCAAAATAGCATGGTACTTTGGACGACAAGACGTCCGACGAATTATGGTTGAAGCAAGAGTAGGGACCCCAGGAAATCAGTCAGAAGCAAGCCCAGTAGTCTCAGCGTTGGTCATCACATCAGTTTCCGGGTCGCTTACCGGCAAATTTGGATCATATTGATGAGGATCCTCGTCCTTTTGCCAAAGTGAAAGCATTACGATTCCCACTGCAACGATTGACGCAAACATAATGTAGGTCGCTTTCCCGGCGAGCGAAAGTATAAGGAGTGTTGCCAGAAGACTAGGAAGGAAAAAAAAGAAGCAACCCACTATGCCAAATGGTATCCGAAAGGGTCTTTCCAGGTCTGGATGCTTGATCCGTAATTGGAAAAAGGCAGCATACTCCATGAGTAATGCAACGGCGTAATTGAAATTGAGCATCTCGATCAGTTGGTCCAAATTGGACACAAAATCCATCAACAAAATCACAATCAATCCCAATACGATCCCATATGTTGGGGTTCCGTGCTGACTTTTTCGACCAAATATCCTTGGAGCGTGACCTGTAGATTTTGTAACATAGTTGAATCAGTCAGTCACGATAAGGTGCTATGGCCGAATATCCTTATAAAATGCAAGACGTACCTCGATCTGCCATACCCATGAGCTGAAAAGCATCTGCACTGAGCTCGGCTTGAAAAAGAGCAATGTTGCTAATGCCTGCTGCCATCACAGTCCAAGTTCCCAACCATGGACCCACCACTTCTGCATTGACTATTGTCAGGTACCCATCTTCCCAGTCACCAGGGCGGCGCTCCGACGTAGGAGGTGAAGCACCAATGGCAACCAGCAACGGTAGAAAGTAGCACAACGCCACCAATAAGGTACCCCATAGCATGCCCCTGTGAAACTTGGAGGGTTCGATTTCACCAGCAAAACTTCCAGCGGCATCGAACGAGTTGAGATTCCAAAAGAGATTGTTCAATAAGGGTGCCCACTGAATGCTTTGAAATATAGTAGAATCTGAGCCATCTTGCTCCGTGCTTGGCGGCGGCCATTCGAGCCAACGTTCATGATCCACTTTGAAGCTTCCGACTATCGTCATGATCACAAAGGGTGACATTGCAATTACTGCGATATAGACCGAAAGTTTCCCCACCACATCCAGTCCTGTTGAAATGAGCAAAATAATATTGTTAGAATGACATGTAGTCAGTATTACATGAGACAGCAGTGACAATTATAACCCACCTCGCCAGTTGATGTATCCCAGCACTGCTGATGCAAATGACAGAAGCAAAAACCTCTTAATTGGACGTTCCTCGGCCGCCGTGGCATCCGACTCCGCACTGGCATCGCTACTTTGACCCAGCATCTCCTGAAGATAGTCCAGGAACAAGACTGGATAAATTGCATTGTCCGTGGCTAGGAGCAGAAATGCCAGATTAGGACAGGATACAGAAATTCAAGACAATGCACGACAGTCGACGATATAAATTTACCTCCTGCGATCCACCCAAGGTATCCACAAAACCATCCAGCCTTCGGGCCGAACGCTTCCTCTACCCAGGCGACTCCAGCTCCGGCCTCTGGGAAAGTAGTCCCCAATTCTGCTGTTAGCAGAGCCTTCGTATTCGAAATTTTGTTTCCGAAGATTAGATACCGGTGTGTGCGCGTATTGCTGCACCATAACTCCCAATAAATAGTAAACTTACCTCTTGTATCGACCAGACTAATGGTCCAAGCAAAAATCCAAGCAGCGCCATGCGATTTCCACCCGCTCGCACTGCTGCTTCAGCCCCGAATGGACCCCCTGATACGTTGTAGAATACCAGAATCGTCAATGTCAGTACCCCAAGATGTTTGGTCGAATGATCCCGATGACTCCCCAAATCCACCAGTATTGGCGTATCCACCAGCACTGGCACATCGCCAGTGCTATCGTTGCTTCTTTGATCAATTTCCATTGACGGAAGATGATCATTGGTCACGTCATGACTCGCAGCTTCAGTCGTAGCATCGTATGATGTTCTGGAGCTAGGCGGTGGTTCATGGGTAGCCAATCGATGAAACGCCGGCATGGCGTGTATCTATATATTCTGATTTCTTTCAATGGAGCCAACACTACTAAGGCGCCCTGTGTTTGATGCTGTCTTGGGGTGGATATGAGATTATGGATGCTGTTATTGGTTCATGCCGTATTCCGAAAAATGGAAAGAAGATATTTATGCACGCTGTATATTCAATATGTGATATATAATGCATGCTCGAATCAATCATTTTCGATCAGACGAAATCGATAAAATCGACATCTTGAAAAACGGGAGGAAGGACGGACGCGCGTTTTGGTCTGTCATCATCATCAGTGCATTTCGCACAACGACTGTCAAATATTCATATCTTCATTGCCTTCTCGACCGTTCATTTGATTTGTTGAAGCTTCATCCCATGCTACTGTTTGTTGAACCAGTTCCTCCGAATAGTACTTGCACGCCGCTTTTATTACTGTAGAAATGTAACATTATGCGAATTTCAACCATACTCGGAACCAAATTTGAACTAGATTTTTATACCAGTAGATTCATACTTAACTGTCCAAAAAAATACATAACGAGAGAGCCCAAGTGCAGCACCAAAACGTTTAATTGTAGGTAAACCACGACAAAAAAAACATGTGATCCCTCCGTGTCAACGGCTATTCATGTCCCACGGTGTAACAAATCGCATCGCACAACCGCTTCTAGAGTCACAATTTCAGAAATTCAATCATTTTCAAGTTGTCCACAGGCACCAATATATTCTACATCATCATGACCTACGACGTAAGACCAGAGATCCTGGAACATTACAAGCGCAGTAGTTTCACCTACCAATCATTCAGAGACTACAGCAGTCAAGACTATGTGACACCTACCGCAAGTCCACCGACTCGAAGATCGCTCAAGAAGCGACCCCCTGGTGATCGAAGCCTCCGTGTTGACTCCTGGGTCGGAGGACACACCCCCTTTGGTGTTGCAAAGCCTCGCAGAAGCTACACTATCAAGGGAGAAATCAGCAAGTACTAGCTATTACTACTAGTAAATGGAGCAACAGCTTGTTGGTTAATGGCCAATCCATCAGTATACGTCAGATTTTGCATGATCGTGCATGCATACGAGTCGACTTTGATGTGCAAGAACTGAGATTGAACCAATGAATCTTTGAATCAATCAGTGGTGAATGCACAGGGACATCATCATTCCGCAAGCGGATTTCGCGATTGGGGAGAGACGGATGTTCCTTTGAGTCTTGAAAGACTGACGGATATTCTGTTGCTGGGCTGTGGAACAGTAATATGTAGTAAAGACTATATGATAGAGGTTTTGATAGATGCTTGTTGTTCCTTCATAAATCTACTGTCGTAGCGTAGGATACGCCTATGGGGTCCTGGTTGCGGACCCATGAGGAGCATATGTCACTGGCAGTCTTCATCGAAGATTTATCTAGGAGGGATGAAGAGAATTCTGCTTGAGCCGACTCGGAAGCTTCAGCACTGGGAACGTATTGTGGAAGGAAGGATCTGTGAATCAGATTACGAAACAATGGATGTGTCACCAACCCATATAAAATATATATCCATGCAGGAATTCGTAATTTTACTGCACATTTACCAAAGAACAATACCCGGTATATATATGGAGAAACTTCATCACTCCCCAAAATTGCACCACCTCCAAAAAACCCACTCACAAATTCCAAAACCCGAAAATACAAAACCATGTCCACAACTCCAATCAACTACGAAGCCCTCAATCAATATCGCAGCATCCGAGATAACAGTGCAAGATGTAGCATAGTAGAGAAGATTTCGCATTGCGAATTCTTCAACCATGGCTTTAGCGATGATGCTTCAGCAGCCACCATTGCTTTCTACGGATTCTCGGTCTACCACCACCACCACCACCACCACCACCATTCATAGCAGCACACTTGTCTCCTCTCCGACACCAAGATCGCCAAGACGAAGAAATAGTAAATATCATGATGAACAAAATTTTAAGAGCCTGAAAGAGAAGTTTCCCGAATCCGTCGACCGCAATCTGCGCAATCAAGGATGGGTTGGTGGGCACAGTCGCTCCTTCTTATATGGATTCAAGCAAAACGACTCCCAAACGTACCTGCAAGCTTAAGAATCCTGCTGACGAGATCTACTTGACAAAGAGCTAGACAAGATACAAAAGATTTGTAACGATGGAATTAATACATCAACCATTATTGCTGTGTCGTGAAAATTCAAAATGGGTGTACCGGTGTGCAGCCACCTGGGGTTGACGTCGTCATGATCATACTTGAGGATGTGCTGATGAGCGAGGAGGGGGACGAGGAGAAGTGCTTGGACGCACGAAGTGGTGCAATGCACAAGCAGTCATGACTTTCGCAGGCGCAAATGTCACATTCATGGGTCAAGTCATTATTGATAGAATGGTGTCGTTATACCTCCTGTCATCGATCGTGTGTATATTCCTCCAAAGTGTTTGGGCATTCTGAAACTTGATCCGAACCAAACCCGCGTGGCCCGTGACTGACTCAAAATTCGGGCATAATTGTTTTATATATGAACGATCGATTGACATGCGATTTCTGTGGAAGCTTTCTCATGATTCATTCATTCGTCTGCTGATTCAATCACAAATCAAGCTCGTTTCAGACCCACAACATCAAATAACGCAAACAAATCACTGATCACAGCTACAACCACACACTCTCTGCAATCACTTTTAAAGCGAGCACTTTTCATCATTCCAACACCAACCAAGCGATCACAGCCACTTCATCCATAATGACTTCATCTTCCTCTGTCAACCAAGACGCCTTGGCAAAATTCCAAAAAATCAACGACTGGAACAACAGCTATTCTCTTGAAGATGAACTCAGCCATTCTGATTCTCTCCATGACTCTACTGCATCATCATTTGATTTATCCCTTTCCAATACTTCCTTTTCCAGCCTGAACTCCCATCAACCCGCTGCTGTGACCAGTAAATACCATGGCAAGTCGGCCCTGCGAAAGTCTCTCAAGGAAAAGTCACCCGCATCCGTCGAGCGGGGCATGCGAAATCAAGGATGGGTCGGTGGGCACACTCCTCACGGAAGTCAAAAGCCAAGACGAAGCTACAAGCTAAAGAATCCCTCAGACGAAATCTACTTGAAAAAGTAAAAGAAGGACGCCGCCGCCCCCAGCAGCCGCCGCGTGCCTTCTTCTTGCTTACTACTTCTTGTGATCCATTTTGTGCTATGCCCACGCTTGTGAACTACTAGTATGATATAGCAGTATTGACTAATAGAACGATATTTTAATTAGAAAAGCATGACCATGTGATTTCATCCAAGCATGGGCATGGGCATGTGAGTGAGAAGCTACTGTATGGACAGGAAAAATACAACCATAGGAACACTCTTCGTGAACTCATTTTGAATCATTTTGAACGAATAACTCAAACGCTGAAGGGGACGAATAACAGCATGTTTCGATATGATCGAACAATCCGACCACTAGTGAGTGGCGGGATTCAAGAACGGAAGATTTGGTGATTTTGGCCACGTTTCAATCTTCCCCTACGCCAGCGTAACAATCCTACAGCCGGGTTTGACCTGCGTATTCTGAGACATGTTCCAGACATGCCATCGCAATTCCGTGATCAAGAGAATCAATAAGATCGATCATCTCGCATCATCCACAGATGAATTGAATAAGATCAATAAAAACGAACTCTATAGTATTTTGACATTGTATTTCACCACGTTTATTATCACGCTCACTCGCTTACGCGTATATCTAAGATTATCTCATGGCATCATCCATACCTGTTGACGCTGTCGAAAGAGCCGCAGTATCATCAGAAACCACGGACGAGAACGATTCTTTGATTCCTGACACATCCGCGACTTCATCAGCGTTGCCTTCTGCTGAGGTTGCTGCTGCCACACAGGTATCTTCGTACCAGAGAGCACTTCTACAATTCCTTTCCGAGCACAATTGTTGGATACCCGATCCATTGGACGACGAATCAAGTCGTAGAGCGTTTCTACGATTCCTTGCGGAGCACGATCCTTCGTTTCATCATGCATCAGATAATTCATTAGTATTATCAGCGTTGCCTTCTCTCGACCCTGTGGTAGCTGTTGAGCAGTCGAGTTCACCAAATACAGTGTCCGACAATGAATCAAGTCAAGAGCTAAACCCAGAGAACTTACAAGGCCAAACGAATGATGGTGATGATGACGATTCCAATGATATGTTTCCTATTTTCCGAGTCAATCTGGATCCGAATCCTACGCCTGACTCGACACCCCTAGTGGCAACTTCCGGTCTTTTACAGCCGTCTATGACATCCAGAGGCCGATCAGCCGATGATGAGAGGGGCCCTAATGCTACGTCCAATGAAGATCTTATCATGATGGTGAACACATTCTTTGATCATATGGTGTCTAATTCTCAAAATCAGAGCTCCGAGAGTGCGGGTCATGTCTCTGCTGACTTGTATGATGAGGACGGTGTCTCTGTGTCTGTTGATTCATACGATTATGAAGATGAGGACGACGAACCCTTCGACTTTGCGGCATCGTCCTCGGACGAAGAGTCGTCAGTGGAGGAATCCTCCGAAGAAGAATCTTCCAATGACGACAACGACGAAGATGATAGTGTCCATACATCTGAGTTTCTATGGGAGCGCAACACCTCAAAGCCCTATTTCGGAAGTCGTCTCTTTCAGCATGACCTATTGGAAGCCAAATTTCCATTCTTGAGAAATGACCAAGGTGCCATTGTCGCCTTGGGTGACGAATGGGATTCCTTTTTATATTGCGGGCGCAGATTGGGAAGAACCGCCATTCCTCACTCCGATGGTCGATGCGGACCCAACAATGGACCGCAGTGTCCTTCGTGTCAACGACTTCAGACCAACGAAAAATACCAGATCCTCGAAATCATTTTTCCATCTTTGGATCGCAATATTTTGACAGCGGCCTTGAGGAAACGGGGTGGCAATGCCTTTGCGGCCTGTCAGTTCTTGGAATCCTCCTTTGATGGATTGCATCAAGTTCCTTCCGAAATTGCCTTTCCTGGCTCTCGACCGGATGGCATACCGGAACCTTGCTACCCTGTCTCAGATTCGGATGCCCATAATGTTGTCGGCTTTTTCGATGGCAGCATTTCCCTGGCTACCGCCAAGATGGCCTTACGAAAGAACGAACACAATCTAGAGCAAGCGGTCACGTACATATTGGACAAATCGCCGCTAGAATTGGTAATAGAAACCTCTCAAGACACCGGACGAGTTTCGGAATACGAAGATGCGGTACTGCAGTTCCAAGTAAAACGACGAGAAATCATTCAGGAGGTGGCACTCAAGCTATCATCTCCAGACGCGATTCCACAAGAATTGAACGTTTTAGCCGAGACAATGGTTCCAGAGATGGATTCGGGCAAAATCATTCCTTGTGCCATCGAAGATGGTCACGGTATGGTCCAACCAGCTGCATCTGAATCCATCAAGTGTATTGTCTGCGCCTTGTCAGTTGGCACCAAGTATGCTGGAAGTTCCTACTGCCCACAGTGCAATCATTGCGAGGGATGCATCCAAACCAAGGTTGTCTACAAGTGTCCACGTATGGGAAACGGTGGACATTTGCATTTCTGCCCATTGCAACCAGTGAAGATTGGACCCGATCGAAAAGGATACATTTGTGACATTGATTCAAAGGGATGTTTGCATTCTGAAAATCACAATATGAGCTACTATTGCCAGGAATGCAACTTTGATGTTTGTGCGGTGTGTATTTCGCAACCAGCCCCAGTGTATTATCATCGGAGGTTGGGAAGAATGATACAATTGGACGAGGATGATGAAGAGCTTTTTTCCGAGGAGGAGGACGAAGAAGATGGCGAGGAAGAAGACGAGGAGATTCCGGAAGTAGAAGTAGATGAAGACGAGCCGAGGGTCCAGAGCAACAGCCACATCCCTGAGACTCCCTTCGAGAGAGAAGTAAGGCGAAGGAGAGACACTACTGCCGCGGCTGATACCCGTAGAAGACCAGGAACCACCAACGAGGAGTCAATGCAATTGAACGATCAAGCCGATTTTTCTGTGGTGCCAACAAGCGATCCAAATACAATTGTTCGGGCGGAGAATGAGCAAGATACCTCACAAGAAGCTACTACGGCACAAACGGACGAACAACCTGGGGCTATTTCCTTGTTACCAACAAAAGATTCAACAGCAACTGCTCCAGTAGAGCACCAAGCCGATACCTCGCATGACGCTACCCCTGCAGAAATTGCTGAACAATCTGAAGCTCCTTCCGTAGACCCAACAATTGGTTCAACGCCAGCCACTCCAGCAGAGAATCAACAAGTTGCGGCAGAAGAAGCTACTCCGGCAGAAATCGACGAGCAATCCGAAGCTTCTTCCGTGGCACCTGATTTAACACCAACTTTTCCAGCAGAAAATCAACAAGTTGTCTCGCAGGAAGCTACTCCTGCGGAACCCGTTGAGCAATCGGAAGCTGCTTCCGTGGTACAAACAACTGATTCATCACCAACTGAGGAGCCGAAGGAGTCCAAACCTATGTTTGATCTGCACGAACGAATCGCAGCATCGCGGTGGGGAGCAACCGAAGAGGAGGAAGATAATGCAGTGGAAGTCATCATTGGTAGCGGGGATGTTCGCTCTAAGGAGCGTCGTTTGAAGCGCAAGCAATCGTCAACCTTGGAAGACGCTCCACCCATGCGACATAACCGACCAGAGACATTACTGACTTCCAAGTTTGCCACAGCACTCCAAAACTACATATGCAAGGAGTGTCCAGCAGCTTCGAATGTGCATCATGTGGAGTCTCTGCTGCACATTGCTCAAGGAAATGATAAATGCTGTCCTAGTGAAGCTGTCTGCCAGGCTGTTGGTGCTGGGAAAATGGGCATTGCAGGAACTTGCCTCTTGGCGCCGATCTATGGTGCGAAGCAAAAGAAAACAGGTGAAATGAGATGCTTCTGTGGCGATCTTATTGACTCGAAGACTGCTCCCGATGGTGCTGTCGGCTGCCTCAATGGTCATGCGCTTCATCCAAGCTGCGCAGCGGACTATTTACTGAGTGGAGGTGAGCGAACAATATTGTATTTCTTTGTTGAAGCAAGCATCGCATACTCATGATCTTTCTGTTGCCTCAAATTGTACAGGAAACTGCCCTACATGTAGAGAGCCTCTGTTCTTTCCGAAGGTCGGCAAGGCTGAAGCTGCTGCTGCCGAGGAATACTTGGAAGCTGAGCTTCAAAGACGGCGAAAGGAAGAGGAAGAAGCCATTCGAAAAGAACAATTGGCCAATGGGCAAGTCTTCAATGTCAATGACATTGTTCGGGTATCTTCTGACGTGAAACTTTGCATGAAAGAACTGATGGCAAGTCCTGGAAAGACTGGATGGACACCAGAAATGGATAGCTTCTGCGGTTCCATTGGAAGAATCACCGAGGTGGAAGAGGGAAAAGTAAAAATACAAAACCAAGAACTACAGCATACCTTCTATTTGCCAAGGACGGTAGTTCTATGCCGAAATTGTAGTGGGAAAGTGGGAGCAAAAGACGGAGATCCTCCCGTAGATGAAGGGAACAAGGGGCTTTGTTTGTTCTGCAATCAATGTAATGAATGCTGTTCCAAGGATGACTTGATTTGTACTAAGTCGTCGGTCAAACTGAACTGGACACCTTCAACCGTGTCGTTGATTGGTAGGGCTACTTCTGCAGCATTGTGGGACAAGTCCCTTGTCGATAAGGATCTCGCGACTGCTGCGGCTGCAGAGCAGCATATTATTCGCTTGCGAGCCGAAATGAACGCCGTTACTACTGCTCGGGCAGCTGTTCAAGACGCCCTTGGAAATATTAAGGGCGCGCCATCAATCAAGGCGCTTGATGGTTTGAAGGAAGTTGTTTCACCATTTGATTTTCAAAGAGCTCGCCATTTACTTGGCCTAATGGATCACTGGGGAGACAGCCCATCGATGATGAAAGATAAGAAGGCTATTATGGAAACGCTTCGAAAGGGCGACATTGACACCGCTGCAAGGCAGATTCGACACCACAATGCTGCTTTGGTAGAGGATGCTGCGAAATGGAGGTATGCATCATCGGACCATCATGAATATGTTGTAGAGTCTTGGGCAAAGATCAATCTGGTGGCTTGGCCATCCTTGTCCGCTCCAAGAACCGGCTATTGCCTAGGACCAAGTGTTCGGTTCCGAAGCAAGGAGGAAGAGTTGGATTCTGACGGAAATATTTGGCTCCTGGTGGATGAAAATTCATTGATTTTGCCTCAATTCGTCAATGGGAAGCAGGTTCTGGCAAATCCAAAAGACATTTATGCCTACAAAAATCTGGTTGGCTGCCAAGTAATTCCTGGTCCCAAATGGAACAATGATCGTATTGAAGGAGTCGGAACGATCACAGCAGTCAGTGGCTCGAGTATCCGTGTCAAGTTTCCTCGGAGCGACTCCCATTCTTGGTATTATCCAACTGAAGACAATGGAGCAAACTTGCTATTTGCAAATCCACCAGCACCTCAAGGCTGGCTGTGTATGACGCCTCGACAAGTTCCTGTTGTGAGGCGTGGGAGAGATGCTCTGCAATGTTTTGCTTGTGGAGATGGCCTCCTTCCCGAAGAGACGACTGCACATGAAAGCATTCAGTTGGTACAGAAAGACGACGAAATCAAAGTTGGCCAAACACTTCTGGTTGCCGCTACTTTGGAACCAGTCCAGGTGAAATCGGTCGAGAATGAGCACGTTCAATGCTCGTTTGCGAACCAGGACTCGAAGCGTTCCATCAGCGTCAAGTTTCGCCGAGATGACTTGCTTCATCCTTGCAGTGCTACTGAGAATACGGAAGAGAAGGTGTCCATTGGTGGTCGTGAAAGATGCCGACAAGATGTGTTCATGAAGCATGGCAGTATTGCGGATGCCAAGGCTGCTTGGAATGCCGCCAAATCATCGAATGGAAACCCCAGTGGGACTGAATTGCTCACTTCTAGCTACGCATCTTGTGTCAAGGGCCATTTGTTGCACGCAAGATGCTTGCAGGAAGCTCTTATTGCAGGCAAGAAGTGTCCATTCCTTGGATGTAACGAGCCGCTTTGGGCTCCCAAGGTCAAACGCCTTCAGCCCGATAGCGATGCATGCTGTGGAGGAAATTCTGCGACCACTGACGTGGCTGCGGATGACAACAATAACAATACTGTATCCGGAACTGAAGCGGTAGCCCGGGCTCGAAATGAGAACGAAGAAGTCGATTACCACATGGATCGGGAGCTAAAAATGTGTCCCGCCTGCTTTTCAGGTCCATTATTGAATCAAAACTGCAATGATATGGAAGCCCATCATGGACAATGTGTCCATCATGCCTTTGGAAATGACGACGAAAATCCCTGCTACTTTTCTGCAGATGGCTCGGACATTGCATCCAGCCTGATGCAACTTTCAGGTGACAAAAAGGTTGTGGACGTTTTACCACGATGTCCTACTCATCACTGCGTGATTATGTTTAGTGGATGCATGGTATGTGGTCATTTGTTCAATGAGACCAGTTGGTCCGACTTGCCCAAATGGGATCCTTGCGCCAAGACACTTTTGGACGTGGACCGCAAAAAGCGAAAGGCTGCTGCCTCTTTGGTTTCCGAAATCACACGCGAAGCCGCCTTGCTGGAATACGAACGCGATGCCGTCGACAGCTTGTGGTCGACAAAAGGCAATGATGAAATCCAACTTCCTCCCTTGCCTCCACCGGCCATGGGATTTTCCGATGCTATTTCGGACAGCGAGAGTGACAGTGATGAAGACAGCGACTATTAGAGAAAATGCATATGTGTATGAATTCAACGAAACCAACGAAACAAAATAGACTTTGATTGCAACTAATCAAATCAACTACTATAGATTACTTTTTTTATATAATTTATCATTACTATCCCATTTTCAATCGAGATAAAGCATAGAGGAATATAGGTGCGATGCGGACTAAGTGGAATGTGCCCCGACAATCCTAACATATATACATGCTGATCCGTTTGATGTTGGTTGGAGTTTCCACGATCATCAAAAATGTACACAAGACATACCAAACGGATGGCCCTGCGGTGTGGGATTCTTTTTCGAGACCTAATCTCAACTGGCTACCGCATTGCAATCATCATTGCTGCCGCGGTCCCAAACAAAAGGTTGTAGGATTCCATCATCGTTATTATCTGAAACCACATGACGACCAACCTTATTTGTCCACCACATGTCAGCAGTATTTTGCTCCTCCTCCTCCTCCTTCTTGGTTGGCAACCGGATCAGGTCATTGCAATTCGTGGCCTCAAGAAAGGAGCCAATAGTGTGAAAGGCGACCCTTCTCTTGTCGACTTTGAAATGGTACGTCGTCTTTTTGCTGTTCTTTTTGTATATATATGCCCATATATGCCCATATATGAACGACACCCAAGTCTCAGACATTATCATCCACTGCAATGATAGTGTGCCGCACTGATTCCGATCAATGCCCAAAATCCAGAGCTGGCTGTGTTCTTTGACTTGGAAGATACTTGCACCACCACCTTTTGGGAAAATCAAGAACCCTGGACCAATGGAAGTCCGCTCTATACCGCATATTATCCCGTTTGTTCCTGCGTCATTTTGGCCAAGGATTGTTTCCTTCCCGCCGTCAGCACCTTTGCTCCCATGTACGATGTGGCCCGATCTACTGGTTTGCTAAAAGAAGAAGCCATTGCCTTTGCCAGTCCCTTTGTGGAGTCGGATTGTTTGGCATATGCCCTGGCGTTTTTGGATCAGTGGGCTAGTGACGAACCTATGAATAATAGCGACGATCCACCTTCTAATGATTAAAATATCTTGTTGCATTACACTCATCTTGTCTTATTTTTTCAATGTGGAAGCCGCTATTAAAAAAGGCATTGGATATGCTAGGATGGGAGTGTAGACATTGTCTCTTGCCGTTGTTTTGACCATCATCTAATCATCTATAATCATCTCATACGTCTATATATTCATCATCACAACGATGTGCAAACACGGGGATGACGAACCCCTTCTGAACTCCCTTCCCTCTCTTTTGAATCGAAATCAATCTTGTCAAGCCTGCATGCCAATGATACTGTCGTTGAGTGACACATTGTCTCTATGTACAAAGCTTTGGTGCGGCAGATTTTAGTCCCACCGAAGACTCCGAACCGAGTAAGACCAAAATTCCCTAATCAACGGACGACCAAAGCACACGTGCCACGAGCCGGGCCAACGATGACATACCAATACCCAACAAAAATCTGAGAAAATCCCACCAGTTTTTTCGCCATCTCAAAATAAGGAGGAGCACGAAGTATATATACGCGATAGATTCAAGATATAGACTCAATCTACTTGCTTTTTAAAAAACCTCTCTGCTGTTGGTTGCAACCTTGTTGGTCTTCAAGTCTTGGATTGATCCTCTCTTTCGCATCCGCATTCGCATCTGCATTTGATCTTTCAAATTGCGTATCTTCCGCACACGACAGCTTATTAGAGTTTCTATTTTCGGAATTCAAAATCTCCCGAACCGATTTCGCGGAAGCATGATTTCCAATTTCCATCAGTCCTCGGGTCCCTATGAGAATCCCGGCTCTTCGTATTATACCTTTGATGCAGAGCCATCGGCAAAGGCTCCCACCGCCGCCACTAAAAAGACGAAGAAGAAGAGTCGAATCTTTGGATTGGGCAAATCGAAAAATAAGAACAAAAAGGCGAATACCAGCATGCCGGCTTTGGATGACCAATCTACCATGACGGGACAATCTTTGACGTATTCCACATCCGCAGCGTCCTACCAAACAACTGGAGAATCGACCGACTCTTCTGGGGGTGCCTTTGGTGAAATCCTCAAGTTGCTGGACGAAGAAGAAAGGTTGGAAATGAAGGAAAAGCACAAACGTCGGTATTCCAGTGATCGATCCACCACATCCTCTCTGGCCTATTCGGAAGGTGCAACCACCCTGAACTATAGTGAGGATGGAGATATGTCATTCTTGGAAGGCACCAAATTGTTGGGAATGTTGGAAGCACCACCGCAGCCTGCTGGCGGGGCCCAACACGAAGACGAAGAAGAGAATAAGGAATATATGATTTCTCCCAAGAAGACTCCCGTTATAAACAACAAAAAGGCCACGAAAACCCAGAACGATGGTAGACAATCTCATCATAATGCTCGTGAGAATAGTGTGGTTCGACAAGACGAGAGGACGAGGGAGCGCGAAGTGTTGGAGGTGGACGATGATCCTGTGTCGTCAACTTCCAATCGATGGATGTGTGGGATAGATTTTGGAGATGCTGGTTCGGTTCTCCGACCATTTTTGTGTTTTTAAGAGTTGACAAAATACATTATGCAACAAGGCTTCGAAGAAAGAAAAAATGGAGCTTTTTTGTGGCAATGAAAAAAGAATAGTTGACTTGGATATTCCAAATCACAGCAGAAATATAGCAGCAGATGTAGATTAAAAAATCAATATAGTGGAGTACGTCTATAACGAAACACGCAAGTAGATGGTTTTTCCTTTTCAGCCTTTTCAGGTGCAGATGTTGCATTGTGCTTGTGCGCTAGACGACAGCTCACACACGACACACGAGAAAAGATGTCTCAGGTTTTTGGCCACGATGTTGTCAATTTTCGTTCAGAAGACAACAACCCAAAAAGATACCCGGTAGTGTGGACACTTGAACTTGAAAGTGTTGGTACCAAGAACTGGACAGGTCTCTTGCTGTAGTACCGCCCTCCTCTATTCCAAACTTCATTGTACCACCAGAGCAAGCGAATGTGCATAGTAGACTTGTCAATAGGTTAGGTACGCTAAGCCAGTATCTGTGCTCCTTTCTCCATGATACTCGCTAAGAGCACCACTTGAAGATAGAAGTTTGTTTGGTATTATATCATCCAACCAGGCCGGTCTCGCTCTGTGGTTTGAACTTGGGCGTTCTTTCTGCTGCCTTTCTGCTACTAGGTGCTTCTACCACAAGAAGTTGGCGACTTTATCTGCTTGCTTTTCGGTATCCTTTCATTTTTTTAAAAAACACACAGCGGAATACTTGTTATGTGTGATACCGGTGTCTTGTTACCCGCTGTCATCGTTGCGGTATGAGTGTAAAGCAAGGGAGAGTGTGTCTATTAACGGTCCGTCCGCCACTCAGCCGTACAAAAAAGTGGGGAGGCCAGAACTGTACCTTATTCGATATCAGTAGAATTAAAATTGAACCCATATAAAGCTTCTAGCTTAGATTGTTAGCTTTAATCCTATCCAGGCCGCATTAAAAAAGAATACTTTGCTCGTGAGTTATAGCCTTCTAAGCTCCGGGGTGCTTTGGGGCGCTAACCGACAATCTTGGTAGCCAGCAGGAGCAGAGAACTCATCAAGGAATGCTCCAATAAAGTTACAAACCAAGCTATTGGTCATTCATAAGTCGTATGAGACCGTGGTATACTCACATGACCCCCAGAACGCTCGATAGTATCTCGCCAGAGGCTGGTGGTTGTTGGTTTTTTTTTTGTATTTCAATTCGTAAATCCATTGTTTCACACTTTTTCCCGTGCAGCCAATCCAAACACCAGACATGGAACCTGGTCTCTCTAAAAGAAAATATTGGGTGCCTGTGAGATCGCCTTAATCTTAGGGGCACCATAGCCATACATTAATCAGAGCATCACCAACCGATGATGATAGCACCGCAGGACCACCGCATTCAACCTAGAAGAGCAGCTTGACCATTCATTTCACTTCATATAGTCATTCAACAACAATGTCTCTTAAATCCAACGGTAATGGATAGGCATTGTACAATTGAAACACTGTAGAAAGGACAAAGCAAGCAAGTTGTTGGATCGCAAATGCACAGTACATCTGCAAGGACAACGAGGAGCAAAGTCTTCATCTGTCACACTCAATGTGCTCTCTTCGTCCATCAAATAGTGCAATAGTGTGAAAAGATACTTGACAAACGCAAAATCATTCTCTTGGGTAGCCTCATTGCAATTCTCATGATCGACAATCAGGTGAAATATTATGACGATCGATGATGACGAGTATTTTTTTGATTTTTGTGTCAGTCTGCCCTCCGGTCGTGTTGGAGGGAGTGTTCGCCATGCGTGCAGTACATACCGGTACAAAGGATAATCTCCCCCAAAGCACCCCGGAGCATAGAAGGCTATATAACTCATGAGCAAAGTATTCTTTTTTAATGCGGCCTGGATAGGATTAAAGCTAACGATCTAAGCTAGAAGTTTTATATGGGTTCAATTTTTATTCTACTGATATCGAATAAGGTACAGCTCTGGCCTCCCCGAATCATGCACTTTTTTGTAGGGCTGAGTGGCGGACGGACCGATAATTAAATATTTTCTTTCGTACGATTTTATTTTTTCGGTGGAATTTTGTTTGTCTCCTTTTATAATTTCCATAAATGCACTATATAATGCACGGTGACGGGACTTTTTATATTAAAAAAGCAACAGAAAGTGTCTTTTTCGGTAAAACGTTTATATTCGATGTGCGATCATGACATCGACAGGATTTGAAGCAAAGATTCATTCTCTCGAGAGTCCAGAACGTCACCTTCGACATACCTACGTGTACCACAAGGAAACCCGGATAGCAATGGAGATTATTGAAGGTGACGGAAATTGCATGCTCGGGCAAAGCTTTGCAAAAAGCTTAGGATACCACAGTATTCTTGGAAAAGCAGGGCGCTGGGTTTCTTGTGACGTTCAACAAGAGGTTGCCGGTTTCAAGCCACCTTCGACAAAACCATTATGGTGACGGATGTCGGTAACACTGATTTCTTGGAAACCTTACAGTAACTTCGACAGAGTTGCTTGGATGACGGCCAACGAAAAGATGAACTCGGTTCGCAGAGTTTTCCAATCGATGCAACTGCTACAGGAGACTGTATATATCATACTTTTTTGGCACTATATGTTTTAGTACATCGAGATACCGGTACCGGTGCCATACGGTAGCTCGTGATCCAGTGCGCTTTTGTAATGATCTTTCAATGGCCCTAAATTAGTAGTTATATAATCCTTATTGATACAAGGCTAATACAGTACCGCGGGTAGTTTCAATCATGAAATACATAATGATGTCTTTCAAACGCCTCCGTTCCTACCGGTACCATCGTAAATATTCTGCTCAAGCCTCAGTCATACGGGTAAAGCGGCCATATAAGGGAATCGGGACCTTCCGGTACCGGTATGCTCCACCTTTTCGCTCCAATCATATTCTTCACGAAAAGGGGTTTAGCAAGATTACAGGCAGTCGGGACCCCGACGAACTATCAATATTTTTTAAAACAATCCCGATCCATTCGAAACCAAAATGCCACTCCTATATAAAAACACGGGAAATCGGGCCCACAGAACTGTTCGATGAGCTTCAGAACGCGATAGAAATGAGTTGGGGCAGCAGTGTTTCGGAAGCGATCGTTTCAAAGTCCGCCCCCATATTTGCGCTTTTCGTACCATCCTCTAATTAAATCGCGTTGAAACCAAGAAAACCGTTCACGTTCACAAAATAAATGACCTGCACCTGCACTATCTTCTCAATTCTATTCTCTGCATTTTCAGTCTCACAATTTTTTGTTTCATCCAAGTGACAAGATGCAGTGCCTTTCAAATGTTTCCATCGCTACAAAGCAGCGACACTTTCCTTTGTCATCACTGATGTTTCAAATGTCTGATGAGCACCTGATCACCACTTCAGACCTTATAAGCAAGACCCCTGATATGGCTTTCAGCCAAGACTTTCAGTCTTCCTGCAGCAAGAGCCCCACCACGCGGAAGCTTTCATCTTCCCATACTGATGATGCCTTCTTCCGTGGATTGAAATCTTCCTTCACTCCAAATTCGATTGCGAATGATGATCTGGAGCCTACGCCCTTAGTGTTAGAGGTCGAGCCAACGCCCTTCAAAGCCGGGACTTCTCTGCAGCTGGCGTCGTCTGAAAGTCCCATCGATTCCGCCACCCGTGATGGGACCATGGTGTTCAAGCTGTCGCCTTCGAATTCTTCCACGACGCCAAATGAACTTCATCAAGACATGCCATGGAACGAGCTCGTTACCTTCGTAGAGACGAGCCTCGACTCTCCTTCCAAAACTGGCAAACGCGCCATGCCGCCACCACTTGCCGAGGTGAAAGCGTACGGCAACCAGGCCACGAAGCGCCGCCGCACCGTGTCTAATGCCAATATGAACAAGACACCACGATTGAGACCACATCAAGATGTTCTCTGGCAAGAGCACTTCAGTTCCCTGATCAAGTTTATTAAAGAGCATGGTCATTGCCATGTCCACTACACTTGTGGACACAGTCCAGGTTTGTCCAAGTGGGTTCAGCGTCAAAGGTACCAGTACAAACTCAAGACGGCTGGAAAGAAAACTACCATGACTGATGAACGCCAGCATAAATTGGAAGAAGTGGGCTTTGTCTGGGACTCTCATGCTGCGACGTGGGAACAGCGCCTCAATGAGCTTGCAGAATACAAAAAGGAACATGGCGATTGTAGAGTTCCATCAACCTATCCACAAAATCCACAGTTGGCAATGTGGGTAAAAAGTCAGAGACGCCAATTCAAACTTTATCGAGAAGGTTTAAATTCTAACCTCTCTGAAGAGAGGCTACAGTCTTTGAACGAATTGGGCTTCACATGGGAACTGAGAAGCGTCAATGACATTAGCGATCGCTATTTTTGAGTCTCTTGCTTACACCATCAAAAGCATAATATATAAGTTTTCAATTTTTGAGTGATACAGTATTTAGGTACATGTAACGAGGCTTCTTGATGATGTAGTACGTAGTTATCTGTGTGTTAGTTAACCTGCTCACCGACTTCCGCGTGTGCCAAAAGCGTGACAGAGGTAGAATACTACTCGTAATCAACACTGTTCTGTCAACTACATTTTTCACAAGGAGGTGTGATCCGCGATCTAATTTATTTCAAACGGTACCTCTCTAGTACCGTGTGTCCCATTTCCCACAAGGTACCACCGCACCATCCCATCTTGGCCCATCACATCTTTTAAAATGATCAGACCAATGATCAGACATACTGGAAGTCATTTAGTCCTTGCTATCTGATCGGAAACTCATTGAGCGGAAGAAATTGCCATTCTCAGTTGCGAAACTTGGCGGGTTTCGTAGAAACGGAGTTACCGGGCAACAGACTAGTCCATTTTCCTTGCTTCGTCACTTGTTTCTGCTGGAGGAAATTACAACGCAATGTGAATTTTCACGACTTCCTAAACGCCACCCTAGACTATCATGGAGTACAAACAACCGACTCGCAGGGTACACAACCCATGATTCGAGCGCTCCATAACAGCTGGGGGACCTCTTTGGGACCCCTACCTTGGTACGCAACCGGCACATATTTGATTTCTGTTCCATGTGGGTCGTGATCACAAAAGGTTACTAAGTCCATCGCAGCGTTGCTATGCTAAAGTTTCCACACGAATGAGGAGACGAGACTTTGAGTCTTCAAATTTTATTAATGGCACGAATTAGTAGTTAATACAACGCAAGCATCCAAAAAGAAATAATTTTTTAGAACAGAAAAAAGCAAGCGGTTTTTTTATCAGCTGTCATCGGAATATTTTCAGTCCGCCCCTTTGGGCCTGTTTATTTTTATTAGAGCAACAATTCGCTCACTTTCCGCTGAAGAATTGATTTCAAACAAAGAGCCCTACATCAAAAAGCTCATAATCTGGAAACATCACAAAATGAACGTGACCCCCTCATCAGACGCCTGTAACCTAACAACAATGACAAGACTACTCACAAGCCCCGATAACCATAGCTGGAAATCTTACGGTATGTAATCAAATCTTTTGCCTTTTATTCGTGAATCTCCTGTCGCTCATTTTGATTACTTTCCATGGTGTATCTTATAGAAAAACCCAACTGCTGCTACAAAGGAACATACGAAGTGCCGAAGTCGTCAACGATTCAGGAGAATCTTATGTCGATGGCGCTCATGCTGGACCTACCCACGGCTATTCCACGCGATGTGTTTTCACTTTCGGAATTTCCATCATCCGGCGTGACAATAAAAGAAAGCAATAGTCTGTTTGATGATTTGGAATCAGACTGGAATGATATCATCGAGCCTACTCCATTTCGTGAAGGAACATCGTTAGCGACAACTTCTGGTGGGAAGCCAGCGATAGTTCAAGTCCAAGTCCAAGACTCAGCTTTCGAGCCAAAAGCAATGGATTCCAACTCGATATCACTGCTGCCAGAAGCTCGTGAAGTACTATCCCTTCTACTTCCATCCCGTGGAGATAACCGAAAGCGCAGTATTGAACCGTCGAAATCAGCGTCGAAGAGAGCTAGACCCAATCCAACCAATGGAGAAAAGAAAGACCTGGGAGTCGCCATGGGTGTCAGCCGTCAAGACGAAACGATCAATCCACGCTTCAGGGTATACCAAGATGCCCAGTGGCAGGAGCAATTCGAAGCGCTCCTCAAATACAAACAACAGTTTGGGCACTGCAATGTTCCACACACCTACGAGCACGATCTCGCTCTATCCCGATGGGTGAAGCGTCAGCGATGCCAATACAAGCTCAAACTCGATGGCAAGCGCACCTCCATGTCCGCGGAACGCCAACAAAAGCTGGATGATGAAGGCTTCGTTTGGGATCCTCATACGGCGTTGTGGGAAACCCGACGTGCCGAGCTTCTCGAATACAGAGCGAGGGAGGGCAACTGTAACGTTCCCTGTCGCTATGCCAAGAATCCACAGCTTGGAATGTGGGTGCGAAGCCAGCGGAGAGAATACAAATTGCTCTGCGAGGGGCAGCTATCAAGGCTGACACCCGAACGCTACCGAGTTCTGGACGATATGGGCTTTGTGTGGGAGCCACGAGCTGTTGGAAGGACAAACAAGAAAGCTACATCATGATATTGATCGCAGTAGCCTCACAAACATTTTTCAACAGACCGACTACAACAAGATAAAACCAATATTCGTATACAATATAATAAGATAATGCAATCTGTTTTTTCAACACATTTCTCAAAAGGGTATTTGTAGATAGTAGAAACGCCATTGTCGGCAAGAAGGTACCACTACGCAGTGCCGAATTACTCAATTTCGAGTATTTCTAGGAACAATAATTGAAGCCGGCATGCAGTATCACTCGTCAGCAGTCTAAAGCGAATCAATCAATTTCTATTATTATAATTCTTCTTAGTGGAGTACCAGGTACCAGGTACTAGCGAGGAACGCCACCATCGCCATTCCCAAGACTAAGAACTTTGGTGATTCTTGCCGAATTCATCAATATCTATTCCTAGGAACAATAATTGAAGCCGGTATGCAGTATCACTCATCCGCAGTCTCAAAACAGTATGATCAGAAACATTGTGATGTCGTCAATCATTCGTCGTTTTTTAATATTATTCTCCCAAGAACTGACGACGTCAAGACTGCCTCAGTTCTCTGTTCTCAGAAAATTCACTTTTGGAAACTTCCGTCATCACTTGAGAGCAAGCAGGTTCGGATGGAGTAGTACTTGCACTCTGGTGTGTCTGATGATAGATGATGGTGTGTCTGATCAAACGTTTGGTATCTTTTCCATCAATTAATTCAAGCCACGAGTCGAAAGAATATAAAGTCTCGTGGAGCGACACCATGTGACAACAACCAAGAGAATGGTCCTGTAGCAAATGTGAAGGCAAAGCGACGGACTTGGACCCGTAGTAGTTGCGCTCTGGTGTTTTCTTGGTGTATCTGATCAATTCAACGCAAAGTGTCCAAAGAATCATCCGCACCAATCGTCATGACTGCTTCAGTTGCAATGCTGAAAAGTGAAGATGGCCCAAGAAGAACAAATGAGGAATGCAGTAATAGCAGTGGTACGTGACCATTGCGAAGCGAGAAGAATTTGTGGACCTCTTGTAAGGCACTCAGGCTCCATCAAAACGAATGAATCAGCGATGTGGTTTTTCTTGCTGTCTTCGCGAGATGTGTAAGTGCGGATGCGAAACAACAACAACAACAATAATAATGGCTTAGTATCAGCCAGCTGGTTGAGCTAGATTGCAGCAAGCACTTATTGTCCAATTGGATTGGGCCCATACTAGAATGTTTCTATAGTAAATGATGTATGTATACCAGACTAGTTAAACGCAGCCTGCTTGTGTGTCTTGCAGAAGTGGCAAGATTGCAAATCTCACGAACATTGAATTAGCCATAGTTCATGCATTCATTCACTGGAAATTCCATTGGTGTCCTGTAGCCGTTTTTGCTATAGGACATCGTAATCATATTTTGTCGTTTATTGGATAAACCCACACAATTAGTGGACGGGCATTTCTTACGTAAGACATCGTAGTGGCCCTTAATTGTGTGGGTTGAAAGGATGGACCCGCAAAGTGAGCGAGTTTGCCCGCTCGCAATCCTGGATCTTTGATCGTGATGTCGGAATACGAGTACCGTACAAAAAAAGATGGTTGTACTTGAGGCTTAGGAAAGGGCTCTTGTCGTCAATCAACACGATCACACATTTTGTCTGCTTGGGATTAAGATTTTTCGAAAAGCTCATCTTTGTGGGTTGACATTTAATGAAATAGAGAGGCTCATCAACACGAGAGCGGGACCGAAACCACGTGTTAAACGAAGTTCTTTAAGAGAACCCGAATCCTAATCATACATTATTTGAGCGCAATTGCAGGATGAATGTTCGCAGCTATTCCTTCATGATCACTTATGTTTCAAAATGTCTGAAATTCTTTCTCAAGTTTCTACTTCCTAACAAAAAAACGAACATGAGATGCATTTTCGTCTCGGTAGTGGTAGCTACGTAGAAATAGATACTGCAGTCCACAAACTGGACAAAAACGAAAGGATACCCGTAGATTTTTATTCAACCGCACTCAAAATCTCATTTTTCTCACTCACTCTTTCTTCTGCTCATAATCCAAAGGTCAAGATCATCCACAACGGTACCTTTCATTCATCAACATCATGCACAATACCGAGTATCTTTCCTTGAGAGTTAATAATCACTTACCCCCCTCAACATCATCATACGAGATCAAAAGACCCTACAAGAAACAAAAAACTTGTCGTTCTAACGTCCTCCAAGCTTTCACAATTCCGTTCAGCTGTTTTGACATGTCGTCCAACAATGATGATCGTGACTCAACAAGCCAACGGCGTTCCAGCACTTCAGAAGACTCATCTCTGGAGAGCAAACTGAACGCTGCATTGAACATTCTCGAGCCTACACCATTTCGTGATGGCACGGCTTTCATTTCGTCTCCTCACCTTCCCGGGAGATATGCAGTTGGCTCTCTTTCGACTTCTGCTGCTGCTTCTCCTCCTTCTGTTCCAACAAACCAAGCTGCTCGGCTACTAGCACAGCAGCACAACGAACAAGCACCAGCAGACAGGATACAGACGTCATGGATGGCGACAGTGGACCGGGTCATCAACAAAAGACCACAGGAACGAGATGCTGCTTCCAACAGCAAAGGAGATGATGAATCATCCATTCAAGCCCTGAATCAAGCACCGATTCCATTCCAGCAATCGCAAGGGAAGAAGCGAGCAAGGCTTGACCAACAGTTGGTCGTCGATTCTACTAGTAGAACGGACCATGATCATGAAGGAGAAGCGGGGCGTACCAAATCACGATTCCGAGACTATCAAAAGGATCAGTGGGATCAACAGTTTCTGGAATTGTTAAAATTCAAAGAAACCCATGGCCATTGTCATGTTCCGCATACTTACAAAGAAAACCCTGCCCTCGCCCGATGGGCCAAACGTCAACGGTACCAATACAAGAGGAAGTTGGAACACAAGCAATCCTCCATGTCGGATCCTCGACAACAAAAATTGGAAGATGTCGGTTTCATATGGGACTTGCAGACCATGGTTTGGCAAGAACGCTTCAATGAGCTGGTGGAATACAAACAAAGGCACGGCGATTGCAACGTCCCCTGTCGCTTTGAAGAAAATCCTACCCTTGGCATGTGGGTCAAGTGTCAACGTCGACAGTACAAGCTCTATCGCTCCAATCAACTGTCACGTTTGACTCCCGAGCGTTTTCAACTCTTGGCCAATCTGGGATTCACGTGGGAGCCACAGGCTTCTGGTGGTGGTATTGCAAACAACAATACTAAAAAGGCAAACAACAGGTTAGATCAAAGAAGATAAAATGTCTAACTACATAATAGCTGCTATCAATCGCTTTTTATCGCTTTATTGCACTATGTATTGTTGCAATCTTTCGCTTTGTACTTTCTCGCTTCTGCACAATGTAGTATACAAGCACTACTCAAGTACTGCGTAGTAGTAGCCACCACTCAGTCCACGGCATGCTGATCAGGACTATCTACTATTAATACAGACAATAAAATGTTGTACTGACTAGCATATGGGCTTCTTTTTTTTTAACGCATCGTCTGCTACAATACGAAGATACTGTAGGTAGTAGAAGGACTTCTTGTTTCGACGCAAAAGACAAAAGTCAAGTCTCGGTCTGAATATAGATATATAGGGTCAAAAGTAGGTAGAGGAACGGGTGAGTGTATTAGTACTAATACTAATACTAATGCTAGTCCTAATATAGATATATAGTATCACCAAGCGAAATTAGCGCTACATCACACTAGGTACACACTACACGCACATCAGTTACTATAGGTACCAGGTACACCGGTACGAGCACAGAAGTGAAGTTTGTTGCCACCACCAGGAGGAGTTTAATGTTTTAGTTGTCCACTTGTGCTGTGCTCCGCAACAAGAATTTTATTGTTGGTGGATGATTACTGTGTGTTTGACTGACTGCCTCGACAATCTAGTACCTTATTTTAAAAGGAGCATCAAAATATTATATTTTGAAAAAATATAGGTAGTCCTACCGTATGCATACGTTGATCATCATTATTGGATCTCCAAGATCACATACACTTTGCAATACTGCCGGTTTGGACATCATTCTGCATTCCAGCAGGTCCTCCTGCATTATTACAGTAGGTCGTTTGAAATCATGATTTTGTTCGGATTTCCTCACGATTTTATAGATGCTGTACCGGTTTATCATTGAGCATGTTTGCTTCATTCATTCATTCATTCATTCATTCATTCTACCCTTTTATTCTTTGCGATCTGAACTTGAAGCCATTATCCGGGGGGGAGCAACCTTTCGTTGCAGCACATTTTGATTTTGTAAGTGGTGACGGCAAGATACACCGTGCATGTCATTATTGTATATCCGGGGGGGAGCAGCGTTTCGCAGTACATTTTGATTTTGTGAATGGTGACGGCAAGATAAATAAGGCTGTGGGGTCAATATCACCTTCGACTACTAGTTCGTTAGTTTGTACATATGGACTCGGAATTCAGGTTTTCTACCAAGACCATTTCATAAGGGAAAAGATGACCATTCTAGCAAAGAACAAGCGCAAAACAGTAGACGAGAATCAATCTGACGTAATAAATGGTCTTTTTTCGGGAGAGTTTTTGTTGTGGGAGCATCCAGCATCCAGCATTTAGCATTAATAGCGTACAAAATTTCCCCATCAGCAATATAGACCAAACAAACAACAAACCTATTTCAATACAGAAAGAGACAGTCATCCGTCAACGACCATTATACTACATTCAAGTCTAACACCACACATACATACAATGTCGCAGTTTCAGCATCAGCATCAGCATCAGCATCAGCATCAGCATCAGCATCATATCACACGAGGAGCAGCAAGTTCACCACACAAGAGTGACTATGCATCGCTGTTGTTTTCGAATGACGGAGAACCCCTTGAATCAACCTTTTCCTTTACCATGCCTTCAAACTTTGTGCAACCCAACAACATTTCCACCTCCGATGCCATTGCGGAATCACTCTCTATCGTTCTAGAACCAAAGCCCTTTCGCGATGGAATCAACTTGCTTCAGGCCGGTGGCGATTCTGGAATCGTGTTTGTTCCCTCAGCGTCATCGCCATCATCAAGTCAAGCGAAAACTGCGAACATTTTGCGTCACCATCAATCGAATGCTACTTTTGAAACGACGATAGATGATTGGATGCTATCACAACCATTGGACTTGGACACGCCTGATAACTCGTGTTCCACTATTGCGATGTCGGATGTCTCACCGATAGCAGCCAGTGCTACACCAACTTTATCCTCCTCATCATCATCATCATCAACAACAACAATGTCATCACAGTTCCATCTGGCACTGGGCGGTATGGTTGCTGCTTCCAGCAGCAATGTCAGTGAACATCATCCATCCCAACAGAAGAGGACGACTTGTGAACAAAACCATCACCAAGAACCCGAGATCTCCCCATGCTTTCCTCATCAGGACGAGAAATGGGACGAACATTTCAAACGACTCTGTCAATACAAGCAAAAGCAGGGCCATTGCCACATCCCACAAGCCCACAAGGACGACCCTGCATTGGCCAGATGGGCCAGACGCCAACGACATCAATACAAGCTCAAGGTGTCCAACAAACCATCGTCCATGTCTCTGGATCGCCAATTGAAACTCGAACAAATTGGATTCATTTGGGATCCGCAAACGGCCAGCTGGGAAACCCGTCGGCAAGAACTGGAAGAGTACAAGAAACGTCATGGTCACTGCAATGTACCCTGTCGGTATGCCGAGAATCCCCAACTGGCCACGTGGGTCAAGCGTCAACGGTGCCAATTCAAAAAGTTTCAAAAACGAGACTTGCCGCGATGGTCCATGGAACGCTTTCATATTCTGACCCGAATGGGTTTTCAATGGAAAATCCGAGAGGAATAATCAATCATATATATTCGTCCATGATATGGATTACCAATGGGGGCCGGTTGTCTTGTCATCCAATTTTTTTTAGTGCATACACCATCATCGTCATATTAATAATAATAATACAATAATAATGCATATTAGTCCGTGAAAGCAACTTGTTGATGCATGACTTTTAGAAGAACAGGACAGCAGCAAGAAGTGTAGGTACATCTCAATAGTAGGATGGTAGTTGTCCCGATTTTTTTTGGGACTTGGGATGAGGAACTGCACATGATGGTTCTCGTTGGTGGTTGGCAAGAATATCATACTAATATGGTGGTGTAGACGATGTTACTACAATCATGCTGCTGGCGTCCTCCTCAGCATGATCATCATCGCAATAGCGGCTCGTAGTACTATGATACTAGTAGTAGTACAGACGAGTGAGTGAGTCAACAATCGTTCATATACGACGATGAGTCAGTCCGTGCTGGTGATGCTGCCCAGGCAGCCAGGAGGTTGCCCCAGCAGCAGTCAGGAGGAGTTGGGCCGGGGGGGGGTGCTGCCATGATATTCCAACTTCGTTCAAGCCAGTATGATTGCATATTTTTTGGCAGCTCTTCTTCATTGGCCGCATGGTATGGTATGAATGATGTATGAGAATGCTGCAACTTGTGTTCAGTACCGGTACGTCAAAGTTTTAAAAATAGTGGGAACTAATTGCCCCTAGATACCAATTCCTGCAAATTGTGGCGTACCATAATTAGGCTCATGAATGCGCCACCTCGTCGTTTCGAGACAAATGGGTCGATTTTGAAAAACGTCAGTTGTCGTGCGACAAAGCATACGGACTCCTTCGACTTCGACTAGACCTGACTCCTTTGACCACTTCAACGAAGTCTTGCGAAGGAAATCGTACAAAACACTCTCTTTGTAGAGAATGTCAGTGAAGAAAGTACCAATCGTACTACACCCTTTCGCTCGGCATCACGCACGACTTGACGATCCAAAATTCCGTTCTCGGAACATGCATGTCGTATGCTTGTGTCAACGCTTTTGGCGGAGGATCCTAAAGTTTCATATTCGACTTTGCATTGGAATATAGATACTCATCATCACAATGAAGATTCAAAGTTCTACCATCCTAGTGCTGGCGTTCGCTGCATCCGCCAATGCCACTAGCTTGAGAAGTGCCAACGCCAATCCTTTCCAAGAGTTGGAGGGATTGGAGCAGTATTCGTGTACCATGGAAGGTGCCGGAGGACAAGATCAGTGTGATGTGAGTGTAAACAAACTGTTTGCTGTGATGATTGATGCTAGTGTTGCTATTGATGCTATTGATGCTATTGATGCTAGTGTGATATGCGCTGCATGATTGACGGCTCTTTCATTCGGAATGATTGATTGATTGATTGATTGATTGATTGATTGATTGATTGATTGATTGATTGATGGGTGATTGATTCATTCAATTGTGTGTCGTGTCACTTTTGAAGTTTCATTCTTGCTTTGGATGTTCACCCTATTTTCATTTCTAATCTTATTATGCTCTTGTCTCTCTAACGCACACTTCCTCGCTGTGTCTCTAACTCATATAGGCCGCCAAAGACGAAAGCGGTGAGACGTGTGTCTGGTGTTCGGTGGGATCCTTTGGAGCTTGTTTGTCGGCCGATCAAGCCGCTCTGATTGAAGACAAGATTCCTGGATTGACTTGCGACGACGATCAAAATGATGATGACGCCAAAACAGATGACGCCGCCGCCGACGATGATGATGGCAGTACTCCCGATGATTATTGGAAGTGCCTCAAGGATGGATCCGAATCGGAAGATGCCTGCGACTCGTTGGGATGCACCTGGTGCAAGAGCAAGGCTGGGTTCGGTATCTGTTTGGATGAAGCTGCTGCCAAGATGGCTTCGGATAGTGCTTGGCTCGACTGCAAGGCGACAACAATGGATACTCTAGACCTGATGGATTTGAACGAGATTGTGCAATCCAAGAAGCAAGAACAAGCGGAAGACGAACAGGAACAGGAAGATGTCCAAATGCCAGGCGATCCTGCCTGTATCATGGCCACACTCCAACAAGACGAGAGTATCTGTACTTCTACTGTTGACAGCTCTGGCAATCCTTGTTCTTGGTGCAACATTGACAATGTCAATGTCTGTTTGGACGATACCCTCGCCACCATGGCGCAGCAGTACGGTGGATCCTGCGGAGACGATGTGACACAAGTGGAGGATCCAGCCGATACCACTTGTATCGTGGCCAGTTTGGAACAAGATGAGACAGCCTGTACTGCCACCATGGATGCCGATGGTCGTGCTTGTGAATGGTGCATGGTGGCTCAAGCTCAAATTTGCTTGAATGCCGATCAAGCTCAAATGGCCGAACAATTTGGAGGATCTTGTGGAGATTCCTCTTTTGTTCAACAAGAAGAGCAAGACCAAGAAGAAGAAGAAGAAGAACTCAAAGATCCTACTGATACTGCCTGCCTCATGGCCACCCTTGAACAAGACGAATATACCTGTACTTCCACTCAAGATGCGGAAGGAAATGCTTGCTCGTGGTGCGCCATTAGTAACTTTGATCTTTGTTTGAATGCGGATCAAGCCACTCTTGCCCAACAACTTGGTGGAGCTTGTGGTGAGGATATTGTTGCTATTCAAGAAGAAGAAGAAGAAGAACTTGAGGATCCCGCCGATACGACTTGTATCGTGGCCAGTTTGGAACAAGACGAGACCGCCTGCACCGGTACCATGGATGCCGATGGCCGTGCTTGCGAATGGTGCATGGTGGCTCAAGCTCAAATTTGTTTGAATGCGGATCAAGCCACACTTGCCGAAGAATTTGGTGGATCTTGTGGAGATGACTCCAAGACCATGGCCATGGAGTAAAAAGTAAAAACTACTGGATACTAATAATAATAATACTAATCTAAAATCTACAATCCAATAGTACTCTACTTAGGATCTATCTACTGTCCTTTAGGGATGATCCCACATATACTAAGTCTAATTTTCAGGTATTTGGTCGTAAGCAAAGAGCTGGATCTCATGAAGAGACGTGCTGGCATGTACTAGTCCAGAACGAAAATATAGTATCAATTGATTTATCAAACAAGTATTGCAGTCTTGGTAGTATTGTTACTCCCTGCGGTCACAATCCAACAACAACAAAAAGGCTGGAATGTCTCCATGGGCAGTCAGTCAGCCACTCGTTCCCAACCATCTTTTAGTATCCTGTTTTTACGTTTTGGCTTCCAGTTCATCTTTTAAAACCTTGAGGCGATCTTCCACTTGTTCTCGAGTGATACCAATACTTCCAACCTTGCTTTGCGGAAAGGGAAGTTTCAACAGTTGCTGTATGGATTGCAAGGTTTGCCATTCGTTGATCTTGTCATTTGTGTTTTGACAGACAGTCCACATGGCCGACAGGACCGTCAGTTCGAGTTGAAAGGATCTTGCATCCATACCATCACCACCAAGACTACCATTCGGACTGTATTGAGCGTAATTGCAGGCTGCCCACGCATCGGCGCGGGCCTTGTTCCAATCGCCCAACGCCACTCGGGATTGGAACATGGCCAAATAGGTAGCAATCAACCATTCCAGGGCCAATCGAGGGTCATCCTCCTCCTCCTCCTCCTCCTCTGCTGTTATTGATGAATTTTCATCCAGCGCCGCCTCTTGTAGCTTCTGTACGACTTTGCGACCAATGAAAAGCCCGGATGCATACTCTTCGCAAGCCTTCCGATGGTTTCCATCTTTGGCCAATGCTTGCGCCTCATTGTAGATTTCCACCGCCATTTGCAAAGTGGAGTCTTGGAAGGTAGTGTCTGCATCAAAGAACATAAGGTCGCTACTAGTAATGTCTTGGAGGAGGAGGGGAAGCCTGCCATTCGAGAAAGAATCCGAGGAAGCCATGTTTCGTTGAGTCGTTGTTGCTTTCATGGCAGAATGAGCGGGGCTGACCATGATATTATTATTACTAGTTTGCGGATGGTCTTTGTTGTTGCCAATACGAGTGGGTTTGGAGAGACTGCAGTGATTCCCACTACTTATTCTGTCACTTTTCGGAGCCAAAAAAGCAACGATTAGGGAGTTCAAACACTTCATCGAAATTTGATAATGGTGATGGCGATGGAATCCTGTGTCTCAATAAGGGTTGTTACTATGTTATCTCAAAATTCATGAGAACAGAATCTTATTATTCCACAGAAGATTCCGATTATGCAAACTGGAGAAAGGGATAATTGACTCCTTCGACTACTTTCATTCCCTTGAAATTCTGGACCATACGTTCGTACCAGTGTTATACCATGAGAGCATCATGAGGGCTACTGTAAAGTATGGGAAATCAATGCCAAGCGCCAATGAAAGAACCAATATGAAGACCACATATCACCAACAAAGCGAGCGATGACCTCTCACGAATGAAGACGTACTGAAAAGGGGGTCAAGTGAAAGAGGGGACTACCCATTGCATGCAAGGTTTTCAGTTCAGACGTATGTTCAATATAGCAGGTGCAACAATTGTATAGTCAACAGTATTTTCATGGCCACCAGAGTATCGTACAAACCGTGTGTGAGTTGTGACATCAAGAAATTGCAATTTCTAGCGCACCACTTTCAACTTCATCTACAGTACATCGTATTTCGATGATGATTCAAAATATATCGCGCGGTGGACTGCTTCGATTCATCACAAAAATTCTGTTCATGTACTTTCACTATAACACGTATTATGGTACCACAGCCGCAATTTTATACATTCAATATCTACATAATAATGGTACCACGAATACCAGCTAGCTACGGTGATATGAGGAACCAATAAGACCATAACAGAGCCAATGAAACGACCAGTAGTATATATCGCGGCATCAGCAACAGAGCGATAGTCACCCGCTAGAAGATGAGTTCCTTTGATAGATCCGTCCATAAATCATCCAGCTGTTTTGCTGGCATTTGCAGGAATAATAATGATGATGCTTCTCTTATTGCTGACCGGCAACTATCACCAGTAGATGATGGCTTGACCCCTGCGGTTCGTCAGAAGAAAAAGGAGATTGATGACCTACTGATCAAAGCATTGAACGGACTCACGTTTGAAGAACGACAAGAACAGCAGGAAATCCTGCATGGGGTGGAAGCAACGATTGCAGAAGAAGCGACATTCATGGAAGCATCGCGGACAGAACTAGAAAGCCATCTTGAGCGCATTAAGCGGGATACCGTATATGAGCTTGCTGAAAAAATGGACCCTAATTATGTTCGTGCAAGGGCATTTCAGGTGATGTTTCTGAGAAGCAATCGATATGACACCAAGGCATCAGCTGATCATATGTTGAAGTTTTTTGAAATGAAGCATCATCTGTTTGGAATTTCAAAATTGGTGAAAGACATCACGATTAATGATCTCGACGAGGGTGATATCCAGTGCCTAAAGTCTGGGCTGACACAACTTGCCGGAAAAGACAGATCCGGTAGACGTATCATCCTGAATCTTCCTGGGCTAAGAGCACTTGAGTTGACGCTCCAGAATGAAATGCGGAGTCGGTTTTACATTTTAATGACGCTATTGGAATCAGAGGAAGCTCAAATCAAAGGGACCATCCCCATTGTTTATTCAGTTGCTGACATGAAGGACAGGGTTGGGACGGGGTTAGGCGGGTCTTACGAACATGTGAGACTTTCAATGGTAGGTTCCGACCTTGTGTTGTTGTTCTCTCACTCACGTAAAAATGCATCCCCTTACCACCCTTCGTTTTCATTCAAGTGCAGTCCATCCCTTTGCGTAAGGCAGCTATGCATTATTGCACGGATGACATCAACGAGCACCGATATTACATTTGCCTCGTCAATGTAGCCTCAATCAAACTGAGAACAAGAATCAGATCTCATTATGGCAGCCAAACAGAATGTTTGTACCAAATGTCCACCTACGGAATTCCAAAAACATTTCTTCCGGTGGACTCGGGCACCAGGAAAATTAGTCTTCAACGGCACCTCAGATGGGTCGAGTCTCGTTTCGAAATGGAACAGCTGGGCGATCGTCCTTTACCATTCACAGTCGCAGCACCACCACCAAGAGACCTGATTAGTCCTGTTGAAAATGACGTGCTAGTTATTGGTGGCAACAGGAGTAACAACATAGGAAACCAACGGCTTCGAGCTATTGTCAAAGATTTGTCCCGAGCTTATGAACATGCAAACAAGGGATCGAGAAAAGCTTTGGTGGACCGTGCCATCCATTCGGTGCATGAATCCGGAGGTCGGTTTCTGAAGCAGGATGACACTGGTGTGGAGACGGTATGGAAAGGAATGTCCAAAGACCAAATTCGAAGGATAGTCACCCAGTCATTCCGCAATAGCTATCGCCGGAGATAGAGATGCACGATGTATGCTGCTCCTTGTATCTTGTTTGAGACACATTGGAATACTCTTTTATGGAATGGTTGATGCGGGATCCAATCAATGCCCGCCTGCTTTTTTTTTAAAAAGCGCCATATGGAAATTCCATACCGGTAGCACATGGTGCGCTGACTAATAGTTTTCGTTGCTATCTCGGCCTTTTTTTGGACAAATCAACGGCGACCTCCTTCGATCGGAAACGATAAACCCTATGCGCGAGATTACAGTCGCAGACGTCTGACGCTAGCCTTCACTCCACTGGTCCATGCTACTTTGCCAACGCTGCGAAAGAAAGACGAGAGAAACCAATTTGAATGCGACGGCTGACTGAAAAAGTGACTACTTCGTCGTTCATTGTTGCATCTCCTCGAGTCTGCGAGAAAATTAGAACTTGTGACATCGACGAATGAGTTATTCCCATTTCAAAATACTATTATTTTTAAACGCCAATATTCTAACATATGGTCTTTGGCTGATAGCGTGCCCTTTTATTGTGCTGGTACCTGGCACAGCCATACTGGTGCCTGCTGGTGCTCTCGCTCGAGTGTCGGTTGGATCTATTTTCAATTTCAGCTCGTTGAGGTGCGTATCTGGTACTCGTACAGCATATACCGGTATACTGTACAATGATGTGAGATGATCCAAAAGTCTACTGTACAATACTAATAATACGTGAACATGACTCCAACATGTTCCTAACATGGCAAGTAAGTGGTTTTGGACATTGAATGACTAGTCGGACTAAAATTTGAAACCACTGCTGATCGCGGCATCGCATTTTATTGTGCACGCATCATCAGATCCATCAAGGCACATCACCGTATATTGCATACGTATTGCATATTGCATCACACCATCAGCCCTTCTTTACATAATGTGACATCAGTCCAATGAATAATCTAAATCATCCGTCGAGGGAGAGAAATAAGCTAGGGGTTACGGTTCCGTTGCTGGTTTCCTCCTCCTACACCGTTTTAATTGGATGGTTATCCATTGGCGTCATCATGCTAATACTTCCAGCTACTCAAGGATTTGTGTTGCAGGATGCACGGGGAATAAGAGAACGAGGGGTTTTCAATGCACATTTTCAATCGATTCCAACTAAAACGTCTAAACGAAGACCGTTCGTAAGCCCACCAGCATCCACAAGCAGACGCTCACTAGCTACATTATTATTGTCTGCATCGTCGTCGTCGTCGTCGTCGTGGCAAGAGGATATTCAACAAGCCATACAAGTTTCCAAGTTGGGACAGTCAAATATAGATGCAGCACATCAAGCGTGCGACCAATGGGAGTCCATCTTGAGTAACGGCAGCAAGAATAATGACCAGGGTACAAGTACAACTCAACTGCAGCTACCGTCTGCGGTTCATACACTGTGTTTGGCTCTGTACGCATCCTGTTTGGTACGAACTGGTCGAGATGATCAGGCCGTAGTGACATATGAAAAGGCCCTTTCTCTTCTTTCTAATCCCAAGGATCCGGCAGTCCATGATTTGCTGCTGGGCAAGGCCAAGGCGCATCAGCGTCTCTTGCAATATTCGGAGGCTCTTGATGATTACGCAACATTGGTCGAGCTGACCAAAGATGGCACTATTTCCATGGATCTATCACATTTCGTTGGAGCAGCTACATGCAGCATGCGTCTTCAGTACCCCCAAAGAGCGCAAGTGATACTTTCGACTGCTTGCGATTGGTGGGAGAAGGAACAAGACACGATAGTTGGATCTGACGAACGTGCAAGACTTCAGAGGGACTGGGCACAGATCCGGCTCTTTTTGCACGTTTTGGACCACTGTTTTGGCACTGAGAAATCTGCAGGGAATCAAAGTAGCATCCGTGCCACCGGGCAATGGATACTGTCAGCGATATCATCATCGAGAAACGAGCACCCACTTTACGTTTGGCTACATGATACGACACTGTACAAATCCATGGATCCAAACATGGCTCCACTCGGTCCGCAATTCGCCGACAAGTCACCAAAACGCAAATCCATTGAAAGTACTAACGACGTCTTTCTTTCCGCGATGAAAATCAACCAGTCCCCGTGGGATGATCCCTCGTTGTTGCAGCTCGACGATAAGGTTCTTTTACATCGATTGTTATCCTCAAATTCTGCTGCATCAACGTTTTGGCCGCACGGATATGTATTGCCAACGGATCGTAAGAAGTTCCAGCAGGCGAATCAGCTTGATTTGGTTCCGGCAGATCAAAAATGGATCTCCAAAACTCGGGCTGGCTATGGATCCCATGGCAATCAGATTCTGAATTTTGAAGAAGCTTTGAAAAATGTCGAGTCTAACAATGAGAAAATATCCCAAGACGAATTTCTCATGCAACGACTCATCGATCCAACCTTGTTGATTGAAGGCCGAAAATTTTCGTTACGTCTGTATGTTGTTTACTTCGGTCCAAAGGAATTCTATCTTTCAAATCAGGGGCTTGTCAAGTTGGCTGCTATTGGCACAACAGAGGAAGGGATTGGTCAAGGCGACGACTCGGAGAGACGGTCATACATGACCAATTCGGGACGAGAACAAAATATGGAGCAATACGACTTGCTCTACCTTGAGCACGAGTCCAAGTTGTTTGGAACCGAGGCCGAGTATTCTTCTTTCTGGTCCAAGATTGAAGACTCGGTCCAGCAAGTGATGAAGTCGTATCGAGCTTATCGACGCGACAATGAACGAGAAATCACTATTGACTTTGATTCCCGACGCCAAGCTCTCGGAATTCCAAAGATTCTTGGACTGGACTATGTGGTGGATAAAGAATATCAGCCATGGTTACTTGAAGTCAATCGATTTCCTGGGCTCGAACCAAGAGATGATAGCGACCGCATGGTGAAGCATCAAATTGTACGCGATGCGTGGCTATGTGCCCACGAGAGAATGTCGGGAAACAAAGATGAAGAGACACAATCATTTACTACTGGTGACCACCATCCCTTACAATACATTTTGGATCATTTGCCTCTTGTTTCCAAGGATTGCCCGTACACGCTTGAGAAAATACGCTAGTACTCCTGTGCTGTCCATCCACAGAAGAGTAGATGGTAGACATTGATTAGTCTTGACTCCCAACGGATGCCATTTTTAAGTTTATTGCTATTCTAGCAGACAGCTGTGCAACTGCTCATGGTACGAATCCAAATAGTTCAAGGTTCGCCAATGAAAGAACTCCAGTTTGGCTAATTCTGACAAAGCTGACACCAGGTACATCGCCGAAATCAATCTTTGCTTCCCGGGCGTCAGGCAGTAAATAAGGAGGGCCAAGAAAGGATCGTAGGTACTGAAAATGACCACCCCTGTTCCCAAAATTTGAACGAAAATTGGCTTTAATTGCTCCTTACGTCAACATACCAGTACCGCAGTGGATATTATCATACAGTAGAGAACATGATAAGTTATGATCACAATCATGCAGATTTTCTGCCGACGAACTTGGCGGCAAATTGTGAGAAGACGGCTCTTCATCAGAGAAATTCGTTCAGTGTATTCCAATCAAAACCACACATCGTCGGTGTAGCAGCTGCTGACCTAGTGCATTCACGATTGGTAGGTGAAAATGAAGAGAACCTGACTCATTGACTGAGTATCTTCGATGGAGAGCTTGCGGAAGCGTAGGTGAAAACAAGAACTGCGTAGCCTTTTTTTTTTAAATTAACTATTCAAACGCGAGTGGTAGTTCAACTAGCACGCGAGAAGCCTTTCATGGGCCTGGGTCACTTGTCCAAACCCATCTCCCATCATGCCCACACCCAGATCCTCTTGCACAATCACCATCTAATTCAGCTTGCGTGCAAAGCCTTGCCCCTAATCCAGTGCACAAATCGACGGCTTCGTGATGAGTCACACTATTGTAACAAACCCCGGCAAGGGGAGACTCGGCGTATGGGCATGAAGTAGTCCGTTTCCTGAATCCCGGCAGACTGGTATCCGAACAACATCGAATGGCAATCTCACGGCCAGTCCCTCCAATGCTTTCATAGTTTGAGTTTTGAAGTGTAGCAGGCAAACCAGAACAAGCACCACGGCGACCGCAGGTAACCCAATGAAAGCTGGTGATCGTCGGTTCGGAACTTGGAACATTTGTTGGTGAACGCGATGGGCTCGCAGAGGGAGTCCCACTTGGCATAGACGTAGGATCCATCGATGGGGCTGGAGAAACTGTAGGTGATGTACTTGGAGATGATGTTGTGGGCGATGGGGTTGGTCGCTTTGACGGAGCACGAGTTGGATTCTTAGTTGGTGGTTTGGATGGAGCCCTAGTCGGTGTTGAACTTGGATCAATTGACGGAAAGAATGTAGGGGTCCCAGAAAATAGACCACTTGGTTGCAAACTTGGGATCTCAGACGGAAGACTTGTGGGGATCCAAGATGGTGTCATTGATGGAATGGGCGTTGTTGGCGCCATCGTTGGCGCTATAGATGGCATGCCTGTCGGAGATAGCGAGGGCTCTCCAGTGGGTGCCCTCGTAGGTAGTGCTGAAGGAAGGCCGGTTGGGATCGAGCTACCTTGAGCCGTAGGAAATTCCGTCGGTGAAAAACTCGGTATATCGCTTGGTATGTCTGTAGGGGCAGAAGTTGATATCAAACTCTTTGCAGTAACCAGCTTGACGATCGAGAATGTATCAGAGAGATCCAGATGATTTGCAATATTGTCCTCTTCAGCACTGATGAGGGCAATGATATCAATGAATCGCACATTTCCTTTCAGGAAAAGATCCAGCTTCACCGAGACTCGATGGCAATTCAAATTCACGAAGTCTTCCTCTATACAAGCCTCATCCGGCGGGACTCTACCTGTCACGAATGCATCGAAGATCACAAAACGCCACGCTTCTACCAGCTCGTCTATTATGACAGAACAGCCAGCTAACGACGGAACAATCTTTTCTTGAATCGCATCCAAAAATTCGTCCAATAGCGGTTCCATCATGGTGTTGTTATCCTTCAGGACAACTTCCACTCCCAGTTCAAAATCGGCCTCGTCCATCGTTTCTCGTCCGGCAATGGTTTGGTTTGCAGCGATTGCCATGCAATCTGAATTGCTTGGAGGCTCGTAGATCAAGTTTTCCAACGGTGATGAAGATGGAGCAAACGTGGTACTGTTTTCTGAAGAGGACGGAAGTCCTGGTGGTGAAATGCTCACTTTTGTTGGCGAATTGGTTGGTTCTTGAATATTGGAAGTTCGGCTCTCGCTTTCTAGACTTCCACCCTCATTTTGGAACAAGAAATACCACACTGCTACCCCTCCCCCAATGAGGAAAAGGAGGAGCAAGAAAACTGCGACTCGTTTCTTTTGTGACTTCTTTGGTTTTTCTTGGACTGCTTTGTCACTCGAGCTGCGGCGCCGTTTCGAGACTGTCTCTGGATCATTTGGCATATGGAAGCCTTCCATTGCCTCTGATGGAATATCTTTTCGGAATGGCCCCCTTCTCCTACGTCCCGGTTCTGCATTGCTACCAGACTCGGAATCAGTGCTGTCCATAGACACTCTTCTTGCAACAGGCTCTAGTGCGTTGTCCTCGCTTCCGCTTTCAATACCCTCAGTCAGCGGCGGCATGATGGATGATTCGCGATCCACACTTTCCACACCAGGAAGCGCTGCTGCCGATGCTGAAGCACCTCTTCCTCTTGCCATTCGGGCCTTGGCTTTTGCATCCGTATCATTATTGCCGTACAGAGTATCGACAGTGCTACTAGTCCGAACTGTGTCATCCACACTCTGCGCTCCTGGGCTCCTCGGAATGAACTCAGAACTTCGTGCTTTGGCCTTGGAATCTGCTTCGCTGCCATACAATGTGCTGATGGCAGTATGGGTGCTGTTGTCTCGGTAAACAGTCTTGACACCGGGACTTGTGGTGGATGTTTGGCTTCCTCTGGCTGCTTTTGCCTTTCGCTTGGTATCTGCATCGTGTTCGTCGCCATACAGTGTATCAATGGCTGTGCTGCTTTGCGAAGTACGTGTACGAGTGGAGGGACTTGATTTCTCGTGCAAGACTCTGTCTACCCCAGGAACACTCGCAGGTGCTGAAGCTTTGGCTTTTGCCTTGGCATCGGCATCACTTCCATACAGCGTACTTGTGGTGGTTACACTACTGTGCTTGCTACCCGCGACACTAGCAGCACCAGGGATACTTGCACGTGATGCTGCAGCTTTGGTCTTGGCCTTGACATCTGCATCATCACTTCCATAGAGCGTGTGGATGCTCCTAGAAGTGCTACCAGCAGTCGTGCTGTTGCTGCTGCTTTTGCTGCTACCAACATGCTTCACACCAGGGGTAGTTATTGTACGTCCCGAACTTCCCCGTTGTGATGCTTTCGCTTTTGCCTTGGCATCCTCATCGTCTCGGTATAATGTATCCACTGCGGAACTACTGCCGTCACTGCTGCTCATTTGAGTTTTTTCAGTTGATGATTGATGAGACGACGAATGATCAACCTCTCCGATACTTCTGTGATAATAATCATGACTTGGAACCTCATCTTCTTCATTTTCGTTCACAACATCCAGTTTCCCAATACCATCTGTGGTCTTTTTTCTGGTGGAGGATCTGCTACTACTATCACTACTACTAGTAGTACTGCTTGAGTGACGCAATCGGCTGCTCCGTCGACTATCCGAACGGTGACTGGAGGACCGCTCCGAGCTGCTCCTTTTATAAGATGATCGTCGATTGGATGATGATGATGATGATGAGCCTGAAGACGATCGACTCGAAGCTATTATTCTCTCCGAATTGCTTTTGGAATGTGACGGTCTACTTGATGGTGATGATGATGATGATGATGATTCTTCTTCTTCCCCATCCTCACCATGACGTTTATTGTCAGTAGACGATCGCCTTGAAAGATGTCGTGAACTACCATTACTATCCCTTCCCTGAGAAGATCGTCGACTGCTGTGCCTTTTTCGTTGTGACGACCTTCGGCTGCTGCTACTGGAAGAAGGATGATGATGATGATGATGATGGTGTTTTTCATTCAATTTGGAGTCTTGATGAGTTTCCATCCCATCAATTTCTGCCAACTTGGAAGGAAGATCGTCCATTTTCTTGTTTCCGTTGCTTGTCTATACTACTACTACTCGTTTCCCATTCAATAAAAACCTTCCCTTCGATAATTGCCTTTTGAATTTATATACTGTAATACCGGTATGGGACCGTAATAGTTTCGGTTTTCGATTTTTGAAATTCCCCGAAACTGCATGGATGGATAGTTGCCCTGTGCTCTTAAGTAAAAATAGAAATATATCACGAGCCGCCCGAATAGAATGTCGATTTTCTTCTAAGTAAACATTCATGAAATGTCGAAAAAGACCATGGTTGGGGGCGTTTGAATTTTTGTTGAATTCTGCTGGAGGTGACCACCACTTTTAAGACCGATTATTGGGGGTGAGATATTACCCTCTCCCCCCCCCATCAAGGTTCTATTATACTGATTCATTCTAAAGTACAGCGCTGTAAAAGATAATCCAAAGACCACAATTTGAATATGTATGACAATAAGACATGCCAATCTGTTACTGTACTACAATTATAGTAGTAAATAGTGTAAAATGGTGAAAGACGCCGCTGCCCCGTTGTTGGGATGTTCAGTCCAGTGCCATCAGCGCGATACTGCATGCACCACCGAGTATTGCAATAAAAAATATTATTATTGGCAACAACGGCTGTTCACATGTCTGAAGGATATCGCTTGCTCCCCATATTTGAGCAGGGTGATGGATCACATGAAACTGGTATTCCAAGCGAGGCTTCCGCTTTGCCTTTCAATCCTTTGGAAATAGTAATCTCCAATCGACAATCTTGTTCTTGAAGTAGGTACGCCAATCCCAAATCCTAAAGGGACCACTTATCTGGGATCTTGCTGATCATGGACGCGCTTACGAGCCTCGGCCTGCCCATCCATCATTCAACAAAGACTGGCTGGAGGGAAGCATCCAAACTCAGCAAGCCATGAAATCGTCTGGTTTCGCGTCGCCGATGCAGCCTAGTGAGTGACCAATCCACTAGAAACCACAAAAGCAAACACTAGCCTTCCGAAGGATCCCTCGGAAATGTGACAATAAAACAAACGCGAAAATGTAGACTCGCCAAAATGTCCTAAAAGAGAAAAGAAAAAAAAAGTGAGATCATGGTTAAGAAAGTAAATGCAATTGATGGGGTGAATTTCCAGGTAAAACTCTTTGATGGGTTGTTCGTGTGTTGTCGCACACTATTATCATACTTCATCTCATTCAAAGTCGTTGCAAGAATATGCTTTACTTGGCACCTTTTCCTCGATTTACCACGCGGCGACTGTATCGTCGTCCTTTTTCCGTCATGCCAGATCCCAAAGCTTCAGTAGAAGGATCCTTCTTCTCTGGCGAAAGCTTGAGCTGTAGTCGTCGACTGTAGCGCTTTCCGGATTCGGTCCATCCAGATCCCATTCCATCAGAAGGAATATCATTATTAGTAGGTGCGTTGTCAGATTGCTCGGTTGGTGCTCCAAAAATCTCGCCATCGCTACCATCTTCCAAAGAATCGAAGTCGTCATGAATCAATGCAGCATCCAAAGGCGACTCGTCAATAGTACTCAAGTCTTCTCCCTCTGGATCTTCCATGATGACATGGAGGGAAGGTTTGAATTCCTTCTTCTCGTTCACGTCGTCGACTTCGTCTTCTTCCTCCTCCTTTATTGGGTCTTCAATAATGACAAGAAGGGTTGGTTCAAAATCGATCTCCTTCTGGCCCTTGCTTCTTCTGGCCCTTGCCTTGTTTGCCCACTTGGCTCTTTCAGCCTTGGTCATCTTGTTCAAATTCGCCTTCTCGGCCAAGATCTCCTCGGACTTGTTGACCCAAATGGCGTCAGCTTTGGCAAGACGAGTCGATGGTTCATTGGCGATATCATCGTTGAATCCAGCCTCCAACAACGAGTCAATGTGGCTCTCGTCGCCGTCTTCTTCTGGATCTTCGATAATGACAGGTAGCAAAGGAGTGAAGAGTTCATTGGTTCGTTTGGCCCATGTTGCAGCGCAAGTTGGAACCGTAGAGGATGAATTCATTTTGCGACGCTTGGTGGGTCTGGATGAAATAAGACAGGAAGTTGCGGTTCGCTTGAGTGACATTAGTGCTTGTTCTTCCATGCAGGGCTCGTTGTCGTTGTCGTCGTTGTCGTCATCCAAATCCATTGGTACAGGAATATTGGAGAGCATGTCATGAAGGACCGTTGGAAGCATTTGTCGGTGGTTCTCGAGCGCAATGGCAATGATTTCAGAGTCGACTTTGCCATCAATAAATCCAGTATCCAAAGACGAGTCAATGTCACTCAAATCTTCTTCTGCTGGATCTTCGACAATGGTGGCAAGCACGGTACGTTTGAAATCGATCTTCCAGCGCCGGGCATTCCGTCTCTTGATCTTGCGGTCAATTTGACGAATTAGCTGCCTTCGGGACTGAAGATCTTGCTCGTCGGGAAGGAAGTTTCTTCTTCGAGTCTTAGGGGCGAAATGAACTCGGATTGAAGAGGTTGGTTTCGGTGATCCCCAATCTTGTCTTGAAGGACGAAGAATGGACACAGGAGTGTGTGGAACGAATCTCACTGTGTTCTCTATCTCTGGAAGTACTTCGTCGTGCAGTTGAATGCGCCATTGAATCAGACCCCAGCATTCCCTGCGAGATTGTAGCTCTTGCTCGTTTGGGACAAAGGTTCGACGAAAGATTTTGGCGAAACGGACACGATTTGGTTTTCGGATGAACACACCCAACCAACTTTGGTTTTTCTTGCGAGACCCGCCTTCTGGACGACGAAGGATGGAAACAGGAGGCTGTCGTCTCTTCCATTGCCTGCAAAGTCTCTGATAGGCTCGGTAAGTGTCGAGTACCATGTACCGAAGTAACACGATTGCGACTGCACAAACCAAACCGGTAATGATGGTTTCTTGAACTTGTTGTTGTTGTTGTTGTTGTTGAGTGATGGCACTCATTCGAGGTAACTTGGGAAAGCTGATGCTTTTCAAGCTTTCTTGATTGACAAAGGTAGTGATGTAGTTGGTCATGATTGTTGTTGTTGTTGTATTAGTTGATTCAAAGAGGTTCATAATGGAAATTGTGAGGTGTTGCGTTGAGGCGTGTGGAGTGAAAACCGCTACCGTACTGGTTGGAGGTCGATCGCCAATTTGCCGTGCTTTTAACACGATTGACTCCTTCGAATCATCGTTTTCAGTTTGGTGGTATCGGTGGATGGCGTGTTTTTTCTATGGATGCGATAGACGATGGAATGACAATAATGATAAATTTACCACTATGGTAAGCAAAAGAAGAAAAATCATCTAATTGTTTCTCTGCTGGCTTTATCATTTTAGCTGGAGTATATTAGTAAGTATTAATACCTACTGGTACAGTTATCAGCAGTCACAAATTTCAAGTATATTACACAAAGGTTGGTACGCACACCACACGCGCAGGGGTTATTCCCTACTGTAGCATTCATTCTTTATTGTTCTTGGAGCTTGTTTTGGTTCCACCGTTTTGCATCTCGTTGATTGAGCAAGGCCCTCATGAGGTGCTCGCTCAGCAAGTATTTGGTATTGCTTTCCATGTCAGGCTTGCTCTTGAGATGCTTTCGCAATTCCACCTGATCCCAAAACAAAAGAGAGGCATCGCCTTCGGTCACGACGGTTCCATAGGCGCCCTCGTGTTCACCAATCTGAAAGGCGACGTCATTGACGAACCCTCCTTCGTCCACGCTTGACGCAAAGGCACCATGATGAAAGACCTTGGCGGTTCCCTTTTCGATAAAGTATAATCGTGGACAGACCCGGCCTTCTCTTGTCAATATCGTGCCATCGGGGACCACCTCCCTCTTGGACAAGACCAAAAGTTGCGAGAATTCGCCCTTGGAGAGTTGCGAGAAATGATTGTGATACAACCGTTCCTCTTCTTCCGACAGGGGAGGCCCGTACCGGTCCATGGCCAGCATGTAGGCTGCTCCCGCATTGACCAACACAAAGAGTGCCGACCAACGGAGTGGAATCTGAAGTGGTCTCGGATGGAGGGCATGAAAGGAGACTAGTCCGACATACCCTCCCACCAAGGCAACTCGCAACGACAACATGTCTGTCATGAGAAATCCACTCGCCAAGGCCAGGTACGCACCGTTGCCAATATAAGGCAACGCTTCTTTGATTTTGGGATTCCGAACCAAGCTGTTGTATTCTTGAATCACTTTGCGTGTCGAGGACGGTAGCATACTAGAACTAGTAACAGTACTAGCAGCAGTACTACCAGTAGTACTAGCAGTAGTGCCGCTTGTTGCTGATGCTGCTGCTGATGCTGCTGTCGAGGGAGGAGTGGTAGTAGACTTGTGGACCTTTCTTATCCGACATACCATCATAACACCAGACGGTTGACGAGGCTTTCCCCACACCGTTGATGCAACTATTGACGTTGACGTTTTGGTGGCTGATCGTAACATTTTTCGAGATATCAGAGTCAGTCGTCCTTTTTTAGTTACTCAATCGAATGCTTTCAGAGAAAATGGCGAGGCAAGATTTTCTGTGTCTGTGCGAAATGAAGATGTACGGTACCGGTATGGGAAGAATTAAAAAAAAGGAGGAAAAAAAAAAGACAATTCTCTCCAAATTTGCTTCCACGTTCATTCCGGCAGAACGACGTATGGGGTTCGGAAAAAAAACAAACCTCCGCCACGTCAGCCTTTCTCTCTGGTTCTCCAAAATGCAAAGATACCCTCATCAACGTCTCAGTCGGTCGTTCGTTCGTTCGTTCTTCGACTAAATTAGGCCAGCTCAAGTCATGTGGATCAAAAATTTGGGAGGTGGGATGATTCGGAAGTGAGAGGTGCGCGCAATATTTTATATTTTGGAGATCCAATCGTCACGCTTGCAATACATTAGACTTACTTTGATAAAACTATATACAGTGCTACGAAAGGAAAAAAAATGAGTCACTCTAGCAGCAAGAACAAGGCTCACAAGAAGAAGATGGAACCGATTGATGAAACGAGTGCAGTCGTATTGAAGTCGTCGTCGTCATCTCCTTCTTCTAGTAGTAGTGGACATCGTACCGCAAAAGTGGCAACGACAAAAGATTCTTCTCCCTCCAGATCATTCGTCCATACTACTGCTACTACTGCTACTACTTCTACTACTACAACTTCTGCCTCTTCCTCTTTCGATGATTTGCAATCACTGGACGCGTTGCACAACCAATTACGGGAGCTAGAAGACGCTGAAACGGCACATACGATTTCAAGGCCCCAACATTTACTACAAGAAGAAGTTCTGGAAAATTCTCACAAACCCGTGCCATCCGTGGTATTCAAGTATATTCTAATCTGCATGGGCTTGTGTGGGATTCTGATTGGGATTGCATTGGGAGCCATTATCGGTCAACATTTATTGAAGCAGCAGCAGAACCAACAAAGGTACAATAAGGAGCCGAGCGATGTTACCGGATTGGCAAAGAATAACAATACTACTACGCAGGCTCCATCAATAGCACCTGGTCTCGACTGGCATTATCCACCTTCGCCACGGCCGACCTCGGATATATTTGATCATGTACATTCGTCTCCACCGACACCAACATTGAGAACTGCACATCCCACAATTGCCACCCCGACAAATTCTTCTTCCGGAGTAGCTCCAACAGTCAAGAATGAAACAACCTTCCCACTTCCATCCAACAACAACAACAACAACAAGAACCCAACAAATAGCAGCGACGCTGGGCAAGTAGATGGGGATAGGAACGACACGGAAAACATTCTTCCTTGATCACCACCAGCCAGTCATGGTTATTTTGTTGCCAAGAAGTCGAAGCAATTCAAATATGTATATATATGTATTGCACTCGTCAGAACTCCGCACGAAAAAACTCCCATTGTTCGAATAACAAGGAGATTGCGATAAATCATGCCTGCAGCTTCATCATGTAACTTCATGTAGCAACCACCATCACAGGAAGTTTGGACGCAGAAGATACAAAATGTTTTGAGATGTCCTGGTGGTCTACCACCATCCATTGGCATACACAATCACCACAATCACCACCAGATTTGCGTGCAATAGTAGCAAGGAGTAAAAGCTGAGCAGCCACCAGAGTCGCAGAATCAACAGTGCTTCATGAAGAATTGCTGATTCTAGACTCCCTATTATGATGAAACTAGAGCATATATGATGAAAGCTACTGGTTGATGATGATAGGATGCTGCGAATGGTCTGTGGCATATTTTCCAACGCAATAACACAGCAGACTTGCTTGATAAGAAGGAAGCCAATTGCTGGCGCACCTCTCCTCATCCTTCGCTACGGAAACACAACGAAGAGGCGCTGGTAGTAGTGTTGTCCACAGGAAAATGAGTGAACATGTGGAATTTTATAATCACTTTTCGATTATTCCGCCTCAGGAGGAAGATGATGCCCACGGACTCTGACGGAAAGCATCATGGCTGACAATAATCATAGTTCAGAAGAAAGAATGTGGGACAATTTCTTTTTTCAATCACCAACGATGAAGATCCTGTCACGGGCTCATCGGCTGATGACACTTCGCCTCAAGACAACAGTAATAGTGCAGAAATATTTTCCAGACAGATGATGCCGCCCAATGCGTCTGACCCGAAAAGCGCCGATTCCTTGATTTGCATCTCAACTTGCCCAGCGGTCAGTCGCTGATCGAGAAAAATAAGGCGTACATGGACGTACATGGGATACCAGACATGTTCGCAGAAACTCCAGAATTGATTCAGGAAAGTCTGGTCCTACTGCAAAATGAAATTTGCGTGGACATGGGATCGACCCATCTAAGATACCTGTGAACCACAGAGGCGAGATGACGGACCATTTCGAAGACACTCAGAGATTACAACGACAACGGCGACAGGAGCGGTTGAAAGGTCCTATTCGTAGCACGACTAGTGTTCCATTTTGCGAAGATGTTTTGTTGGGCAAAGGGAACACCCTTTCAGATCCACCCTGGCAACAAAAAGCTTCGCAAGCTTGTGGTGGATTGGCAGAAGGAGTACGAAAAGACGTACGCAGAGGAAGAGGGAGCGGGCATCAGAACCGCAGAATCGACTGTCCTTCGCAAAGGATTCTTTGGACATGACTTTGCAAAGTTGACGGCATTATGAAGGAAGTGCCGTTTTGGGACGCTACATTTTGCTGGTAAAGAGGAGGCAACTCTCAAGCATGAAAGTAGTATCATTCTGCGTATTCTCATGGTGATCATTATCATTTAAAAAATCGTGCTGATGAATGGAGTCGAGATGATAGAGTTCAGCATCACATATTGTATGATATAAGAAATTATGCTTATGATTACCAATCTAGTCCCAACACTATTGTCATGAATCATCTTTACAATTCTTGAGAATATCTATATTATTAGTATGATTGATTCTTTCAAACAACGATATCTTCTCGTTGAATTTGCGTCCGCTCGGCGTCCGTCAACTTCTGATTGGTGCGAAATTCTCGCCAAAATATGGTGGCAATTGAAATTACGTCAAGTTCGAAACGCTCGTGATTTCCAGATGATCAGACACTATCCAGACACCGGTGTTTGAATCCCATTCGGAAAATGTGCAGTGTTTCATGTACACGTACACATAAAAAATGGCAGATGCCCTTCTCGTCTTCGTCTTCGTATCGGAAGGTTGGCATCTGTTGTCGTTTCGTGACGTCCTATCGACGTCAGCCGAATCTTTCCTGTGCCAGAATCATAGGGCTAATTTTCTCAATTGCATGATTCCAAAATGTCATGTACGTGGTGTACAATCGAGGTGGCCTCTCCAAATTCAAGCAGTCAGCGACATCATACCTCAGGGTTTTGTCACGGTATTTAATGTGGCCACCGAATAAGACCCTCCACGTAAAACTGCTCCCATAAGTCCAATAAGTGACTCTGAGAAGCTCGACCTCTTCTGCTTCCCATCATTTGCATCGTTCGCATCCTTCTCACTTTTTTTCCTTCCAAAAGTGCTGCCTTTTCATCTCTCATCTTCCATAAAATACATCCTCAAAACAGCAACAATAACAACACAAAACACAACCACAACCACTTTCCTAATATTCTTAACATACAATGTTCACTGTCATTTACGCAAATCAAGCTCACCACAACGAACCAGACACTGAACAACTACCATCATCCTCACCACAAACCAGCACGGAATTTCAGGAAGTTCCAATCACAAAAGACGAAAGTCCTCACAAATCCGAGAACTCCATGAGCACCGCCTCTCTTACCGCCATGAGCAACCCATCAATGGCCGAAGAAGACGTTTCCTGGGCGACCTTACAAGTTGTGGGTGACGACAGTAGTGAGAATGATGACGGCGATTCGGATGATGAGGATCTTGATGTTCAGGAACTTTTGGATATGTACGATACCATCGATACGATTCAAGTTGGACGAGAATTAGCCGAAACCCCCAGCAAAATTATCAAACGCCCCTCCTCTTACAATCTAAAAGGAGAAGAAAAAGAAGTTCGATTTTCCACAGTCCAAGTGCGTGAATATCCCATTGTTCCTGGTGACAATCCAAGTGGAGACTCCGGTCCGCCAATCACCATTGGTTGGAAACCCACCCGCGAAATGGAAGTCTCGGTGGACCACAATGAACAGTATGGCTTGTATGCCGACGAAAAGGCTCTCCAAAATTCGGATCATTCCCGCATCAAACGCAACGTCGAAGGCTTGCACTTGTCCCATCTCAAGCGCATGTGCAAGCTGCACCACTCGGGTTACTCCTCCAAGGAGATTGGTGCAGCAACCAAGGCTGCTGACGATGAGCGCCGGAAGCGCGAAGAAACTCTCAAGAGTCTCAAGAATGAAAAACTAAACGAATACAAGGAAACCATCAAGCGTGCCTTTCGCAACGCGACCGTGGCCCGCAAGGCCAAAAAGGCAGAAAAGGAATTTCTGAAACCGTATATTGAACGATCAAGTAAGAATCGTCACAGTAGTATCGTCAACGAGTCGGGTGAACTGCCCAATGCCAAGACGTATGAGGATGATGGTGGTTTCTGGTACTACTAAATCAAAGCAAAGCAGACGAGTGGAATTGATTGATTCATTCAGCATTTGATGCTTCTGATTGAGAAAGAGACAAACAAACAACGCTACCATTTTTGAGGCTATACAGTACATACCGGCGCCGGTGGGTAGCATTAGTCTTTTTAGTAGAAGAAAAAACTGACTATGCTACTACAACACAAACTACTACTACTACTACTACCTGAAGACGATGAAAACATCAGCAAATGTTCCTAAAAATGGAAAGATTGGAGACAAAAGTAGGACTAGGATAATAATGATGATATTAGAAAGACATCGTATAATATGTTAACATATTGCTAGACCTACCAGGCACCACATCATGACTGGAAGCATCGTATCAATGCTTTCCTAATCAATCGGCGGGTTTCGAAATCTGCCAACATTTTGAATGACGTGTGTCTAAATAGTACTGAAGTAGACTCACTTGACCATCCTGAGATTCTCAGCCACTTTTTTATTATTATCATCATCGCAGCAACCTGTGGAATAACATTGGGAGTGACAATGACCACGACCAGCAATCGAAATATCAGCACCAGCACTGTTAGGAGCTCTTTTCTTCCCTTTCTCGCTGGAATTGCATTTGGTATTGCATCGTCTATCCTTTATACCCGCGTGATATGTTCCAGAAATCAAAAGTCGTCGTCGTCGTCGTCGTCATTGTGGCTACAACCACCATCGACCTTGCCACGGTTTGCCCAAGAAATTCTCTCCAACCATCACCACACCAACACGGAAAAAATAAGCAATGATGATAGTAATGGTGAAAGCACGAACGCTAGTAGCCCTAATACTGCACTATCATCTGAGAATTGGACCGAAGTTCGATTGCGTGAATGGGAAGACTTGAACTGGAGGGATGCGAATGGTTGGCAAGGTCGTGATTTGTGCCACAATCCACAAGGTCTAGGCGTTCGCATTTTACATTACTACTACAAGGCATCCTCCAAAGAAATGGTGGGCGTCGTTTGGTTTGGCCCTCATGCCGAATCTCATCGGGGACTCTGTCATGGGGGAGCCATGACCTCGCTGATGGATGATTTTTGTGGCCACTTGGCATTTTTGCATTCGACTAGTGGACAACCTTGGTCGGGTGCCACGGTCCAAGTGAACGTGTCCCTCAAGAAGCCAGTCAAAGTGGGGTCTATTTTGAGGATTATTGGCAGGATTGACAAGCATGAAGGACGTAAGATTTATGTTCATGCCACATTGGATGACGGGGGTGGTGACAACAACGGCGGCAGCAGCATTGATGGAGAAGAACAGAATAAGGATCCACTGGTGTATGCTACATTAGAAGGACTGTCTATTGATGGAGTGAAGATGTCGCAACATGAGGATCCAGTATCGAAACGAACCTGGGAAGTGGAAGTCTGTGAGCATTCTGGAAGGCTGCAGAGGCGAGATTCTGGTTGGAAACTCCTGTAAAGAAACATCCGCAATTATACACAACTTCAAATTGCCTTGATCCAAATTGGTCGTTTCACGCAAAACTGATAAGGGGCCTTTCCAGTAATCAATCGCGGTACTGAGTAAGCTTATCGCTTTTCTGTCAAACCCCGATAAACACAACCATCCCGATTTGCTCGTTTCATTTTCCTCGCTCCAACGCCAACTGAATGGAGTCAAGAAGTTGATCATATACAGTATATTCTTGTGCAATGCTTCAGCTCTATACAAATGAGACTACAATACGACTGTTGCGCAGCGCGGTATGCGAGCAATAATCAATAACAAGTGCGTCTTGAAATTATTGGAATAAAAATAGTTCATGCCTTGCGCAAATTCCCAAAGAACCATGACGATGAATTGAACAATATGAACAATATGAACCAACGTCATCGCATCAAGCCTCATCATGTGGGTCTTGAAAGTGCTTCTTAGCCTGATCCTCTTCTTCTGCCTTATACTTGAGTTCATGTGGCAACGGCCCTCTTGCAGGTATCCCAGGAGCTTTTAGGCCAGGAGGTAATCCCAATTCCTTAACCCGAGTTCGTCGCAATTTGTCCCCTTCTATTTTTCGTTTCTTTTGCCCCATGACCAAAGTGTAGTACTCAATATCTTTTTCGGTTCTCATATCTTCTGGAATTGAAAGAATCCGATCAATTTCTCGCTTTGTCTCCATTGCCCGACTCCTAGATCGCATATTCTTCTTTTGTCGCTTCTTTTCGTTATCCCGCATCAGCCTTTGCTCTTCAGCTGTCCATCGCTCTGGTGGCTTGGCTTTGATTTCCTCCAATTGCTGCCGCAGTCTGGCGGTTCGGAGGCGGGATTGAACATTCTTACGTTGCCGGCGCACTCGTTCCAAGGTCGCCTCGTCCATGGCAGAAGGATCGGCAGTTGGCATTTCGAAATTTGCAGTTTTGAGACTGGCTGATGCTGCTGTCGCCTCTCGCAATGATCTTGGAGTTGCCTCTGAACTTTGGGCCTCAATCGAGGATGAAGGACTGCTAAGAACTGAGTTGCTCAGTCTTTGGGTAGGTACTGAAGACAGTCCTACACGACGGGATTCTACCACAGCTCGCAGTGCTTCTTCTGTTGCTGGACGACTTCGGAGAGCGGCGTCACTTGTAGTCGGAACGATGTGAGTTCGTGGATGAAGATGATGCAATCGCGCCCCTTCGTCACCATGAGCCCGTCGGCGGTGTTCTTGCTCACATTCAAACTGCTCCAGGCCATAATAGAGTGGTGCGTGTGGAAGAGGATGGTAAAATTGGTGATGCGGAAGAGGGGCGAGATGAAAGTACGACGGTGGATACGCCGGCTGGTAGTATGGCGGATAGTTGGGCGCTGCTGGCGGTGGCAACCTCAACCCCCCACTCAAATACGAGGGTGGTGCCGAATGCATCAGAAGATTCCACGCAGCCATTTCTGTCCGATACCCCTGTGCCTGGCGAAAAATACTTGCGGCGCTACTTGGGGCACCACTTGGGGTTGCTGTGAGATCCCTCTTGCGATCGTCTTCACCCGAAGGAATGTATCGCCCTAAGGGTCTCACTGGCAACAGAAATCGTTCACTCGTCTCGCGTTTTCCTTCAATTCCAGACGAATCGCTCATTTCATGTGGGGCTCGTTCATTATCGCTCTTGTCGACTTCGTTATTTTCCTCTTTTCCCATTATAAAGCTAGTTTCCTTTCCCCCCTGTTGTTCATCGTCTGCTACCGATCTATTGCTCGCTCGTCCCATTCCCAGAACTCTTTGCCTGATTGTTCCAAAATCGCCTTGAGACCGCTTGACACTTTCAGCATCTCCCAATATTTCGTCCATACTAGTGTCATCAGCGGAGCGTTCCCTCCCCTTCTTGGCTTTGACCTTTTCAGACTGGACTTTTTCAACGTTTGGGCTATTGGCACTTCTTTCAGCACCGCCCATAGTTTCCGCCACATTGTCTTCAGCGGACAGCTCGAGCTTTTCCCGTTTTCCCGCCGCATTGACTTTGTCGTCGTCTCGCCCCTTAGCATTGACCATTTCGGACGACTTCGTCCCCCTTTCCCATTTCAGAACTTGCGGTTGCTGGACATTTTCGACCTCTGGGTTGATGCTTTTAGCATTGCCCATGGGAGCGTCGCCCATAGTGCCATCAGCGGACCGTTCGACTTCTTCCCCTTCCCCAGTAATGACTTTATCGTCTTCTCGCCCCTTGGCATTGACCATTTCGGACGACTTCGTCCCCCTTTCCCATTTCAGAACTTGCGGTTGCTGGACAATTTCGACCTCTGGGTTGATGCTTGTAGCATCGCCCATGGGAGCGTCGCCCATAGTGCCATCAGCGGACCGTTCGACTTCTTCCCCTTCCCCAGTAATGACTTTATCGTCTTCTCGCCCCTTGGCATTGACCATTTCGGACGACTTCGTCCCCCTTTCCCATTTCAGAACTTGCGGTTGCTGGACAATTTCGACCTCTGGGTTGATGCTTGTAGCATCGCCCATGGGAGCGTCGCCCATAGTGCCATCAGCGGACCGTTCGACTTCTTCCCCTTCCCCAGTAATGACTTTATCGTCTTCTCGCCCCTTGGCATTGACCATTTCGGACGACTTCGTCCCCCTTTCCCATTTCAGAACTTGCGGTTGCTGGACAATTTCGACCTCTGGGTTGATGCTTGTAGCATCGCCCATGGGAGCGTCGCCCATAGTGCCATCAGCGGACCGTTCGACTTCTTCCCCTTCCCCAGTAATGACTTTATCGTCTTCTCGCCCCTTGGCATTGACCATTTCGGACGACTTCGTCCCCCTTTCCCATTTCAGAACTTGCGGTTGCTGGACAATTTCGACCTCTGGGTTGATGCTTGTAGCATCGCCCATGGGAGCGTCGCCCATAGTGCCATCAGCGGACCGTTCGACTTCTTCCCCTTCCCCAGTAATGACTTTATCGTCTTCTCGCCCCTTGGCATTGACCATTTCGGACGACTTCGTCCCCCTTTCCCATTTCAGAACTTGCGGTTGCTGGACAATTTCGACCTCTGGGTTGATGCTTTTAGCATCGCCCATGGGAGCGTCGCCCATAGTGCCATCAGCGGACCGTTCGACTTCTTCCCCTTCCCCAGTAATGACTTTATCGTCTTCTCGCCCCTTGGCGTTGACCATTTCAGACGACTTCTTCCCCCTTTCCCATTTCAGAACTTGCGGTTGCTGGACATTTTCGACCTCTGGGTTGATGCTTTTAGCGTCGCCCATAGTGCCATCAGCGGACCGTTCGACTTCTTTCCCTTCCCCAGTAATGACTTTATCGTCGTCTCGCCCCTTGGCTTTCGCCATTTCAGACGACTTCGTCCCCCTTTCCCATTTCAGAACTTGCGGTCGCTGGACAGTTTCAGGTGAATTCCGAGCTTGCTTGAGACTCCCAGTCTCGGCTCTTTCGCCTTCACCTGATTTGCCATGTTCTTCCCCTTTCCCACTATTGAATTTCTCTTGTTCTTTCCCCTCGTCCTGTACCTTTCCCAAAGACTCGGCATCTCTTCCAACGTGCGGACTCTTATCCTCGAACTCTTCGGTAGGTTGTTCTTCGAACGGATCGTTTGTTCCCTTTAGCGATGGTGTTTGACGTTGGTATTTTTGCTTCTCAGCAGCAGAAACCGTGCCCTTTGCCATGGCCGCTGTTTTCTGTTGCTGGAGGATGCAGTTGTTCCTGACTCAGATTCAGCGTCTGAAACAGAGTCTCGTACTGATGTTGTGATCGTAGCTAGTATTCTTTCACAGTGATGTGACCAGCAACAACAATAAACAATAGGAGCACGTTTCAGTGATACACAATTTTAAGCTCCCAGTGCTAAATATGGAGGCAGCGCTGATCCTTCCCCAAAGCAACAAACACAGACAAACACCACCTGTCCCCGCGACAGATCTTGATGCAAAAGATGGAGTAGGTGCGACAAGGAGGTGCCGCCCCACAGGAACATTCGGCCTACGTTCAGCGCGGCCCTGCGATTCGAGACGAGGTTGCGTGCATGGTGCCGACTGCCGGAATTTCGTCACGTGTATACGCACAGAGATCACAAATGAGGGGTAGGACAGACGACATACCCCCAATCGAAACATCTTTCATCTTTGTCTTTCATCTTGATCTGAATCAGTTTTCAAGACCATTGCGTCGTTGAAGGATTTTGTCTCCTCGAAGTTTTGGGCTGCCCCAGCTTTGCACGTTGTGGAGGGTCTTCAAAAATGAATACTATCAATGATCATCGAAACGTGGTATTCCTACTATAATTTTGTGGGAATCTGACAATTTTGTGGGAACCTGAAAATACTCCCCGTTTATTGATAGCTAAATGACGTCACAAGCAAATCAGAGTTCTGCAACAGAGTCAGTCAGTCATCAGCCAATCATACAGAATGAATGAATCAATCGATCATGGAATGAAAACAAGATTCACAAAAATGATTCTTCAAGAGATCAACCATTGAAACGTGAGACAAGTGCCTACAGCTACCAGCCTAGCATACAAGCATTTTCATTGTGGTCAGTCAGCAACAGAGCCAAATCAATTGGATAAAATTGTTATTTCAACAGCGCATAAGAGTAATATTCTAAAGTGACAATGAATGATGAATCAGCATCCACTGAAGAATGCAAAAAGGACGAAGAAAAAGAGGATCTAGTCTGTCCAATCTGCCTTTCTACTGATCACGAGGTGTCAGATGCGGTTGAATTTTGCCAATCACCATGCGGCCACATCTTTTGTGTCCCTTGTCTGGAGCACTTTCTACTAAAGCCCAAATCCAACGATGACCATGGACAAGTATTTGGAACGATGGACAATGAGGATGATTACTACCATCGGCGAAGGCCCAATACGGGAAGTTGTCCACTGTGTCGTCAAACTATCAACTTGTTTGGTCTGATCAATATCCAAGACAGATCTCCAATCTATACCAAGAATTCCGTGATCAAGACCTGGCCAATCTGTGACAAGAGATATTCGAAGCAATCGATTCGGCGGTCGCTCCCGTCCACAGAAGAGCGACTCTTGAATCGGCTGATGGAAGACGAAGGCGTCATGTCTGGGTACGGCTTGGAATTTGATTTCAGCTCGTCGAATCCTGGGATTAGGGTAACTGCTGCCGGAATGCTAGTAACTTCTGATGATCAGGGTTCTTGCTCTAATGATCAGAATACGAAGCAAGTGGAATTCCAACCATGGAATACCTTTCATTTCTTTGCCAAGACCATGACGTTTCAAGGCAACATTCAGTTCCCAAGTTTTGTCACTCGACCATCCAGCAGGGATTATCGATATGATCAATTGGAGTGCCTCCTCCAGTTTTCAGAAAATGGTCATTTTGTCCGAGATGGATATCTGCGGTGGAAGTTACAATCCACCAAAGAAGAAGAACAACAACAAGAAGAAGAAGAAGCCGCTTCGACTATTGCTGAGGCATCAACCTTGGAGCACTTTCCACTGGATGGGACCTGGCAAGTACTATGGAGATCGGGACAGTCTATCAAGATCCATATTCAACGGCATTGCTTCGACTGTTTTCAGCAATGGTACGAGATAGAACTCGACGATAATCACTGCCCACGATTCCCCTGGCCCAGTGAGTTTGGACAAGACGTCGTCCAAAGGTCAAATCAAAGTCTTCCACCGGGACATCAGGGGCCAGCTATTGGTGAGACGTTTGAATGGGCAACGAATAGTGCCATGCCGGCGTACAGCACTATCGTTTGGAAGCGATTGGGAACGGATCTGTCCGACGCATGGAAACTGATACGACTAAAACCAAATCATTTTGCGTTCAAACGAGTAATGGTAGATGGCGAAAGTGGAGGAGACGATGACAGCGCTTTAATTGCCCGACCATCCTATCACTCGGATCGACTATGGGGAAATACATTCTGCCAAGCCTTTTGCGTTGGTTTGGCGTCATACCACTTTTTGGGGCCGAATAGCGAGACTGGAGCATTGGAAGCTTACATATCGTATGAACATCCTCAGACGTCATCGTGGCCACCATTGGACAACGGGTCCGCAGTTCCTTCCCGTGTTCCCTTTCGAAACATTTCTTACGATTCTGAGACGAGGACTTTTCGGGGCGACATTTGCTGGCTGGAAGTCTATGGCACACGTTGGCAAGGCGAGGCAAAGTGGTCGTATGAAATAAAGTTTGATCCATTGTTCCTCTTTGTGGAAGGAGGCACCTGTGAAATGACGGAGGGTCGACCCGATCATCAGTTCGGTGTTGATTTGGTTTATGTGAATGCTGCCATTGAAGATCCTTTAGGAGAGTCCATTCGCACCAATGATAGCAACACCAATTATGAATCTGCATCTGAAATGACCAAAGGAATGATTGGCCATTTGATCAGGAATTTGGTACAGAATCCAGAGTCTAGCGTCTTTGACTTCAATCTGTGAGATTTCAAGGAATTTTTTGTGGAATCATCCATCAGATGCATCCAGCAGTCATGGGGGAGTGAGCCATCCCATGGAAGCCAGCACGGCAAGGCATTGCCTCTGGTAGTCACAGTCGAAGGTAACAAGAGTTTGACCCACCAGTCTGGATTGCATCTTTAAGCACAAAAGCAGCTATGCATAAAAGAGAACCCCATAGGTTTAATCTAGTTTACAGTAATTTACAGTCCAAAATCTGCTCGGCATCTATTGTTGCCTTAGAACTCGGCCATAATGGCAACCTTTTTCGCCCGTGTCGCTTGCTGTGCAATAAAGTCATCTGCGTCGTTTACAACGCCAATAGTTTTCTTCACCTCAATCAATAGCGAGGCGAAACCAATGGCACCGGATCTGGTGTTTGCATTGTCAAATAGTTTCACAGATCGAAGCCCCTTGCGCAAAACTGAGACCGGGATGGACGCAGATGCCACAAGCGCATCTGTCTTCGCGGGAGTACTTTCCTTGTCGTAAATCGCCAGATATAACATCGCAACAGCTGGATTGTCCACTCGGAACGAAAACTTATCCGAAGTGAAGATAGGATTGAACCCGTTATTGTTGCATACCCCTGTATCGAACGACTGGAATCCTGCCTTCTCCCCATTCTTAATGTCGTACATCGAAACCTTGACGTAAGGATTGATCACTTCTCCTGTCTTGTCTTCGTTTGGCTTTGGTATGCAAGCTCCGCTCAAAATCCGAATTGAAACCTTCAGTTTGTTTGGGTCATTGGTTTCTACTTTGTCGTGCATTTCCAGCAAGTTTGCCGGTTTTGGGACGTATCCGCAACTGCCATTTTCACGAAAGCGACCATCGTTTAACTTCAGCGCCACGTCGTTAGTTTGAAAGTTTAGTGATACCATCTGACACCCTAGCGACCATGGAAGAATCGGCAGGTAGTTGCTAGAATCCACCCGTGACCCCGCAGGATAGGTTCTTGACATGTGTGTTTCATTGTAGACAGTCCATGTTCTTCGATCCGTTTTCCGGGCAAGGGAACGTACTTTGTTCTCGGAAAATGAATGCATGTAATGAGTCGGATTCAAGATACTCGATTCCCAGCTACGCAGCTTGTTTCCATGAAACAGAGTCAACCTTGCTAGCGACGGAGAAATCTTGCCAGTTGTATTCTTTTTTCGATTTGCCGCTTGCTCTGCATCTCCGAATTCGGAACCAAAGACCGTAGATGGCGCTCCGTCATCTGAAACATCGTCTTCATAATCTTCCGCATCATCCAAATTCAAGTCTGTGGGACGCCTTCCCTTGATGACGACCATCCCCTTGAGATCCATTGGCGAAGGTAGACTTCCTTGCAAAGATGTCTCAGAGGGAATGTACAAAGAGCTTCCTAGAATACGCACAAGCTGTTGGGCCATGACTTCTTGGTACGGAATGGAGCAATGATTCTCAAAACTCAAGACGAGGGGAAAGGTGTCCGGGTGGAAATTCAAAAACAGCTTGATTGCTCGAATGATGTCCTTAAACAAGATCTTGCTTGTCATCGTATGGCCGTGCCAAACAACTGGGCATGGCTGCATATCCACAATTTCACCATCCCATATATCAAGCTCCAAACAACGGCATCCTCGGTACAGAGCATTCGAGTACATGTCCACACTGGAAGCCGACGTGATTTGATCACCTACAACGACAATGATGAAATTGAATTGAATAGAATGAATGAATTGAATAGAATGAATGCAGAAATAATGAGTGGGGAACATACAGTAGCAAATCATACGACATATGTTTCTTCATTATCAAGGAACCCAGCAAAACAAAAACGTACCTGTCAAATAGGTATTGTGGCTCGAATTAATCCAGTATTCCGAAATGGGGTGTCGCATGAAGTCCTTGTGGTACTTTTCCCGCAATGGATCAAAGGCATCATTTTCTTCACTATTCAGATAGGCTTCAAATCGAACCTTATCAATCCTGGAAGAAGGATCTGCAGGTATATCAATGGATTCCCCCGACCGTGGCAGCTGAAGTGCATTCAAGTGTAGGAACAATCGTTGGACCTCTTCCAAAGTGGCATTTTCTTCCCCCTGAAATTCATGCAGGAACTTGGTCAGAAAGGTTTGGGCACTGACATTCGTTCTGGCTTTTCCATTCTTCATTTGATCTCCAAACAATCGATTCCAGTACCGCGTCGTGGGCTTGGCCAACCACGAATCTCGCTTGAGCTTGTGCAAAAAGCTAGCCGTTTGTTCAAAGGTCAGTCCTTGCTTTCTCATTTTCCGGTCCAAATGAATCATCTTTCCAAACTTGTCATACGAGTCGCTAAATTTCTTGGAAGATGGAATGTGATAGTTGATTCGTCTGAGAATCTTTTGCAATTCATTGGACGCCGCCCTCCCCGTAGTTTCCTTTTCGGCTTCCCTCCAAACATACCGTAATAGTAAAACATCATTGGAGACCATAACTCTGGCACTTTGATAGGTATAGACAATTTGATCCAAGGCATTGAGAACTTCATCCCTACTAATGGAAGTGGACGAGGATGGCATCATGAGATCCAACGTCCACGCACCCCGAAACAAAATGGAAAAGCACAAGGAAGGATCCAAGACATCCATAGTTTGTTGTGACGCGACCGTGGAATTTTCCAGACTGATGTTACTCATGAGGGATCTAATGGAATCTGCCTTTGTTCTGTGCATGTGTGCATGTGTGTGTGTGTGTTTGTTCAAAACAACAAGGATAGATGTGAGCGTATATGGCCATCATTTGGTAGATGACAATGAAATCATTGCTTTCTACAAAACAATCAGACGTACCTTGCCAATTGAAAGTTCCGACGCGAATGTCCCCTTTGAATTTCTGAAATACCCCCCACATCAATCACTCGGTCCAAATCACTCCCATTCTTAGAACTAAAGGGCAACCATCGTTTGCTTTGTGACGTTGACTTATTGTTTCCAGGAATCCCGTGATTTAAAAACAAGGTAAACTTGTCATCGCTCAGTTTCATGGTCATTTGCGTCGTTTTTCCATTGGCAAACACCCTGAGAACTTGAATACCTTCCTGCAAGGCTCGGGGGACGGCAATATCTTTGAGGCAATGCTGAAACAAGGTCTTTTTGTTGGTCTGTGAAAATGGTTTTTGTTTGTTTACGGGAAGATTTGGGAAATTGGTAATAGTCGAAGAAGAAGAAGCAGAACCAGAGATTGAGGGATTACTTGGACGTGACGGTCTGGCTGGAGACGTCTGAGCTTGATATAGATTCATGGCTTTGTGTTATTGCGCATGTATACAGTATGATAGCTCTCTAATTGTGTCTCAGGAATATATAAATGAATGAATGAATGAATCAAGCAACCAACCAAGCAAACAACTGAACTGAACTGAACTGATCAGAACCAACCCGTGTCAGTATAGGTCCTTTCCAAGTATTGCTTGCGAATTGCAGCGATAGACCGAAGGATAGAATAGAGGCGAGGCAACACAATCCAAGAATATCAGTCTTACGAAATAACTTTCAGAAAATCGTCAGATGTGACTGAATATCAATCAATCAAGCAGATAAGACGAGACGTGCTTGAGTTGTGCAGATGAACAAAAGGCCCCAAAAGACAACGAATAAAGATTCCAACTTTGACGTGTTTTACAGAAGGAAGTTAGGGTGCTCAAAACACAAGATGATGTTATTGTTGCAATGCTCTGTTGATCATCGACTTCGACTTTTGCCACCATATAAAATGTCCAATATTTTATCATATCCACGAACGAACATTGTCGCCGTAGAATCTTTGTACAATTGGTAGACAAAAGGCAAGTCTGCGCACAGGCGCGGGTATAGAGCCGTTAAACATAATGAATCCGATTATTCCTGAAAAATATAAGAATCTGGAATTTCAAATTTGCCTCAACGCAACAAAAAAACGATAGGTCATTTTCCCACGGAATAAATGACTGAATGACCCAAGATACGGTGGTACATCAAGCTACATACATACTCGACAAACGACACTTTGGATCCAATAACATATTGCACACAGATACCATCATCAGCATCAGCATTATCAGCATCAGCATTATCAGCATCATCATGCCGCAATTCGAAGACGAACCAATTATTGCTGCCTTCAAGGCTCTAGACAATGCCGGATCTGGAAAGATTGATGCCGAAGAACTAAAGCAATTGTTGACCGCCATGGGAGAGAAGTACACGGACGAAGAAGCCGACAAGATGATCGAAGACATGGGAGGAGGTGATTCAATTGATTACGCCAAGATGGTCAAGAAGTTGAACGCTGAAGCCAACAAGGATCCTTTTGAAGGACTTTAAATTGCGTCCTTTGGCATCGTATCGTATCGTATCGTATCGTATCGTATTATTTGATATGGCATGGGAACCTTTGGAAATGGACTTGGTTCCTTATTTTTATAAAAAAGGAGGAAAGAAAATCTTTGGATTGAGAGAAAGATTGGATTTGATATTGGGAAAAAGATGAGCTTTGTTTGCTAAAACAAATTAGCAATCGTTAAATTAGACCTTTTTTGCAACAAGAAAGCTTCGTCTTTCGCTACTGTAGCAGTAGAAATCCTCCTTTCGGAATAGTTTAGCAATGTACCGTACTGTGAGTACCGTATTTCCGCAGCCTACCGATAAAATAGTATGACAGTCCTCGGAACCTTTGCATACTATGTGGCTTGGTAGTACTGTATGTTTCAATGCGTTGCTTCGTTCTTAGTAGTAGCAAGTAACCATAGTCGGATTTTCATGTACTGTAAATAAATAGTACTCCTACTATCATTGTCGTACTCTACTACAAACACCATGATATCATCGTATATGGAATTGTCAATGAGTTGCTTCTTTGTGAATCGTATTTTTGATCTGGACTGTCTCATCCTGATCGAAACAACATCTTCTGTCATGGCCTCTACAATGGACTACCCTTACAATGAATCTTTAAAATTTACAGTATGATTTATTCTCTAAATTATATGATTATTATGTATAGTTACAACACAGGTAGTGGTTCCTTGTCAGTATAAATGTAAACAAGCAAGTAAGTAGTAAGCAAGCTCATGCTGACGCAGCCACAGTGCCATCTTCCACATCTAATGGACACGACTTGATTGGTAGTAGAGTATTCTTGCTGCTGGTACTAGTAGTACAGGGAAGTTCCACCTTTTGCGTCGCACCAGAGTCATCACTTTTCGTTTCCTCGCCTGGGAGAGCAGCAGCAGCAGCAGCACTTTTGGGATGCCGTGGAAAGGTCATGTAGAGAAAGACCTGAACGAATCCAAATATAGAACCTATTCCATTGGGTGTGGCCACAAAAAAATCCATAATGGCAATCCCATAGGCACACCAAAAGCTGCTGTTGAGCGTGTTGAGAATCATGGTGGGGATGTGAATGGAAGCCGTGTGTTTTTCCTTCAGAACTTGAAAAATGGTGGACAAGGGTGCCGCGTAAAAGAAAACCACGATGCAATTGGTGACAATCCCCACCATAAAGACCTTCGAGTCCAAGTCCATAGAATTCGCAAAGGCTAGAATGGTTCCGAGGATAACCCACAAGGTACACATGAACATCATAATATTGTCATGCCGGCTAGGTGCAGGAGTCGACTGTGACGATACTTTGAGAAGAACGGTCCCCCAATTTTCTCCTGTGGACTCGGCGGTGTCATCCAAGGAGCCGTCTCGCCTGTTTGCAATCATTTCGCCGCCGCCGCCACCACGAGGTTGCTCCTTGTCCAAAAAGGCAATCGTGGCGTCACGATTTTCTTTGGCATGATGCTCTTGATACAAAAGCTTGATGGCACCCAAATTCAGATAGATGCTCACGAGTAATCCAGGGGCATTGCCAGCAAAGACAAAAACATTCTGAAGTAACGTGCTGTACAAAACCCATCCAACGCAATTTCCAAACATGAATCCCCAAGGAGTTGGGTTCAAATGACCCAGATCCCCTTTGTCCACGGCAGCCTTCAAATCGCGGAGGGGAGCGGCATACATGACATTCCCAATGATGACTCCCAGTCCGGGACAGACATATTCCAAGATGATTTCTTGGGTAGACAGCGTCATTTTCTTACGTGTGGACAGTAGATTGATCGATGGATATACCGTAGATTGATTCAGGTAGAACAAATCTGAGTAAGGACAGTCGATCGATAGGTCTAGCTAGTGCTGATAGCTTCAAACTGAATCAATCAATCCAGCAAAGCAATGTCTTTTTTCCGTCTTTTGCTACCTGTTGTGGAATTGTTATTCTCCAATGAATAATGATATATATTTTATATGGAAGGAGAAGGCTTAGGCTTCGGCTCAAGTGACACAACGAATGTTCAAATTCTTCTGCCGCACGTATTTTTCTTTTTTATCATCAACGTTCAAATTATGTTTGGTTGGACCTGCGTGTTTTTCTGAGTCACGTTCGTGATTAAACAAAAACCAGAATTTTTCAAGAGGACAATATAATGATGACCAATACTTCAAAATAAGTTCCGACCGCTTTCGCGTCCAGTCCTTCGGATTTCCACAAAGGACCATTTTGCAAGCAGTGACCTTGCCCTATTAGATATTGAAAAAACTGAAATCGAAGACATTAACCTGGCTGGATTGATTCATTCATTTATTCATTGCGCAGCTATCGGAAAAATCATATCAACTGAATTGTCGTTCTTCTTCCGATTCGGAAACATCGTCTGCTGACTACTTACAGTATTGTACAGCAGTCCGCAATACTATTATTATGGCGCTGTCTACTAAAGAAATCATATTGGAATATGTCTGCCCCGCGATGGGAGCGCTCATTGGGAATATCATGTTTGCAGCCCCGGTCCGCGATTTGAAAGCTGCCATTGACAAGGGTGATCTGGGCACTTTGAACCCAACTCCATGGGGATTCATGCTTGGAAATTGCATGGGATGGTTGCTCTATGGGGTTTTACTACAGAATGTTTGGGTCTTTGTTGGGAACGGGCCTGGGTTGCTGGTTAGTATATGGCTGAATTTGGGCGCAATCAAGCTCCTGTACAAAGGACATCATGCGAAGGAAAATCGTGACGCCACGATTGCCTTCTTGGACAAGGAGCAACCTCGTGGCGGCAGTTCCTTGGATTATCCCAAAGCAGAAGCACAAGATTGGGCCACCATTCTTCTCAAAGTATCGTCGCAGTCGACTCCTGCACCAACCCGCCACGAAAATATTGCCATGTTCATGTGCACCTTGTGGGTAATTGTTGGGACCGTTCTAGCCTTTGTGGATGCCATGGATTTGGACTCGAAAGCCTTGATGGTGGGAATTGTCACTAACTGCATTCTCATCTTCTTTTATGGAGCTCCACTCTCCACCATTTTTCAAGTGCTAAAGGAAAAGCACACGGCTTCCATTCACATTCCTACCATGATTTTAAACACGCTCAATGGGATCTTTTGGTTTGCCTATGGGATTGCTATCAGCGATTACTTCATTGCCGGACCCAATGGATTGGGTTGTGCATTTGGAGCGATTCAAATCTTTCTCTGCATGACACTTCCACGAGGTCCAAGAAGTGCTGCTGCTCAAAGTGCCACGATATTACCAACTGTACCTGCTGAGACACCAAAGATTGAACAAGCGGAGGCCAGTAGCAGCACTCTAATCAATTCGTATCCGCTAGATATGGAAGACGGCACTGTGGCTGCATCGGCATAGCGTTGTGCATACATGCAAACACTGTGAATACGATAGATTGACTTATTGTTGTGACCATGCATAATTTAGCTAGATAATCATAATATTGTACAATAGTGGTCCTAGAAAAATCTACTGTAGCAAATGTATCATGATGGACAGATGAAGCCGAACAAAGTGAATACATACCGGTACGATGCCTTAACAAAGTCCTATCGTTAGAACCATATCTCATTTTAAAAATCATTCAGTCTTGTATTAATTCAATAGAGGTCCCACAAGGTGTTGTGGCTTCTATCATTCATGGACTGCTCCTATTGTTGTTGACAGTTGACGCGCATTCGTATTTTTTTGTCTCTTTGTCCATTTCTAGGTTTCGTTTTGTTCGCGGTTCCCAAACAGACAGCAAGCTGACGTGTCGGCGTCCCGAACAGGTACCGGTACTGTGTGTACAGTGTAAAACTTCTGCGGGAAGTTCGGAGATTCGTCTTTGGGACGCGATTCACAGCCATTCAAATTCGAAAAGTGAGCCCAACGGATAAAAAGATAAAAACGGGGACCAAATTGATCTTTCCAGTTCGAAAATTCGCTGCTCAAACGAACGCAAAGAGCTGGCCGGACTAAAATCGTGCTCCTGTTGTGTTGTTGTCCATTTTTTCGTAGAATTTCCAATGCATTCGTTCCCGTGCAAACCAGAGATTTGTGTCTGTCTCTCATCTTCAGCAAAACGAATTCCACTCGGAGTCGACAGTTACTGTCTGTGTCGAAAACCAAACTCCCAAAATCAGTAATGGCTTCCCGACAACCAAACATAAAAGACAAGGCTCCTTCTCCTCGGAGTTTCACAGTGACTCTCGCACTTCAACTTGTGAACCGTTGACACTGTCATAAATTTGCAAAACTCTGAATTGTGTGGTAAGTCAAAACAAGACACAACTTCGTCGAACTCTCATTGCCCAAAGCTAATCCTATATCGATTGTCATTCTTCCGATTCAGATTCAACACCACTACCTACAAACACCACCACCAACTACTACTAAAGAAGAACAATGTCTTCCACACAAGAAATCATCTTGGAATATGTCTGTCCCGCATTGGGAGTTGTCATTGCGAACATTATGTTTGCGGCACCCGTCCGCGATTTGAAAGCAGCGATTGCAAAGGGTGAACTGGGCACTTTGAACCCAACTCCTTGGGCATTCATGCTTGGAAATTGCGTGGGATGGATGATCTATGGTACTCTACTAAAGAATGTTTGGATCTTGATGGGGAACGGGCCTGGATTGCTCATTGCCATATGGCTGAACTTGGGCGCCATCAAGCTCTTGTATCGAGGGCATTATGCCACAGACATGCGTGACACCACAGAGCGAACCCTAACTGCATCCTCTTTGGATTTGGAACAGCCAGCACCTGTTGGCGGTGACATGGCAAGCATTGCTTCAGACGAAACCAAAAACACCATTCTTGTCGACGAGTTGTCCGCTACGACTCCCGCACCTACAGGCCAAGAGAATCTTCTAATGCTCATGTGCACCGTTTGGGTTGTCTTTGGAACGGTATTGGCACTTGCCGACTTCATGGACTTGAACTCGAAGGTCTTGATGGTGGGAATTGTGACCAACTGCATTCTCATTGTCTTTTATGGAGCGCCACTGTCCACAATTTCCCAAGTGCTCAAAGACAGGCACACGGCTTCCATTCACGTTCCTACCATGATTTTGAACTCTCTCGGCAGCAGCTTTTGGTGCGTCTATGGGATTGCGATCAGCGATTACTTCATTGCTGGACCCAATGCATTGGGTTTTGTATTTGGAGCCGTTCAGATCTTTCTCTACATGGTTTTCCCACGGAGTCCAAGTGCTGAAGGCAACACAACTGATCTAGAAGCAAAAGCCGATTTAGTTCTGGACTTTGGCACGGCAGAACGAGCTGAGCAAGTGGCCAGTAGCAATCTCGTCCAGCCTCATCTGCAAGACGTGATGGAAGACTACGGCACTGTGGCTCCATCAGCATAACGTTGCTTGTTCAACAAGCACCCTGAATATGATTCACTCATATTTCTTTTGTATCAATATAGAAAATAATAATGTAATAATGTACATCATCGTAAGAAATATCATTGCGTTTCGAATGCACTACCGGTCCGTGTACAAAAATTCTTCGGGGTATCATCCGCACTCCCGCGCGAAAATTTTGGTATTACAGTAATGCGTGTGGGAATGAGTCTTGTCTGTTTTTGACAGCTACACAATCTGACAATGGCTATGGTGCTCAAATATGCTCAAATATGGATAGAAACTCCACTGGGTCGGGAGAACATGGTGAGGCAAAACGAATTTATCTTCTATCTTTGTCGTTGCCTCTACTAGTCTACCGAAACATGTTGAATCCTTTTACTTTACCGTGTTTCCTATAGATTGGTAGTGAACGTTTTTTGCTTGAAACCAATTGTAGGCTTCTCCGCAATCCAGTCATTCTTTCACCCATGATCAACAACAACAAGAAAACCGACAAAACCGACATTCTGCTCAAATAGGCTCAATTTGTCGAATCTCGTTGTAAGAATCCTGCCCAATGTACCTTGATATAAAAGATCTAATAGTGTAAACTTATTATTTTCCATCAAGGCTATTGGGGGTCACATTCCACCATTGAGGTGTACCAGGTACGATACCATCCGCGCAATAATGGTCTGGAAAATCCAAATTTCAAATTTGTTTTTGACGTAAAGAGGTCGAACCAGTCGATAAAAGCTGGAACCGGACCGACGCCGACCGGACCGACAAGCAGGCACAAATTGCAATCGTAGGAGTCAGTCGAGGGGGAAAATTCAATCGTAGGGGTCGACCAGTCGTCGATCTCTAGCTAGCTAGAAATATCTTCGCTTCCGAAAATGCATCTGATCATATCATCATCGGTGGGCATCCAATAAAACCATCCCCCCAGCACATTCAGATATCTGCTGGATCTTTTTTTGACAGCAATTAAAAACTAAAGCATCCACAATCATGGTTTCTTCAATGGAGAAACACGAGATGGAAGATGAGAAATCGTGGAATTTCTTTCAACAGCGGCAAGAACAGCTGGTGGAGGCGGTAGTACTAGAGGAATCCACCAACAAGCACCGTGAACTTGGTCGTCATTGGAAAAAGTCTAAGATACTCAAGCCAGATGACAGCACCTTTCATGCCATGATGATTGATGCTGGATCACAGGGAACTCGGATTCACTTGTACGAGTTTGAACAGCGCATCTTGTACAGCAAAAATGAGATTGATAAGGCCTTGAATGGGTTCAAATTGAGTTCGCCAACCAGCGATTCTCGATGGACCAATAAATTGAAACCTGGTTTGGACAGCTTGGCATTCATCCGTGATGATGATGATCTCGCCAAAGCTGTGGAAGACTATCTGGAGCCATTGTTTGAGTTTGCCAAAACGGTATTGGCTGACAAAAAGGATTCCTGGGATAGATTCCCAATCTACCTAAAGGCCACCGGTGGTCTCCGCACTCTGCCCACGGCTGATCGGATCCGCCTCATTAACACTATTCGCAAAGTCTTCCACGACACAAAATTCAATCCCTTTGAATTCGAAGATGAACGGTGCCGCGTTATTAGTGGGGAAGAGGAAGCCATTTATGGTTGGGCTGCTGTCAACTACATCAAGGGAACTTTGGTCTTGGAATCTGAAGGTGCTGGAACAGTCTTGAATCCAAGTTTGACGTAAGTGATTGCCATTCTTCTACTTGTCTTTCTCTCGTATTGTATGGGACTATTTCTAACGAAATCATGTATGCGTTTGTCGCTCCCTTTCATTTTTATTTCAGATATGGTATGATTGAAATGGGTGGTGCATCGACACAGATTGGTTTCTTCGAACCAAATGGTGATCTAATGGCCAACTTGTTCAAATTGCAAATTGGCGGTGCCCGTCACTGGAATGTCTACGTGCACTCGTTCTTGTATTTTGGTGTCAATGGAGCTTGGGCCCGACTCAATGCTCGACTCCACGAAGGCGAATCCTTTGGATTGGTTCTGAGAAATGAAACTGGCTTTGTGAATCCATGCTTGCCAGTGGGATCCTCCTTTCCCTACTCTTCCTGGATCCACGCCAATATTGCGGGACAACTCTTGCCTCGCAGTAGTCCACAAAGCACCGTGTACGAGACTGTCATGCACAACGAAGAGGCTGACTTTCAAGCCTGCAGTGAGAAGGCTAGAATTCTCTTGCGCAAGAATGTAAGTGACAAACATGTAGAATTGCTGCGTATCAAGAAGGAAAAACGGTCTATATATATGATGATGATGATGATGATGATGATGATGATGATGATGATGATTCATTCTAATATCATTCAACGCTGCTTTGCTCAACTTTTGAAAAACAAAAATAATAGACCAATTTGGAGTGGGTCGACTTTTCGCACGATGGGGATGCTAGTTTTGCTGGCATCTATCAACCACCTTTGCCCATTAACGAGACTGCGATTGGTGGCTTCATTGCCACTAGTAACTTTGCAGATACCTGGGAATTCTTGGACTTGAATGCGACCTCCCCCATTTACTTGGTCCAAGAAAAGGGTAAGAAGATCTGTAATATGACCATGGACGAACTGGAAGAGTACAATAGTAATCTCAAACAAGGCTCGGTGGACGACAAGGAGATTTATCAAATGTGCTTTCGATCCGTCTTTATCTACGAAATGCTGACCACTGGATATGGGTTCCCGACCGACTACAAAATCACTGCCGTGGATACGTTGAATGGGTTCAAATTGGGTTGGTCGTTGGGTTCCATCCTGTACGAAGTCAATGCTCTGCCATGGGAGGTGGCGCGTTCAGTCAAGGTCAAGGCAACGAATGCCACACTGGAAGACGAACCAGACGAATGTATCGATGTTGATGATGATGACGACGACGACGACGACGATGATGATGATGATTCCGTGTCCAGCAAAAAGTCTAGCAAGAAATCCAAGAAGGACTCGAAAAAGTCTAGCAAAAAAGGAGCCAAAGTGGACTCCGCAGCTACCGTCGATACCGCATCGCTGTCCAAGGCTGCTGGACTACCAGGCTCTGGAGAAAGCACATTCGGTCGTCATGCTGGAATGGCACCAATGTTGTTTGCCTTTGCATTTTTGGCGTTGGTCAGCGTATTCTATCGCCGACGCAACCGTGGGCAGGGATACCGTTCCATTCCCACTACCACTGCACAATTGGAGTGCTGATTTTAATTTGCGAGTTCTATCATAGTTGTAACGCATGTAAGGATATATTTGATGATAGGTTAGGGCACAGTACAATACCAGTACTGTATGATATGGAAAATGGGGTCTTCAACATCTTGACTATGGACATCAAATTTTGTGACCAACTCGTCCAATGGGATGTCTGTACGTCCTTCTTCCTACATTCCATAGAAGGAAACCCGGAGTTTGAAATAAGCTCTTCCATGTGGAAGAATGCGTTCCGTAGAAGTTCTACGCGGACAGATCCCTTCTCCTCAAGTCTCAACTTGATGGCAAATCTTTTTCTTCCATCAGAGGATATAGACACAGTTCGGATAGTGCCAATAGCAACGACAACAACAGTAGCAAGCTTGTTAAAGAAGTAAACAAACTGAGTATCATCATGATGAAGAACCTTCATGTGCTTCTCTTGCTGAGCAGCATCACACAGCTAGCAATCGGCTTTCAGTTTATGAAAAATTGGAAGATGCCATCACGAAATTTGGATAAAAAGATGGTCCAAAAACGATTCGGTGACAAGAGTAAGTGTGATATTACATAATATGTTGTGTTGTGTTGTGTGGGGTAATCGTAAAGCACAACTCGAGCTGGTAGTGGTTCTTTCCTTTTCTCCTATTGACTTTGGACAGATTGATTGACTTACTTACTCACTCTTTCATTCATTCATTCATTCCTTTGCCTTTGATTCTTCGTTTTGTTCTCAGAACTAATTGTCTTGACGGATGCGGATTCCGATCTCGGAAAACAAACGACAAGAGACTTGCTGGCAACGGGCGAATATCACGTTATCGGAGGTGTCTCCAGTATTGAATCTTCAACTGCGGAACAAAGTTTCGAAGACTTTACTCCCATGGAATGTGATTTGGATTCCTTTGATTCGGTCCGCAACTTTTGTTCGTTCATTGAGGACTTTCGCTTGACCAAGCCAGTCGATCGTCTGGTATGCCTATCTGCAGCTGAGAGCGACAAACTACAGTGGACCAAGGACAATCACGAACAAACCATTCAACGAAATGTACTTTCGCCATTCCTAATGACAGGTCTATTGCTGGAGGGCATGGACGGGAGTTTTGATGCCCGGTGTACCTTTGTTTCACCCAAGAGCAATTCAAATGTTGGCATTAGCACCAAGCTCGAGTTGAAAGGTTTAAAAGATGGATTCTTCAAGATACCAATGTTGGATGGGAGCCAAGACTTTAATTCGGAAAAGACCATTTCGGATGCCAAGCTTTGCCAAAAGTTGCTCAAGACCTATTTGCATGAGAAGTATCACAAGCTGAATCACGTAACCTTCAGTGACATTACTCTGCCAGCTAGCAGCAATGATGCTAGCAAGTGTCTCTTTGATGTGATGCAGAGTCCAAAGGCAAGCACGTCCGCATCAGGTGAATCTTGGATGGCAAAAGAGGAAACCGATGGTGATACCATCTCCATCCAACTGGACAAGAATCCAATTTACAACAAGGCTATTGATATTGACAAGGCACATGAACTCTTTGAACTTGCCGAACAAGCCACAGGAGCCTATTGGCCAAAAGTCAAGGTGGTCACAAGCCCATGCCCAACACTCAAGGTCGTGGGTGCTGTCACCAAGGCTCAAGTGCAAAAGCAAGAACTCAAGCGTATGCGGGAAATGGGCCGTCCAGGCATCTCTGAACCAGAAGTGGAGGTGGCCGGTGATACGGCAAGTGGCAGCAAGAAATCAAGAATGACCAAGCGCCAAAAGGTTGCCAATGCTGTGGACAAGGTGGCTACCTTTGTCTTTTCCAAAACCGTCAAACCAGTCGCCAAGACTGCAACTTCCAAGCTTTTAGGAGAATTCCCTGACGAAGCCTTGAATAATTACATTGAAAAGGTTCCCGAGGAGGATGTTGCTGAGTTGGAAAAAGAGATGTTCCGACAAATGTCGAAAGAGGCCTCTCAGAAGAAATTGCAGACCGACAAGAGTAAGAACACTATTTATGCTTCTGTTCTATTGTGAAGCAATGTTTCCATCCATTCTAACCCATTTTTATTATTGTGATTGTTATTATCATTATTATCTTCTACAGAACTGGTGGTGTTGACAGGAACTTCCTCTGGGCTTGGAAAGAAGGCTGCTTTGGCAATGCTTCGATCTGGTGAATACCATGTCATTGGCGCCGTGCGAGACTTGGACAAGATGCAGGCCGTGGCCGAAATTGATGGCTTTCCCAAGGACAGCTTCACTCCCATGTACTGCGAGATGAATTCATTCGAGTCGGTCCGCGAATTTTGTGACAATGTCGACAAGTTCCGCGGAGATCACCCTATTGATCGTCTCGTCTGTAATACTGGTATCTACCAGCCTTCCCTCCGTCACGCCAAATGGAGCATGGATGGTCACGAACAAACCATGCAGACCAACTTCCTGTCGCACTTTCTCATGATCTCCAAGCTCATGCCATCCATGGTCAAGTCCGACGATCCTCGAATTACCATGGTCGGTTCCGTTACTGGAAACGACAATACTGTTGGTGGTGGTGGTGTTTATCCCATTGCTGATCTTCACGATTTGGAGGGACTTGAAGCTGGATTTGCCAATCCCATTGCTATGGCTGACGGGTATGGTTTCATTGGAGCAAAGGCCTACAAGGATTCCAAACTGTGCTTGATGATTCTAGCCAACTTTTTGCATGCCAAGTATCACAAGTCTACGGGCATTGCCTTTAGCAGCATGTACCCTGGATGTATTGCCGAGTCTCCTCTCTTTCGTGAAAAGAGAGCCTGGTTCCGCGCTTACTTTCCTATCTTTATGAAGTTCATCACTGGTGGATTTGTGGGAGAACACGAAGCTGGCCAACGCCTCTTTCAAGTCGTTCACGATCCTCGATGTGCTGGAGAAAAGTCTGGAGTCTATTGGTCTTGGAATGGTGGTCCACGTGAAGGTCGTGGTGCCGAGGCATTGGAAAAGGAAGGTCAAATCTCGGGCGGAGGTGGTGCCGGTGGTGGCTGGGATTCCATCTTTGAAAACGATCAATCCGGAAAAGTTCTAAGCTTGGAAACTGGTTTCAAGCTGTTCGAGCACGCCACAGCCATTACTGGAGCCGAATGGCCATCTCCAGCGTCTAACGTTTGGTCTGGAGAAGCATCTTCTATGGAAGAGATGGTGCAAAAGAAGCGCGAGGAAGTGGCGGATGTCATGCATGCGCTCAACTTGCAATCAGACAGCACTACTCCACAACGATTAGCCGAAACGATATGAGGGGATTGCCTGGAAATAGATGAGATGCTGGTTTAGATTATGTATGGCAGCCTCTATTTTAGAATACTTTCTCAGTTACAGCTACTCTTTTATTACTGTTCTTCAACCAGTCATTCAAGGTTTCTTCCGGTTGAATTCCAATGGAATTTTACAATTTCGTTTCATCGCCGCGAACGCGATTGGACTTTTCACAAAGACTTTCTGTACCGGTGTAGGTATCGTAGTCATCATGTTTAGTTGCTTCGCCGGATTTTTCAACTAAAGAAATTTACCATGAAAAGCAGATACGACGGTGTTTTGACTTTTTATGTAATGCAGTCCCATTTCGAATACGGCATATTTCTTTTTCTTTCTTCAACGAGGAGTCAGTCATTGGATGTCTTTTCCGGTTTAACTTTTACACCGTGGTTTAGCACCCAAAGATTTTTCATCCTTCGCCTCAAGTCTTTGTTCGTCATCATGTTTCACATATTATTCCAGGTTTTCCACTGTGATTCGGCTCAATTCCGTTGGAACACCAAAATCTCGATCGGACGTTTATTATTTCGGAAGTCGAACAAACATTTGAACAAAAAGGTCGTGTCCATGTCACAACGGAACCGGCGACTCTTTTACCCCGCCGGGTTCACAGTTCCTGTTCTATATATGACATCAGTACAGGGACGTTACACGGAGGTCAATCAATTACAGTACCTTCGCGACCTTTTATGCCATCCGGCGACATCCTCCCAAACATTTCGAACCTGCTTCACGGTACTGGCCCATTATAATACCGGTATACCATCACGACAATCAATCCTCGAGTCGAAACCAAACATCCAACAGAATGACGAGTTCCAGATCAAACAATAAAGCAAGATCCTCAAAGAAGCAATCCACGAAACGTGTTGTGTCAAGCGTTCCGTCGACAAAGAAGTTTCAATCGTCTCACTTGATAACTGAGTCATTTCGATCCATGGATACGGAAGAAGAGATGCAGCATTTCCGAATCAATGGTGAATCGTCCACAGGAGGTAGGACGCTAGAGCAACGCCTACAGCAACGTGATGCCACGGACGAAGCATTCATGTCTTATTCGGTTGCGGAAAAGTCAGCCATTCGGATACAACAAAACTTCCGACTGAAGAAACTGAAACGGCAGCAAGAACATGACAAACAACATGGTATGGAACCGGAGACAACGGATTCGGAAGAAGAAGATGGAACGACAATCAAGGAAAACGATGTCGATCAGATGCATCGGGTCACTGTCATATTTCTGGGATTGTTGGCAATTTGGCAATTTGCCCAAAAGTGCATCTCGTGCTTTTGTAATGACAGCAGTGCCGAGGCCGAAATCCGAGACATTATCATTGATGAAGGCGTTGATGAAGGTGCCGATGCTCTTGGAGTCATGGCTGTACAGGCCGCTTCCAGTGCTGGAGATGGTACGAATTTTACTAATTTTGTTGCTGAATTGCATCATTCAGTCAGTCAGTCAGTCAGTCATTTGGATATGTTTCTAACCACGGACTTTATCTTTTGTTTCCTTTTTGTTACGCAGGCGCTGCTTCGGGGCTCACTGCCGTTACAATTCCAGTTGGTGGCCCAATCGGAGGTCCATTTGGAGCCCCTGGTGGTGGAGGACCGGAAGTTGTTGCAGCGCAAGTAGCAGTTGCAGCTGGTATGGCTGGAGCGATTGCTGGTGCGGCCAGTGTCATTGCTTCCGGTGGGGTACTAGTCCCGCTCAATACTACTGCTGTTGGATTCACAAATCGTTGTGGTTTGCCCAATCCAGCTGTCCGAGAAGGCCAATTCAGTCTAACGTTCAAGGGTTTTGATCGAATATTCGATGCTCGAGAATCACTTGTTGTGGAAAACCTGATCGTGGAAGCCTACAATGAAATCACCGTTGGAGATAGCCTGGAGATCGATGGTGTCTGTGCCGATCCAATCGCGCGCGAAATGCAAGCTTTGGCCCTTGTGGATCAGATTTTGCAGTCCTTTGATGATGAAGGGGTACAATTTTCAGCAGTGGAAACCATTTTCAATGCAACTCTGACGTGCGATCAATGCTCGGCCTACCAGCCCTTGTTCTCTTTGGAACAAGAAGAGGAGGTGGTGGCAGAAGAAGAAACTCTGGAAGAAGAAGAAGAATTGGATCTTGATAGTCTACCTGCTTTCACAAACACGTCAGCCGTTCGTCTCCGCCGTCAAAGAAGGTTGAAGAACCAAATCTTCGAAACGAGCAGGCAATTGCAAGGCTTTGACTTTGAAAGCATTGAATTCTTTCAAAGATTGATTCAGTTGGTAGTCTTTAAGATGGAGGCACTAAGCAAGAGCGGGGAGCTGGTGGGAGGTTTCATTGAGATCAACAAGGCCTATGTTATTCCCAATTCAGAAGAAGGGGGCGAGGTTCTAAAAATGGACGTGACCTATGTAAGCAAGGGCGAGAATGGTTTGTTTAACTTCAACTATATCGACGAGGAGACTGGTGAAGAAATGTCTACCTCAGTGCTTGTCGATCCTTCGGATTTGAACCCTATTCAAACTACCGCACCTTCCTTGGCTCCCCCCGATAGTCCCAACCAAGCACCTCAGGCACCGCAAGCTCCAACAATAGGTGGCGACATGCCCGCTGGAACTCCAACAATAGATGGCGACATGCCCGCTGGAACTCCAACGATAGGTGACGACGCACCAGCTGACACTCCAACGATAGGTGACGACGCACCAGCTGACACGCCAACGATAGCGGACGACGTGCCAGCTAACACTCCAACAATAGTTGACGACATGCCGGCTGTCACTCCAATCCCAATTGAAGAAAATACCATAAGCGCGGCTCCGTCCATGGAAGATACTACTGCAAGTGAGGCTCCGTCCATCTCGGTCAGCCTGGAACCAACCATCAGTTTGTCAGAACAGCCAACTAAGGAACCTATCAATTTCTCGGGACAGCCAACCGATTTTCCATCCCCGAAACCATCCATGCGTCCATCGGTTGTTCCATCAGACACCCCAAGCCAGTTGCCCAGCAGATTACCCAGTGATGCCCCGAGCGCCAGCCCAAGTAATGTGCCCAGTGGTTCGCCAAGTCGATTGCCCACCGAGTCGCCCAGTGTTCAACCAAGCTTGTCCATGGTCCCCAGTAGAACTCCTTCTGGAGTGCCTTCTGGCAGCCTGGTTCCATCGGTGTCTCCAAGCGAGAATCCAACCAATGAACTATCCATGAGGCCAAGCAGAAGTGTAATGCCATCCAATCTTCAATCTGCTGGACCTTCCCTTTCCAATGCTCCCACTACGAAACCTTCTCGCGTGCCAAGCAGCACTCCGTCGACTGACACGCCCAGTAGGATTCCATCCATGCGTCCCAGTATTTCCCCCAGTACTGCTAAGCCATCAGAGAATCCATCCGTCAGCTTCCAGCCTTCGACCAATCGTCCAAGTGTTTCTCCCAGCACCTCTCGACCATCCGTGAATCCAAGTGTTTCCATGACACCCTCCAGGCGACCGGTTGCACCAGTCCATCCAAATAAAAACTAATATCATATATTATTATACCGTATACAAGGTGTTCTCAAGAACTCTATCGTGAGATTATAGCCATTACTTTTTTTGCAATAGGAACCATACTACTGTACTGCTGTGCGTCGATCATTGATCGATTGGTCTGTTCATGATCATTGGGTGCTGGTATTCTTGGCTTCCACCGGCTACAATCCTGTGAGACCATTTTCTGTTTTATTAAGTGGAAATAAGGTTGCGTTGCCGATCAGCTATTGTAATTGGACGCTTCCCAGTGCTGTCACATTGTATCCATATTAGATTGGCGCTTCGCTAATCTGGTTCTTTGTTTGGTACAAATACGATTTAGTATCCTGCATGTGAGCAAGAACAAGAATTTTTCTCGCACCTGTTTTAGGGGGAGCTCTATGTATGATAATGCGTGAAATAACATCACATCGTTTATCAACCAAGATTCTTTTGTATTCTTCAATATTCGTGTACGACATAAATGTCCCGATGAGCCCTGGTCGGGAGCTCTTGACGAAGCTTGATCTTGCTTCGAGAACGGAGAAGGAGCGTAGAACAGAAGGTGAACATCCTTCATGTTCAATAACATGTGATTTTTTTATAATTCGACAAGAGAGGCAAATTTGTCGGGATTTTTTGGTCCGCGGGGGAGCCGCAGATTATGAAAAATAACATTATACCAGTGATAGAGCGATTGCACATAAAAACGCTACTTGCTGACTGGAATGTATCTTTGATCCTTGTTTTATCGTTCCAGTTAGTTATCATAGTTGAAGAAAGAGACCAAGACAATCGCCGTCAATACTACTTACTTCAGCAATATACTGATAGCAATACTAGGTTTCATACCTGGAAAACCTACCTTTTACTCTGAAATTCTTAACAAACAAACATCAGATTCCAGCATATACAGAGCTCGCCGATGAATTACTTGCCTTCCCTTCGCAAAGATGCAGCAAAAGACTCCATGCTCATGATGCTAATGGGAATGAACAATGTTACTGCTTTCGAAACGAAGAATGGGGCCCCGCCGAACCCAATGGAACCCACACCGTTGTGTCAACCATCATCATCATCATCATTGTCCGCTTCGCTACCTGTAACCAGTAGCTCCTCCTCCTGGATGATGCAAGCGAACAATGGGATTCCTCAAGATGCCGTCGACCCAAAGGCAGTGGATTCCTTGATTGCCAAGGAAATGGCAGTACTGACACCCAAAGAACGGGAGCAATCCTATTTGGACGTTCATGGGATTTCCGAAGCGGTAGAGGAAACACCGCAGTTGATTGAAGCTAGTCAGCAAGCCATGGAACTGGAGATACTGAGGCAACAGGATCACGATCGGAAAGCTTATGATTTGGCTGCCTTTATGAATCGATCCTATGTAGAAGATGCCAAGTTGCGTTTGTGCTTTTTGAGAGCGGAAATGTTTGATCCCAAAAAGGCAGCCCTACGGTACATTCAGTTTTTTGAGGCGAAACTGGATCTCTTTGGAAAGGATTTGCTGACCATGGACATTACGCAAGACGATTTTGAACAAGAAGACATGGATGCTTTATATTCCGGGTACGCACAATTCCTTCCGGACCGTGATTGTGCAGGAAGAGCAATCAACTTGTGGATTTCCAACAGTACACATGAGAGCTCTAGCACCAAAGCAATGGTACGTATACAGTGGATGAACGACACTGCAACTAGGTTCTTTCTTTTAAAATATTGTAAATGCTAACATCATTCATCCTTCTTTTGCCTTCAACCACAACCCACAGTTACGGCGCGAATTCTATAGAGCAATGATTGCTTGCCAAGACGAACAAACTCAGAAACATGGCTGCGTGACGATATGTTACTTTTTGGGCCATGGGCAAGGTCCCAAATATCGTTTCGACCACCGATGGACTTTGTCCAAGCTGAGTGAAATACTTCCCGTCCGAGTGGCCGCCATTCACTTGTGCTATGACAATCGCATCTGGATGCCCGTCCATGCGTTCATGAAGGCATCCCTCAACCTTTTTACACGCATTCGACTTCGGACCCATTATGGACCCCATGAGGATTGTTTGGCCAGTCTGCAGGGTCATGGAATCCCTCCCGGTGTCTTGCCAGTCAATGCTGGTGGAGTCTTACAGAATGCCGAAGCTTACAAGACATTTTTGGAACAGGAACGCAAAAAGGAACGCTTGTCCAATCCTCCCCGTGTTCGGATCATGGTGCCCAGTCCCAACGATGTTCTCTTTGGCAAGGGAACCCCAGTGCAGAACCATGTGGGCAACAAGAAACTCCGACGCTTGGTCATGGACTGCCAAAAGTCCTACGAAAAGGCCGAAAAGGGTACCAAAATTCTAGTGGCCCAAGAGATTGTCGACATTGTCTTGGAATCTTCGGGACGTTTCTTACGACCTGCGGACAATGGGATGCCGTCTGCCTTTTCGGAAGCATCATCTGATGATAATACTAATGGGAACAACAACAACAACAACAACAATAACAGTATCGCCAACAATGGTGTCACGGGATATGGATGCAGTTGGATCAATGTGGACAATGAATCGGCACGCACCAAAGTAAGTGCTGCCTTTCGTACGTTACGATGGAAGGCCAAGAAGTAGGCTAGTCCTGCAGCTACTGCAGTAGTCCTTTGGGTCCGTCCTCATGGATCATGGAATGAGCTGATCACGCTGAGGATCTTGGATGACTTCAATGCTTAATTACGATAAGAACAATTTTGAACATAGAAATCCCATCCTTGCGAAGCTTGATAATTGGAATGACAAATGACTCATCGTAACTGGTACTGGTATCCTTACTGGTACTCTTGTCTTCGCTTTCATGCACTTGCAAGTCGCAGAGCTACTGTACCGTACAGTACGGTAGCTCAGGGGTCCCGGATAAGTTGAACAATTCGACTAGCGCATATCGGACAATAACAGGTGTCCGATTATTTTCAAATCGCATTGCTCTACTGTGCGCTGACAGGGCGATTTTGAAAATGAGATCGAGCACTACTGGTAGAATATGAAAACAAAAGTACCAGGGCGTTGATTGATGCTTTTATTTATGCGGGATTGGTATTGCACTGGATATGTCCACTTCGAATAGATCACCTTATCCAACACGGAGTCGTAGTCGTCGTCTAGCACAAGAGCAACGTCACGGCGAAGAAGAAGACGACGACGAGGCTGACGAATCCATGAGAATGCCGGACGAAACCACTACGCCCACTGCGGCTGATGGACACGAGGCTAGGCACCGAAATCGTGGCCTTTACACTCCTAGCATGCCTTCTGGTGCAACTCCGGATGCCCCCAATGTCAGTGCTCGTGCGGATCGGATCAATCGATTGCCCCGAACATCCCTAGGATCTGTTGGAAGTGCGGGAAGTGGAAGCTTTCGTCTCGGCCAAGGTCTCCTGCACGCACGGTTAAGTCCAATGAATGCGAGCAGTGCGAATGCTGCTGGCAGTGGTGGTAACAACGCGTCGATGCAGCAGCAACAGCAACTGTCCACCCCGTCCATATCTCCAGCATCCACTTCATCCTCCATGTCCTTTTCCATGCCTTCCTCTGTGTCCGCAAATAAGCCCAAGCGATTCTTTCCTGCCGTTCCAACAACGCGGGAAGCTGAATCGGAGCAAGAAGCAGATATGCATATTGATGTACCCAGCCAAAAACAACAAAAGGCGATTATTGGAAAGGAAGAGTATTTGGATGGAATGCCCATTCATCAACTTCGATCGCTTGCTCAACAACAGCATTCTGCTAAAATATCTGTATTTTATGCTGGCATTGTCTTTGCCAAGACACAAAAACCGTCGGATGCCTATCTATATGCCTCCTTGCTGGTGGAAAATAAGGAATACAAGCGAGCCGTCCGACTCTTGGAAACCAATGGATTGCTGCATTACACCTATTCCAAAATCAAACCACTGGCGTCCGCTTCTAGTATTGGCGCGCAGGCACTCATTCTTCCAGCTACACTTTTGGCTGCTCGGGCCTTGTCTCATTTGGAAGAATGGCAATCCATGTTGACCCTTTTGGAAGACAATATTTTGTACACTACCTTGGCCAACTTGACTGCCAATCTGTCTCAAACTGCACAACATGCGGGACTAGTGTTGGAAGACGATGATGACATTGCCTGGATGGCATTGGGAGAACAAGTCCTGCAATATCAGCAGCAACAACAACAACAACAGCAATCACAGCAAGGATCCAACGGCTACGGTGGTACTCTGCCTCCCATGAATGAGATTCATCCGCTAGCCTTGCTTTTGAATTTGCGAGCGACCGCGTATTCGAAAACAGGACATCCCCTTCGGGCATCCATCTTTTGGAGAAAGACGCTGCAACTGGATCCCAAGTGTGTTCCTGCCTTGGACGGGTATCTGGAGTCGACATCTGTCTTGGATTCTCAGTCGGCTTTGACACCACAGCAATTGGTGGACTCTCTTTCATTTCCGCCTCATTTTGAATTCTTGAAGGATTTCTATTTGGCCAAGTTGCTGGGTGGGATTTCGTCTCGTGGGAATGCTAAAGATGACATCAATAAAATGGATACTACACAAAATTCCACTCCCTTTTGGCATGACGAAACTTCGAGTATCCAACTCACGTCACCCAGGAATGCATTGACGCCCAACAATCAGAATGATACTTTGGATTTCAGCATATCCGCGAGGTCCATGGATTTCAAATCGCACGGCAAAGCGAAAGAAGATGGCAAAAATGAAAACTCTAGTGCCTTGGATCAGTTATGGACAACCCACAAATTGCAAAAGTCGTCCGAGGTCCTTGCAATGGCAGCCGAAAAGGCATACCAGCAACACGATTTTCGCAAGGCCCTCAAGTTTTGCGAAGAGCTTTCCAAACTGGACCCGCTCTGTCCCACTGCTGGATACACCTATGTCGCTACTTTGGTCAGTCTTCAAAAGAAACGACCTCTCTTTTCACTTGCTCATGAGTGGGTAGATGCCGCTCCCAAATCAAGCAAGGCATGGTTTGCTGTGGGTGCCTACTACTATGCCTGTCAACGTTACCATGTCGCACAACGACATTTCTGTCGAGCTACTCGTCTGGACCCTCATTCTCCAGAAGCTTGGATTGCCTTTGGAACTTCGTTTGCCATGTGCGATGAGAGTGATCAAGCTCTGGCCAGTTTTCGGGCCGCCCAACGGCTCAGTCCAGGGGATGCCACTTCATTACTCTACATTGGTATGGAATATCTGCGGACCAATCATCTGGTGCTGGCGCATCATTTTTTGCAAGCGTCACACCACGCCAATCCTCACGATCCTTTGGTCTGCAACGAGATTGGAGTCTTGTACATGACGACTAGTTTCCAAAATACCGACTATGATGTTACGCCAACTCAAAAGTATGAAATGGCCATTGAATGGCTAACGAAAGCACTGGTACTGGCCACTGGCCATGTCAGCTTACCGCGGGGAGACAATGAACAAAACGAAGAAGTTACTACCCTTATGGAATTGTTCCAGTCGACCTCGCTGCAAACCATGTCAAACGGTACCTACTGGGAACCCACACTCTTCAACTTGGCTATTGCGCATCGCAAACTGAAAAATTACAAGGTGGCAATTGAATGTTTGACGGTTTGTCTGAGCTGGAAGGAATCGGCCAGTGCTTACGCCGCTCTGGGATACTGTCATCACTTGAAACATTTTTCGAAACAAACCAAATCGGATCATTGGTCCTACGCCGATGAGGAGGATGACAGCACTGGAGGACATCATATTCACATGGCCATTGAACATTATCATCAGAGCCTGTCTCGCAAACCAGATGATCCATTTTGCACGGAAATGCTGCAACGGGCTCTATCCGACGCCTTGGAGGAACAAGTGTTCCTTCCTCCAACCGATGATGAGACTGTGGTTCGCGATAAGGATGACGATAAGTTGGAAATGAACAAGATGCAAAATCGTGCCTCGGCAGCAGCCGCATCAGCAATGACTCCAACAAACAACAATGATCAGTCATCCATGATGCTCACTGTAAATGATGATGGTGGATTTTCATTCTCCATTGATCAAGATGATGACAGCGACGTAGAAATGGGGTAAAACTAGAACTAAAATACATTGAACATGATGGGACGGTGCGAAACGGCGGTTTATTCGCTATCGTAGTACCATTCTTCTTCCCACATCGAATTGTATTTGGTATTTATTGCAGCGCCTCGTAAAAGTGTTCAATGTCCGAGTGACATCCTTGGACAATGCAGGTCGATGAATGAATGAACCGATTGGATGCCCGCCGTGGCCTCATGATTGACATCACACCCGGCAATTGCCAGCTTCTTCTATTAATAAACCCTCGTTCATCTTCCAGGCAATGAGATAAGACCTTCCTTTTCTTTTGTCTGGATGCACTTGGACAACCAATCGGACGGCAGCGAGGAGCAGGTACCAGCCTTGGCAAGGCTCTTGCCGTTTTCATCCAACGCGACAGAGCAAGCTCGAAAGGCGCAGACAGCCTTAGCCAACGGCGAAGACAATGTTTTGGATTTGACGGGAGCAGAAACAAAAGGCTTGCCTACGAGTCCCAACTGTCCATCGCCACCCTTGCCAAACCCGTAGACATTTCCATTGTTGGCAAGTACCAGCGTATGGTCACCACCCAATGCCACATCTACGAGCCGAGCCTGTGGATCCTTTTTGGCTATCAGATCAGTCACATGGATAGAAGGAGTAAATCGCTCGTGCCATAGTTTGCCCCCCTTCCAGGTGTAGCCAGTAGAACCACCCTCCGAAGATCCCAAACCCAACTGCTGCCAGCGATCGCAACCAACCGTCCACAATTGCTGAGTCTGTTGCTTACCACTGGCGGTAGCTGATGTCTGTTCAATCAATAATGCGGAATGGCCAGTATCCTTATCACAGCCATGGCTGACATAAGCCTTGACGATGCGTCCATTTGCATTCTTGATGGGTAGTACTATTCGACACGGTTCTTTCTTTGGGGAATCTTCAGAGTTGGTTGGACGTCCCAATTGACCGACTGCATTGGATTTCCCCCAGGAATAAGCAGCACCATTTCCATCTATCCCAATCGAGTGCCTGGGTCCTTTGGCAATATAAACAAAAGAAGATTCGCCATTATTCGATTTCGAATTTTCGTTGTCCACTGGATATGGAGGAGGAGTCATCGCTTGGTTGGAAACTATTGGTCGTTTGACTTTCTTTTCACTCACTCAATGCCAATCAATTCTTCGCAGTCTCGTTTGTTGTGCCTGCAAATGATTCTTGTTGTTGTATTATTTGATGTGATGTGCGTTGGAGATGCATCACGTGGCACATAATAAAGGACTGACTTAGCTTCCATTCAATTGGGAGTTTGTTTTTCGTTCAAGTGAAAATCTCGAACAAAGTTGTCAAATGCCACTCGCATGGGGTTTCCCTCTGTCTTGTTGACACTTAGAATCTCATCCAGGAACATGATAGTCCAGTTCTTGTCGTTTCCTTTCATGCCTCTTGGCAGCCCAGCATCCTTCAAGAGGTCGGTGGCCTTGTCCGGCCCATGCGTTTGCACAAATCCATCCACCCATGGACGAATATTGTCGTCCGTATCGTCACCCTCTTTGGCCTTGAAAGCCCATCCTTCAAAAGAACGTTCTCCGCCTCTTCTAGAGTCATCACGGAAGGAATAAGCTAGAAAAGAAGCAATCATATATATAATTTTGTGTGTGTGAGCCCTCTTGTTGCCATGGAATAAAATTATTCAACTCAATAGAGCACGTACCTTCCCAGCTCCCCAGGTAATGATTAATCCGCAGAGCACTCGACCATTCATCCTTCCAGGGCGCTGAACATATCGATTTGATTGGACGGTGCAAGGACTGAATCTTTGGAAACTTGTCTATTCGCGAAACATCCAGAATACTCTTGGAGAGTCCATTCTTGACAAAGTCTTGTCGTTCGGCATGCAATCGAAACCTCAGCGTATCCAGTCGAAAGGGATCGATTTTCAATGATTCTGGGATTCCATGTTTTCGTTCTTCTTCACTGGATTCCTTGGAACCAAACTGCAATCGTGGACACGAGATACAAGCCCCTTGGAAAAAGGGTGTCCCTGCCTTTTGTTCCGTTCGAATAAATTTGAGCAAGGCGCCTTCTTCGCCTGTAGTAGGCGGAACGGAGGATGGTAGAACCCGTGTCTTTCCCTTGTAGATTGGTATCTTGCGAGTAATTTGTTTTCGCTTCTTTTCCCAAGCTTCAAACTGGTCGCCACCCTTGTAATTGTAAGTAATGTATTCATCGGTATCAATCAAAGTCGTGTAGGTTCGATTCTGTGCCTTCATTCTTCTGAGACATGCTTGATAAAAGTTCTTTTGACGCATCCGATGCCGGTCCCGTTTGATTTGCAAGTCTTGGTCATCTCCAATCTTGTTGGAGGCAATGTCCTTGCGCATGAAATTGAAATCGTCCCATTCTTCGACGTAGACTCCCATGGTTCGCCAGCGATTCAAAATTGCAGTGGGAGACGTTTTGCTTCGGGGATCCACGGCAATGACCAAGTACCTTAACGGCAAGACGTGATAATGATAGGCCATCCCTATAATGTTTGAATAAGAAAAAGTAAGCAAATGTGTGAGAGAAAGTAGAAAGTAGAAAGGGAGACTTGGATCAGATGTTCGCTTCTTTTTTCACTTACATTCTACGAGCCGATGATTATCATCCATTACCAACAAGCAGGCAGAAAAGGATTCCGACCCAATGGTCGGTTCTGGATTGGGAATTGGATCTTCCACTGCTACGCTTTCGTGATCTTCGACTATTGCTGCCGGCTCTTTTTTGCCTGCAGATTTGAAAGCATGGAGCGAAGATTCAATGGCAGAAGTAGTTTGTGGATGTGTGGCATCTTGATCATTACTACCGATGCTGTCATAGGCATGCAAGAGACCCCTCATTTGAAGAAAGCTGCATACCGAAATGCCCAACAAGACAAGGAAAACATAGCTCAATGCACTTGTCTTTTTGGCTTTCTTATTCGGTGAAGTGGGAGGCTTTTCAATCATTTTCAACAATGATGAGATTCAGTGACCTTATTCCTTTGCATGACAATCTACAAGTTGAAAGTGTATGATGAGCGAAATAAGTATTAGATGATGATGATGATGATGATGATGATATTGATTGTCGCAGATAATAATGATGAAGGTGAAAAACGTCGTGTGTCTTTGCGGTCTGTCTGTCTGTCTCGCTTATATTCCTTTTGGCCTTTGCATTACGCGCGATGCGCTGCGCATGCAATAGAAAGTGGTTTATTGACTCGCACTCCACCGACCAAAAATACCGAAGATTCTTCACCATCTCTTCTCTTCGCGTTATGACACCTTTTCCGCTATTTTTTTTTTAATTTATGTCGAATGTCCTCAAACCGCATGACCGAATGGTATAAAAGTGATGACTACTACCACTACCCAAGATGAAAAGGAAGGTCGGACTCCGATAGAGACTGCTGAAGAGTTGAAAGAAATCCTAGCAAAACTTGAATTGGAATACGAGAAAATCAAGGAGCGAGTTGGCAAAAACGCCGCCAATGTAAGAGAATTGCAACACAAACTTCCAAAGGAAGAAAAAGAGGAGGTCGCCAGTGATGAAGGAGAGAGCTGGAGAGTCATTGGAAGCGGTGAATTCACGGACGAGCCCAAAACGGAAGAAAATATCTTTGAACTTCCTAAAGATGTGTATTCCTTCATGGCGACATACTCTTGGAAATCCAATCCCTTTTGGTTGGCCTTGATTGTCGTGTTTGGTCTTCAGTTTGTCTTGCTGTTTTTGTTGCTGGCCAACCAAACAGACTTCCAATCGGACAATCCTCTTCAATTGCCAGAAAATGTTGAGATATCCGTCCGCGTCAGTCAAGTCTTGCTGATGGTCATTGCCATGTTTCAACAAGACGACCTGTTGGTTGGAATCGAAACATTGGTCGAAGGACCACCTTTAGTCTTTCTTGGAAAAGAGAAATTCAAACACTTGTCCAGAATCCAATGGAACATATCATGCCTGATTCGAATGGCGACGGGTATTCTTGGATTGCTCGCTGCGTTTATCTTGTCGATTCAATCCAGCACTGTCTTTGATGTGGTTCTAAATGTCTTGGGAGTGGAATTCGTTTCCAACCTGGATAATGTAGCATTTGATCTTGCATGCAAAGGATACTTTGGTCGCTACGCCAAGATAGCAACCCAAGATGTCAGTGAGGCTACCTTTCATAGAGAGAAGCACCAAGCTTGGATCAAGCGAGTTTTGCACATTATCATTGCTCTGTCGGTTTTGTCCTTGATATTGGCCGGATTGGTGTTTATCTTTTATCGACAGGATTCGAATTTCTTGTCGATTCGGGAAATTCAAGTGCAGTTTGACGATGACATTGTGCCCTTTCTTGGGCTCTTCAGTGGTTGTTACACGGCCGTGGAGAATAGCAGGCTCCGGTATTTTGGAGATCGTCGTCTTTTCTATGTACAAGACGGCTTCCCACAGGGAGGTAAATTTGGATTCTGTTCCAGTTTTGACAATGGAGAAAGTGGTTGGACATTCTTTGTAGGTGACTTTCGCAATCCTTGCGGGTCTTATCTTATGCGATCGGAGGATACCCAAACGTTTAGTATTCTGGAGGCAGCGGAGACATTGGAATGGTTCACAGCAGGAGAGGAAGAAGAACCTGTTGGCCATATTGAAATTTCTGAAATGACAAATCGAGCAGATGATTGTGGGCATACGTATTTCGAAGCCTCCTTCGAAGCTTGTCCCGTGATCCAGGCTCTTGGCTCCATCTCCTTACACAAGTTGATAGGTACCAATGTTTCGGATAATGACTCCGTTACTCAAATCGAAGAAATAAGGGAGCGGGGCGTTTTGGATCCTGCTGTAGCCCACGCAATCTACTACGGTGAATCCGATTCGGCACCTGTTGGTGTCTATGACTTGATCTTCTTTGCCGGTCGGCGATGGATCTGGACCACAACGGACAACATTCCTGGGTTGCAGAATGCCACAAGCCCATCCAAAATCACAGACTACTTTTACAGTCCTACAGAAGGGAGTAGCTCCCTTGGACTATTCCGCCTTGTGGAGAGCCTATTGGCAACTGGGGGGAACCAGTGGGTTCGCTTCATGAGCGAACCTGTCGATGCCGATACCGAATCGCCTCTAGGACTGGAGTGGTTTTACCCTCTTTACAACGACGAGACATTGGGTGCTAACGCTAACGACGACTCGGCTTACTCCAGCATTATTCCAAAAATGGCTTTTCCTCCTCCGGACACGAGTCGACTCTTGGACTCCGAATCGAGTCCTAGTTGCCAATTTTGCGATTTATTGAAGAACCCGTGCTTCTTTGATGGCGAGTGCAATGAGCAGACGGGTGTATGTAATTGTCGACATGGTGCAACTGGTGCCTTATGCCGGGATAGGCCTTTGGCAAATGGAATTTGCAATCTATTTTTCAACTCTGCGGAACACGACTACGATGGCGGTGATTGCTGCGCCTCCACTTGTACAGGGGCATTCTGTGGGCAAGATGATGTTCTCGATCCTTATGTAAGGGGCGTGCCTTCCTTCAATTGGTTGGATGCTTCCGATAGTGGTGACATGTTTGAAATCACGAGCAAAGATGACGAATGGATTGAGCAAGTTGAGGGTACAACAATTGCATTTGGGGTTAATGTGACTGCTAATCTGACGTATCAGTTCCCACCACTCCGCTATGAGCATTGCATTGATCCTGATCTGGCGGTGATACGAATCGAGGTCTTACCTTCACCGCTCTTGGAAGAATCAAATAACGATCTCGTTTTCGATGGGATCACCCTCCAGTGTGAAGACACAACTTACCTTAAGACTCCAATCTTTCGGGTCAGCAATTATAACGTCACTATGTTCTCGGAAGTGGTCCGTATTCCATATGGTTCACACTGTGCATTTGGATTCCAAGGTCCGGGCTACTTCCGTGGTGTTTCGTTGCTGGCAGAAGGTAACGCAAAGCCATTCATCAATCTTCAGCAATCTTGTTCCGTTGATGTGTACATTCCGCAGTCGAAGTGCGTGTGGGAGACATTTGCTGAAGATTCTATTTCAGTATCTAGCGTGGGCGACCCGAATTGCGAATCATCGACAAACGAAGTGAACGAGATTCGACAAATTTCGGAAGTTGAGCTGGACGCTCTTGGAAGTGATCCTATATTGGATGGGTTTTGTCAACAGGATCCGTTTCAGCTGTTGGAACGATTCCACGTATGGGACATTTTAAGCAGAGGATCCGGAGAGCTAGTGAGAGCGTCTGTGGGGCACGTTTGTGATGGCGGATGGAATACGGGTGTGTTTTCGGTATCTTGCAATCGAGACAGACGGATATCTGGTCTGGCTCTTAAAGCTGGTGCAAATGCTTCTTTTGTCGATAGCATGACGCTAAATGTGAAGCACTTTGCGAATCTCAGTAAGTACCTGTATCTTGTGGGCTTTAGAGTTTGACACGAAATCGTTCTCATAATGAAGCCTTTATTTGGATGTCCAGAACGCGTCGAAGTGCAGAGTGGTACCGGTCCAGTTGATCGCTTGCTGGAAGAAATGGCTACGTTGAACTTGACTTCTATTACACTTGGGTCAGATGTACTACCAAGCCAAATTGGACTGCTTCAAAGTCTAAAAGACCTCCGTCTGACAAGCGGTATGCTAACATCATTGCCTACAGAAATTGGTGTGCTCTCCAATCTCGAAGTGTTAGAATCACACGAGACTTCGCTTCGATCTCTACCTTCTGAGATCGGGAGTCTTACATCACTGCTAACTTTGGATATCGGTGGAAACGAATTGATCTCCGTTGCTACTGAAATTGGACTCCTTGAGAGACTGGAGATGCTGAGTTTGGAACGGAATGCCCTATCTTCGCTGCCTTCTCAGATCGGGCTCTTGTCTGGACTGCAACAACTACTCATCCAGTCAAACAGAATAAGTACTCTACCAAGCGAAATTGGCATGATGACTTCGTTGAGGTCTATGGATCTTGCAAACAATACCCTCGTTTCATTGCCAAGCGAAATTGGTAGGCTTTCCATGTTAACCTCACTGGACGTGACGAACAACAAAAACCTCAGCCAAATACCTGCCGAGGTTCTCGCTATGACGTCTTTGGAGGTATATGTCTAAAGCATATGCTGGTTTTATGTATGTTTGGTCTAATTAGTAGTTCTTGTTACAAAGTCCTCATGGCTTTCCGACTGAGAGTCGTCAATCAATGAATTCCGATGTTCTGAATACCGCAATTCTCCCAAGCACTTATCGTCAGGGTCCAGCAAAGCAGCGTCTTGCATAGTTTCTCTTCGTTGGGGTAGAGACGGCGAGTCATCGTTGGGAGTGGGATGGCAGTCATCCTCTTCGTCGTCATCTGGGTTATCATCTTCTTCAATTGTTTCGACGACTCGGTCGTACATATTTCTGGTGGTTTGCCGCATTGGTTGGATTGGCGGGGTGCCCTCTTCTGCAACGTCATCGGGTGACAATCCAACATTGGATTGTTCACCAGCGGAATGTGTCGACGAGGAAAGAAAATCGCCCGTCATATTATCCAACATACCGACCGATATCTTACGCTCAGGCTTGATGGGTAAGGACATGGAGGCAAAGGCTCCATGGGGCGAAATAACGCCACTGAGCGGCAATGGACTCATGGGTGGCAGCTCTACAGATGCCTGGCGGACTGGTCGAAGAGGTGGCTCGCTAAAGGACATTAGGATCTCGCCATCATCATCGCTTTGGACATCCTCTTGTATGCCTGCTATAGGCGGTGGGGGTGATTTGGATCGCAATCGACGGCGTCCAGAGATGCGCCGCCCCCTCCCCTGCTTGTCTTCGTTTTCTTCCATTTGCATTTGTACCTTTTTGTTTCCTTTTTTTTGTTTCACAAGCTTGGCGATGGGGATGGATCCATCCTTCCAACGAGCCCCGAGTTCCTTTTCAGGTGTTCGCTTGTTCACCAACGAGTCAGCGGAAATAGCAAGTTCTGCCAAAAAGGTGCCCGGCCTAGCATCCTTTGAGACTTCCAATCCTGGGATGACAGGCATAGGTCTCGGTTCAGCAGCTATAGGTGCATTCCGAACTAGATCCCCCTGAATGATTTCATCGTCATCTTCGTCATCATAGGATTCATCAAAATCCGTTACATCTTCGTCATCGTCATACGATGCTAGATCATCATCCCCGTCAATAGAAGATGTGGCCAGACCATCAAAGGAACTTAGACTTGGCATACTAATCGTCCCACTGTCACACCTGTCAAAGGACGCGGGTGGAAGGAACTTGTCGGGTGCTGTTTCGCCCATGCCGCTCATGATGGATGTGGATGCAAGGGCAGAAGTCATGTTGTCAATAGCCGTCACATCAGACTTGTTTTGCCCCAACGAATCATTAGCAGCGTCGGGTAGGTTGCTGCTGTTACTCTCTGACATGATGCTGCCTATCATATGATGTTACAGTGATGTTACAGTGATGTTGAATTGGATTGCGTGGTTGAAAACGGGACCGTTCGTATATCTTTCAAGTGCGATTCGGGAAGGCTCAAATGAAGTATGGCTTTTTGCTGAATAGACACTCTCTAAACAGGTGTCAAATTAACTTCAGGTTTTAAGGTAATCGTAACTTGAACACCACGAGAAGGATGAATGAAGCAATCAATCTGTGTCACAATCCTACCGCAATATGTGAATGTGAATGTTGGATGATTTGCCGTACTTGTCTTGTTGGCAGCGGGCACCAGCAGAATGAATGGATCTTGTTTGAACGGGCCTATGCCGCATGTGTTTTATATACCTACCGTATATTTCGACAGAGCAGCCAACTTTCTCCCCTGTTTCGCCGTCAATTTTTCAGCCTTCGGCGGATGGGTCGCAAATGAGAATACGGCTCCTCGATTTGTCAAACCTATTAACAACGAGAAAGCCCTTTCGAATACGCGATCTCATATATAGGAACAAATGACTTGCACGCGAGGAAACCGCAAGATCCGAAACCAGTCATATGTCCGATGAGCGGCTGGGTTTGGTAGAGGAGCTAAACTAGGCCCATTCTCAATATGACCACATGTGAGATTTCAGATTTGCAGGTCATTATTCTTGATTTTCCCGCATCCCGGCAATAAAAGCGATAGTCTTATCATACATTCTACCCACCGACCAACCCACCAACAACACAAATGAATCCTCCCTCTCTCGGTGCGTCAAACTTGCGATCACTTGTCATCCAAGCTGCTACTCAAGAAATTGCTCAAGATGATGACGCAACAAGCTTGGATCTTTCTGGCATCTTGTGGATGGAACACATCAACTTGATTGTCGGAGATTTGGATTTGGCAGCTGCGTTTTACTTGGATTTCTTGGGCTTTTCGCGGGATCCAACCAAATCGTTCACGCACCTGAACTTGGGACAGCAACAATTTCATTTGGCAGTCCCAAAGACTCCTGAGGAATCCGTGCACACGATTGCTGGAAGCATTGGTTTGACAGTGCCGGATCTTCAGTCAGTGATTGATCGAATACCACAAGCACAAGAGGTTCTACAGGAGAAAACACAGTTTGAAATACTAAAGACCAATCTAGAAGAAGGATACCTCACTCTGCAAGGGCCTTGGGGAAACAAATTTCACATTTACGATCTACAGCATGATTCAACTTACGCTGGTGCATCCTCGTCCTCGCTATCTCAAAGTACACGCAAGATGGAACAACTCCACGACTGGGGAGGAACGCATGGAAGTCATAGAATGGCGGTCCGTCAACAACCTGGAATCCGATATTTAGAATTGATATGTCAAAAGGGGACATCTCGTGCCATTGGAGACTTTTATCAGCAAATGCTCCATAGTCACGGGATTCATTCGTTTGAGAAACTGAAACAGAACCAAAGCATTGACATGGATACCGATGGTATCGCGCTCTCAGTCGGACCGGGGGTGCATATTATGTTTGTAGAGCAACAGGAAGAAGCAGCTCCAGAATTCTACGATTCATGGATGAAGGCCATGCAAGGCATCCACATTTGTGTCTATGTCGAAGACTTTCATGGATTGTATCAACGCCTCGCTGCGAAACACTTGATTTGGACGAATCCACGCTTCGAGTATTTAGACTCGTGCGATACTTGGGAGCAAGCAAAGAGGAGCAGAACACTACGATTTCGGTACATTTTGGATTTGGAAACCAAGAAACCAATATACGAGTTGGAACATGAAACAAGACCCCTGTTACATGGGCAATATATGAAATCGTTGCAATACATACCAAGATGATGCCTCTAATGTTGCTATTAGTAACGAGACAATTTGCTTCTTAGTATCCTACATCAAACTGTAGAATCATCGCCATTCTCTGAAACGGTACAGAAAAAGTTCTAAAAGCTCGAAAGATATTGTAAGACTGTCGATTATATACCTACAGTATAGTCTGTACGGTAACCTTCATTGCGACATCAGCTAGGTACAGAAGAAACCAAATATAGTTGTAATATCACCTCTAACAAGCTTCGTGGTGACTCTTGCAGGTCCAAATCATGACTAAGTTTGATGCAATATCAAAAAGCATTAGATGCGGCGGTCAAAGATGGTCGTAAAATATGTTCTTAATCATTTCACTGCTGTCTTCAGTGCCAAAACGGTCCTTACTGGGATAATGATTCATGATGTTACATCATGACATGGTCGTTTTCTTGTCAAGAAGTTGGATATCAAGAGATCGATGTACTGATCGATCGATGTACAAAGAGAGAGCCGATGCATTTTCTGATCCCGACCTAGGATAAAAAGGACTGCTACAAAGTGACGCCAAAAAGTGACGCCAAAAGGAGAAGGGTACTACTTGATTTCACGTCGTCCGCCATCAGATTTTTGGTTTTTCGCCCTTGGGCATCCTAAGTTCTCTCGTTGATCATTAGAAATGGAAAGCCAGACATCAGAGATACCGTAATGTCATCACAGACCTCATGCCAGCCTCGATATTATTTCCACCCATTCATTTACAGTACGTGTACAATTATTAGTACCGCGGGTACACTTCCAGGTGAAGAACGATCAACGACCGTCTGACAAGCTTCGTGGTGACCCTTGCTTTCTGTCCGAAATCATGACTAATTTGGCTTAACACAGTGCAAACGATCCCAGCTGTACTACCGGTATAGTTTTCTTTTAAAGTAATATTGTGATCCCGCCCAGTTTGATTACACCTTCTCTAGTAGTGGTGAAGATTACCACGTGAGCAGACAGATCTGATTGAAGCTCCGCTCCTGAAGAGAACCCTGTTTCCTTGCGTACAGCTAGATTGCGCTCTACCATAGGGCGGATCTACAAACACTCGCCGAAAGAGAACCCTTCGTCATTGAGGAGCTCGCTTTTTTTAAAACAAACAAATGTTGCTTCGCCCTCAAGATATGCTTTAGTTTCAAGTTGACATCTATGGAAAGCAGGACGTCATATTTTCTTGTTCTTCAACAGGAATTTGAAAGGCTTCTTTCTCCTGGTAATTAAAGTACATACGTAGACATCTGCTCTCATAGGGGAATTCTCTCGAACACATGCCGCTGATTTTCTTGAAGAAGTCACCAAATCTTCGTCACAGTTCTCCATTTCCGCGAATCTGAAAGTTATAGAAGTAGAGAATCAATCGCCCCACTATTTCTTTGCGGCTCTTCCTCTAATTTCTCCGACTCTAGAGCCACACAATCGATAAAAACGTTGTTGTCGCTATCTCATATTTTCAAACATGAAACAGATCACAACCATGACAAAATTGAGATGCCTCCTCTTCCTTCTCGTATCACAAATTCTCATTGTGTCATCACAGAACGAAAATCTTGGCGAGTTGTGGCCGGAAGGAGAAGTCAATTGTGTGCAAGGTTTACGTCAGTACAACCCGATTACACAACAGAAAGTATACCATGTCGGTGTCCATGCCTCTGCGGGTATTGAAACTGCCAAACGAGAGTTCAACCTTACCTTTGAAGAATACTTGAATGAGGCTGTTGGAAAGAGGTGGGACCCTCCAATCGAGTTCAAGATGAAGATCACGGACGATTCCATACGAGACTGGCTCGACAATAAAGAAGACGTCGATTTCATGTACACGGACACCGGCATCTACTCATGTATTGGTGTCGAGATTGGGGCGAAACCGATTGCGACCACTGTTGCCAGGTTGGAGTCTCGAGGACGGAACTACGAGCTCGATATCTTCGGGGGTACAATGATGGTCCTGGCTGACAACGATGACATTGGCAGTATTGAAGATCTGAAGGGCAAAGTGATTGGGGCGCAAGCCTTTTCTGACTTTGCCGGAGCACAGGCACAGTTCTACATGATGCAAAAAGAGGGAATCAATCCCCTGATTGATGCCAAACAGGTCATATTCACAGGTAAAAGGCAGAGCCGTAGTGTTTCTCGCCACGCCGAGATTATACGATACGAATGCGAACTCATCTAACGATTGCACTGCCAATTTCTCTTTACAGGTAACAACGAAGATACGATACAAGGTATTCTTGACGGAAGATGGGACGTCGGATTTGTTCGAACCGGGCAAGTGGAGCGAACCATGGATCCATCTACTGGCCAACTGGTCGATCCAAGTCTTGTAAAGGTTATTGCTCCGAGAATCCATATCACGGATGGGGGTGAGCTCTTCCCCTTTCTTCACTCGACACCAGTTTTCCCCGAGTGGCCATTTGCCGCCAAGGAAACTGTAGACCATGTCGTTTCAGAAGAAGTCGGTGATGCACTTATGGCTTTTAAGAGCCATGCAGCTGTTGGCCAGCTAATTGCCGAGTGTCAAGAAGCAGCAACAACACAAGCGGAAAGAAATATATGTGATACCTCACCACCAGAGTATTTCGACCCAAATGTAAGATGCGATACCTCGAGAGAACTTGCCACTCTGGCATACAATGCAGGATTGGCAGGGTTTCACGATGGATTCCATTCGCCGAGGTCTCACTTCCATGTCCGAACAATGCAACAAGATGGTGGCTTCATCATTCAGGATGCTAAAGGTATGTGATGGGTAGTGCTTTGGTGTCTCGTGATGCTCGTCGAAATGAGTATCTGTTCATGTCTCCTCACCAAATTATAATATCAATTCAATCTCATGAAATCCCACCTACCCGTTCCAGGCAACTGGCGCTGCGAACGCAACTCCAAGTATTACAATGGTATCATTTGTCCCGACGGGTACTACAAGGTCTCAGAAGACATCTTTGAAACACAATGCCAAGCCAAAGGACGCTCTTGTCAGGATGGATACTCATGCTACTGCCAACCATGCATTCAGGCGTTCGAAGTCAGCGTATTTCCGTGGAACAGCGAAGATGGGTCATCCGAGTTCAGTCAAGATTCTGGATGCGACAAAATGAGGTGAGTAACATCCTCTATTTGATTGTCACCTTGGCTCACTTCATCTCACCAACTTACTTCACTCTGAAGTCTCTGTGGGGTCGTTCAACAAAGGAATACTGCAGTCTTTCGGGCCTTTGACAATCTTCGGCGTACGAATGCAACGATGGTAGTCAAAAGCCATGTGGGCGGTTTGGAAAAAGACATTCTGACACGTGAAGTCGAGCCCTTCCTTTATGAATTCGAGTTTTCTCAACCGAATAGAGGTATTAGCATTCTGGAGATCTTTGTCGACGGTGAACAGATTCCAGAGTCTCCCATTCAGGTCCAGGTTGTTGATCGCGATTGTGAAGCTGCATATCCTGGTGCAAATAGAATCCCAGTAAGTGCTACATTCACCGTCCTATTGCAGATCGAATACTTCGGACAAAAGTGTGCTTACTTTTCGAACTTCTTTTCTGCTTTTGTCACAGGATGCTCGGGGCGAATGTATTTGTCCCTCAGGGACTGTTGAGATCGATGGAGTATGTGCTTCCACCGACGCGCATGAAGTGAGCGTGTACCCCTGGGTGGTCGATGGCGAGTTTACCGCAATTAACATCACACTTCAATCTGGCTGTAAGTTCGTTCGTCGTCCCCATGAGCAACATGAAACCATAACACCAGTTGATGCTAACATTCATCGACTTTGGATTTAGGTGAGAAAATGAGTCTTTGCGGAGCTATACCCCAGACAAAAGAAATTCGATTCAAAGCACAAGACAACAGAAAGCGGGACAATGCTACGGTCACGGCTCTGATGCACATTGGCCAAGAGGAAAGGTTTTTATCTGTGGTCGAAACGGATCCATTCGTATACGAGTTTGGTTTCAGTCACAATGAAAGAGGAGTGGCCATTTTGGAGATCTTTGTCGATGAAGTTCAAATTCCGGATTCTCCCATTCGGGTAGAGATCACAAACAGAGACTGCAACAATGACTTCCCTGGACAGCGTATGGTCCCGGTAAGCAACATAATTGCAGTCCGAGTCTATCGCTCATGCTGAATCACTAACCATTCTTATTTTTTGCCATCGTAGAGTACCATTGGCGTCTGTGAGTGTTCAGATAGCACCATTATAATTGGACAAGAGTGTGTACCACTCGGTACATTTGCTGGCATCATGGCAGGTATTGGAGGCCTGATTGGTTGCTCAATAGTCTATTGCTACCTCGGATACCGACGAAGGAAGAGCGACGAGGTATGGCACGTGAATCCAGAAGAATTGGACTTTAGCCATCCTGTCGAAGTAATTGGTCAGGGCGCATTTGGTGTTGTCCTTGCTGCAGAATATCGAGGAACGCGAGTCGCCATCAAGAGTGTGATTCCTCAGCAAGATGCAGTAAGGTCCCGAGCTGGCTCTATGCCAAGCGTGCCTGATAGCGTAGTGTCGGGATCAAACAACTCTGAAGAAGTTTCGAAAAGTGGGCGAAACGATTTGGAAGCGGGAGGAGATAGCCCAGTGACATCTCCTACAAGTAATAGTCTCGATAACTCAGATCTATCAGACTTATGGAATCTTCCGACCAATCGAAAGAAATCGCGACTTTTGAAGTGGTTGCCATTCCAAGATTCAATGAGTCGATCCAAACTGAACATACTTGGGCATGCATCAGGGGCGTCCACGTCCAACAAGTCTCTGCGTTCTCGATTGTTTTTCAGATGTGACGAGACGTACCAACGACAACAAGAGTTCAAGACAGAGATGCGTTTGCTGTCCAGGCTCCGCCATCCTTGTGAGTGCACCGCGAAGCAGATTTGCTCGCAACGATTCATTCTCTTCTTACTTATTGCTCTTTCCGTTCACAGGTATCACAACAGTGATGGGTGCCGTCATGGCCGGCGACTCCCCCATGATGGTAATGGAATGTATG